TCCCCTTTACAATATGACACCCACACCCATTTTTCTCAAAAAATAAGGGTTTAAAAAAATAGTTTAAGTGGTAACACCTACAGTTTTTTCCAAGAATCTAAAATAAATTTTCACATTTATTTTTTAATGTGAGAGTAATAGGTAATTGAGTATCAGCTTTATTTTTATTTTTTTATTTATTTTTTTTCAAATAAGTCCTATATTTGATACATTTTCAAAAACTAGATTTTTTTTTTATTATAAAATACTGAGGGATATTTTATACTTTCAATGTTAAGAGCTGAATTAATACCTAAGAGCCAATATACTTTTTTTTGCCTATGAGTGGGAAAAATCTGATGTTCCATCAGGAGGCTACTCTCCCGAGTGTTTGGTAATTGCACTCGCTTAAAAAAAAAAACCAACCCAAAAAGGACTATTTGCCCATCCTGGAACTGCTATGAGTATATATAACTAGATAATTACTGATGAAATAAAAAATCAAAATTGATACAAATGAGCCAAGAAATCATAGCAAAAAGCACAGCTTTTCTAGTAAAAGTCTTACAACGTTAACATTTCTAACAAAATGAGAGCACATACTATTCTTGCATAGTTATTTCGATAATAAAAGTGCCAATTTAGACACTGGTTTGCTTCCTCAGTCCATCTACACTCAAACAAATCTCAACCCTGCACTGGTTGAACATGCATTCCAACATCCACTGACTTTAGACATATCGTATGCATTACATTTTCATATTTTTCTGTTTAAAAAGGTATGGTGGGTATTGGTAATAACTTATAGTTTAAATTAACAAGCATGAAGTTGAAGGTGGGTGAAAGGGCGGGTTTTTTTCTAAATATGCATGTTCAAATATTTCAAATTCCCATAAAATCAATTATTTCTCTTAATTACCTCCAGCTAATTTATTTAATTATTATGGCTAGTCATGTTTTAATTACAACTTTGAAGTGATAAACATGTGAGATTTTTATCTTGAGGTCTGTCGGGTGATGAACCAGTAGTTTGGTCATTTCTGGCCGTTTTGGTCTGCCTTTGATTTCGCTTTTCAGCTCCTTGCCATCTTCAGTATTGGATCTAGAAGAAGCCTAGTCTAACAGACCAAAACAACAGAAGTAGAGGCCAAAACTATAAAAAAACTATCAATATTTTTGAATAACAATATTATAACATGCTGTGCCTTTAACCATGTTCAATTGTTTGACAGGTGAAATTAAAACACAAAACAAAAGTTATATATACAGAGTATCTCTTATTTCAATACAACACCCAATTCTCTCAAAAAGAAGGTTTATAGAAAAAAAGTTTAAATGGTGACGCCATAATTTTTCCCAAGGATCTAAAATAAGTGGTCTAAACATTGTTTTTAATGTGACAGTAATAGGTAATTGAGTTTTATTTTTGTTTCTAGCTTTGATACATTTTCAAAAACTATATTTGTTAATATAAAAAAATGACACTTGGTTGCTATGCTGGAGTTATTTCAATTCAAAAACAGATATATTTTATGCTTTCAGTTTTCAAACATAAATAAACATTTTGGGAGTTTATCATACAAGAATAATTAATACCTAAAAACCAATTTACAATTTTTTTTTGCCTACGATTCTGATGACATTCTCTGGCATGATTTGTCCTATGACTGTCTCCAATTCAAGGCATCTAGTGCATTCGATGGAAAATACATGACGGTTACAAAACTTCTATCTACCCCATCCTGCTGAGTTACGAGCAGAAAATGAGTGACAAAGTAGTCGACTTCTCTGTGTTCCTCTCAGATCAGTGGGTTGCCGAACCGGCCAAGCTGTCCATCTCCTGCGTGTGTCAGAGTCAGCTTTCCTTTCATTTACATGAGTTTTCCTTTTGGCCATTTTTCTTAGCGTGCCAAGTGTAACCATGTAGTCATTGATTTATTTTCTATCCAGAGCTTTCTGCCCAGAAACTGTTCTGTAGTAGCTTGCTATTCTTAAGGCTCCCCTCTGTTGGACAGCAGCCATTTGTTTTCGGTATTTATCTATTTTTAGTGCTTTGGCCGCAATACGCAACTAATCTAATTTATTGTGTCATTTCTTATTGAAAAATAAAATTAATATACAATTACTGTGTGACAGAAATGTTTAGACCAGTTATTTTAGATCCTTGGGAAAAATGATGGGGTTTACCATTTAAACTTTTTTTTTTCTAAACCCTTTGTTTTAGAAAAATGTGGGTGTTGCATTGAAATAGACAGCTTATACAGGGTGCATACTCTCCCCATCTGGAAAACTGAAATTTTGCGTTTATCGTCAGAAGACAATGCTCAGTGTAGAGATTGCTTCAGGAGTCTTTCAATTCTCCATGAGATACGACTTCTTAAGCATAGTCGAATGCTTATATATGGATAATTGTTCACTTTCATTGCCTTCACTGCCTGGTCTAATTTCCCGCCCTAGCTTCATCAACAAGCAGAAAGTTTCTTCTAGCAAGGATGATAGTTTCTATGTGGGTAGTGTTTCCCTATAGGTCTTGGAAAATATTGTCTTTGGAAGATAAAACACCTTGAAACACGCTTAATGATTTGATACACCCAGAGTGATATTCCCTCCTCACCCTAAAAAGCATATCTATAATGACATTAAATTGCATGATAGAAAGTACATTAACCAGTTTATATATGCATCACGTTTAGGTACCCATTTTCTTAACCCAGGATATGAGACTTGTGTTTAGCGATGAAAGTGAATGGAATTTCACTTCCCTTCAGACATAAACAGTGAGTAAAATAAGAAAAAGTGCACGCATTTAAACCATTTTATAGAGTGCATAAATGTAAGTCATTCAGCCTGCTTATATATTTTTTTTTCAATTATTTTGCATACAGTCTTAAAGATTTGTGTTAATGTATTTACTTGAGGACAGTAATGTGCTGTTATACATTGAAACACCAAAGCCGTTCTTGTTTGACTGGATCACTCCTAAAGTACCTTGTACATACACTGTTTCTAATATTTTAAATAAAAAGTCAATATTTGTAGTTGTGATTTCGAAATAGCTTGCCAAAAATCACTTGTAAATAATGTCTATTTTCATGTCTTAAGGTCCAGGACAAAACCCAATATTTTTTCTCTTAATCAATTTTAACCATTGATATAATTTTTTTAAATTAATATGTAGTGTATTTTGAACCGATTTTCTCCATTAGGAATTGGAAAAAAATAATTTGTAAGAGTTAATAAATAATACTTGATTTGGGGTGAGACAAAAAGATAGCACAGTGAACAATAATAATAAAATTCTTTATTAAAACACAATTAAAATAACACAAATTAAATTTAATATCCTGTATATGCACCACCTTTTTCTAATGCAGCAATCATACGATTTAAAAGCGAGTCAAAATGACGACGAATCATCTCTTGTGGAAATTTGGCCCACTCCTCCTGAATTGTTTTTTGTTGACAAAATTCTTCAACGCCCTGAAATTGTTGGCTACCGCTGTAAACACTCCTAGCAAGATGCCCCCATACATTTTCGATGATATTAAAATCTGGGGACCTAGCCGGCCAATCTATAATTCTGATCCTTTCTTTTCTAAAAAATTCTTTTGCAACTTTTGCCGTGTGAATTGGAGCATTATCTTGCTGAAAAATTATGTTCTCTTTAGGTTCAAAATATTTTTTTAAATTGGTTTTCTAACAAATTAACATATTGTTGGCTGTTCATTCAACCAGAAATAAACACATCAGTTTTGTGATCATAGCCAATACCACCCCATATCATGACGCTGCCTCCTCCCATTTGCCTCTTGGAAAACACTTTCTCTTCTGTCCGTAGGTCATGGTAATATTGAGCCCAGCCATCGGGACAGTCGAGATTGAATTTTTTTTTCATCGGTGAACAGGACGTCTTTCCATTGCACATGTTCACGGGCAAACTCCTTTCTTCTTTCTTTATGCGCCGTGCTTAGAGGTGGAATGCCTTTCATTTTCATTCTTTTGATGCGAGGAGCTGCACGAATGATCCTTTGGGACGTTTTTCACATTTGTCACTACACCAGCTCTCGCAGCAATTTGACGTTTAAGTTGAGTTGGATGCAACCCTTAAAATTGCCCGTTTTTGCCGTGTTGTTAAGGCCGGTGGTCTTCCAGGAGATTTCTTTGTCCCGTAGATTTCTGGAGACTTCAAAAAATTTAAATTTACTTTCCTACTCCTACCAGTATTTTTTGAAATACTGGAAATACAAAATCCTCGATTTTTCATTCGCTGAATGATATTTTTTTCAGCTGGTGTTAATAGTTTTGCTCGCCTCATCGCACTAATATACATGAATGCAGAAACTGAACTGAATTAGCCTTGTTTACTCAGAGGGATTTGGTTTTCTTTGCAAATAAACAACAAGTGTGCTATCTTTTTGTCTCACCCTAAATCAAGTATTATTCATTAATTCTTACAAAGTTTTTTCTTTTTTTTTCAGTTCCTAATGGAGAAAATCGGTTCAAAATAAATTTAAAAAATTATATCAATGGTTAAAATTGATTAAGAGAAAAAATATTGGGTGGGCTATCTTTTTGTCCCGGACCTTATATAAATCTTATATTAACAAAATCTTGTTCTCATTATGCATGCGTTCATTATTTTTCTTTTATAAACTTATGTACAGATTAAATTAGCTTTTTTGTACAAATGCTTGCAAGTCGTAATCGCCTCACTTATTCCACAGGTGATGAACATTTTTCAAAAATTTTAAACAATTGTTCTTTAAATGCATTTTTTTTTACATCTAGAAGTTATATTTTTAGTAAATTTATAATTAGAGTTACATTGTGAATAGAATAAGAGCCTCCATTTCATAAAAAAATCCTTTATTTGGCACAAAATAAATTGCATACTTTTAGTCTGTGACTTAATAAAATTGTACATTGTGTTTTAATACCTGCAAGTATGGAATACTTGTCGGCAGTTTGTCCGTGATCATACTCTCCACACCTTTTCTTACTGGACGCTTAGTTTTTTTTTTTTTTTTTTTTAATGATGAAATTTTTCTACTGGAATGAGACAAAAGCTGCCGTCTAAGCGATAGAGTAAGAATAGATGCCCAGCATTATCTGGGATGATCATTATAATCATGATGAAATAAGTTAAGATCTACATACTATATACCATTATGTTATTTAAAAAAACAAAAAAATTTCTAATCTTCAAATCTACAACTTTGGTTTCTAATTACACTACATAAAACTTACACAACGTTACAAGGTACAAGTCATCAGTCAAACTTACCCGTTGGCTCTGTTCAATCTGAATGTCTCCTAAATAATCTGTTTTTCAACTCTGTAACAATTTAAAAAAAAGGTTGGAACTATTATAGCGCATATTTTAATTGTAGTTTTCAAATTAATAAGTACTTTACACTTGTAATATAATCTGCCCTTCTTTTCAAAAACTCAAAAGTATATACGTAAAAAATTTGTTCATTCTCTCTCACACACACTTACTCGCTCACCCACACAATATCTATGTACCTATCAATCAATCAAACGTCTCTCTTTTTCTTTTTATATCTCTGTACCTTTCTTCCTTTCCATATTTCTCTCTCTAAGTCTCACTCTTTTTTTCTCTTTCTTTCTGTTTCTCTCTTTCTTCCTCTCTCTCACATACACTCCTCGCCCACATTTACTATATCTATGTATCTATCAATCCATCAACCTTTTTTTTCTTTCTTTCTATTTATCTCTACCTTTCTTAGTTTCTACGTCTCTCTTCTGCTCTCTTTCTCTCTCTCTCTCTCCCTCTCTCTCTCTCTCTCTCTCTCTCTCTCTCCGTCCCTCCCTCNTCTCCCTCCCTCTCTCTCTCTCTCTCTCTCTCTCTCTCTCACACACTCTCTCTCTCTTTCTCTCTCTCATTCTCATTCTTATTCTCGTTGAGAAAAGACCACTCATTGAATTCATTAATTTCAATGTAAATAATTAATTTAAATTCAAACATCTAAATTTAAAACAATTAGAAATGTAAAGTTGTGTTCTGATTGTCTTCTTTTTGTTCAAACAAACCCCAAATTGATTTATGTTTCATTATTTTTCACATCCAATGATTCATAAGTACATAGTGTGTGTAATAATTGGCTGAGACCGCTTAATCTCTCCTCTTTGTTCTGTATTTGTTATTTATATTGGAAATGTTTAAGCTTTTTGTTTTATATCGTGATGATTTGCCAATTGTTACGAACCTATACGAATTTAATTTTATTGCGTCTTGTTTTTCAGGAGGCGAGCACTAGAAAAAGGAAAGGATTCAAATTAAATTTTCAAGACTGATAGAGATAAATGCATTTCTGTTGTCGTCAGTATTAATTAAATCAGACTAAGGTGTTTTTGTCTCCTTTAAAAGTTTTTTTTTTTTTGATATGTTTGTAATTTGAGGATACAACTTACAATTGTGCAGTTGTGTTTTTTTTTATGCACATCATTTGCATAAGTGAATAAAACGACTGAGAAATTGTTCTAAAATTAAAAGATTTAATCTGATATTGACGTCCAGATTGACTAAATTATTTTATTTTTATCTTAAAAATTGTGTTTATTTTTGTACACAAAATATTACAAGTAAATACTTAGGAATCTGTACGTTTGTATGATACTGTTAAATAGTTATTTTAAAATAAGTGTTGTACTATTTGAAGGGAACAAAATCAAGACAGAAATTTTCCATAGGAATAAAGATTTCATATTAAACTTTTTTAACGTTTTATTTCACAATTGACGTAGACAATTATTTTGTACTTGTATTGAAAAACTTAATATCAATGACTTATTAAAATTCTTTTAATTTATTAGATGTGTAATATAGTTGTTATAAGATCTCAGTTAATATTGTACATAAATTTTGAAACGATTTAGTTTTAAATGTGTAATTAAATATATATTTTTGAACTAGAAATGTTACCTTGCCATAAAAAATTTTTTAAATGTAATATATTGTTTTATTGGTTGTTCTGTTTATATTAAAAAGTTTAATAATTAATAAATTTGTGATACTTCATAAACATATCACACATCTTGTATGTGTTGTTTTATTTCTGTCGATCGTTTGTTTTTGTTGATGTTTATTTCATAAATCGTGAGGAAAAAAGCAACAGAGTGAAGTGTGTGTGGTGCCAGAAATTTATCACATCAAAATTACAAAGAATTTTTTTTAAATTATAAAGGCATATAACCACAATGGGTCAAAACTGCCTTGATGATGAATTAATCAATGAGAAAAGAAAACAGAGAGCGATAAGCTAGGTAAGCCAGGAGTGGCAATGACCTAGCTGTCAAAAGCCCCTGGAGCGTAGCCATTGGTTGGGAAGCTACGATCTCCTGACCATATTGCTTAAGGGGGATACGAGCGACCCAGCTGAATAACGGGGTTGGTGAACTCCCCTGAGGTATAGACCCTATGGTCAACATATCAATAATCCTTTGGGGTGAAAGTCAACAATTAACAATAGATGTTTAACAATCCATGACAAAATTTAGGATGGGTTAGGACTGAACTGGACAATATAGACTCCAGGCGGAGGCAGTATAGACTTGGATCAGAAACATGTCTACATATTGCCAGTAAGAAAAAGAAACAGTGGAACATATCATCTGTTGGAGGCCTAAGACTGGGAAAGTAAAAGCTTTAAACTTAATTTATAGGCCACGGTCGTGGTGCATAAAGTTGGAAAACAATGCTTGTGAACTATTCAACTCAATGTCTAAATCAGGGTTGGGTTTTTGTAGTAGTTTTCCCAACATTTAAGTTGTAAGAAATATTTTCTTTATTTATTTAAGTAGAGAGGTAAAGTATTATTACAGGTACTCTTGTTTCTAACTTGTAAATATATTATACATTACTATGCATATATTATACGAACAGTAAATAAATAATTTTGAATCGTTAAAAAACTCCATGTCTGAATAAGAGCGATAAAAAAAAAGACAAATTGTGCCTAAATTTTAAATCTTTGACGACAAAATCAAAAAACATTAAACAATAAATGTTTAAAACAAGACCAAATAATACAGAAAAGCTTCTGTGGCTTTCACGGACAAGAAGACCTCTACCCTAAAACTAAGCCATGTAACTTACTTATGACCTTCTAAACTTAGTTAATATAACTGACTAGTTCAAAAAATCAATTAAACGTTTTTATCGAAAAGAGTTTAATAGAAAGATAAACTAAAGAAGATAAACCTTGGAACTCTTCTGTTATATAAATGGCTCAAAGTTGGAAAATGGCAAGGGTATGGATATATAAGGGCATAATTTTGAGCACCACCCGACCCTTGGCTCCGTCTCATCCATATTTCAAGACAGATTGATTACCATAGATTCAGGAGGAACATGTGCGCGTAAAATAAATAATAAGCATCTCAAGAGTACAACAATAATAATCAGGCAGCCAGGCTCTAAAGGTTCAACAATGTTATTAGATGATTCACCTTAACACTAAGGTGGAAATAGCTAAAAAGAGAGCCTCGGAACAATGCATAAATCCATTTTGTGGCATAAATTATAGCCACATTAACAACCAACTGGAATCTTGGATAACTAAAAGACACTACAAATACTGGGTATGCAGGTGAAGAAGCAAAAAGTCAAAAGCATAAAGTAATTAAAAACCCTAACAACTGCCCTACAATAGCGAAGAAAATGCTAAAGAATCAAAGAAAGTTGAGCTATGTAGACCTCAATATAGCCGAGGTCTCAATAGACAAAAGTTTAAGTGCAAAAAGGAGCACACCTAGAAAAAAAAAAAAGTATAACTAGTGAATGTGACTATATACCAATGTGACAATTATTTAACTAAGGAAAGAAATATACTTCGAGCTGAAAAATTCTACTCAAAACTTGTCTAGAACTGCTTGAATACCCCCCCCCCAAAAAAAAAAAAAAATCATGAGGGAATTTCAGACGAGGCAGCAGATACTAGTTAAAAAGGGACAATTAACAGATGATCAATGTCGACTATTCTAGAGGAGACAACCTAGCATATATTCCACTGTCCTGCAATTAGGGATAGGAACCAAGGAAATTCATCCTTGAGCAATGTCGACTATCACCTTAGAAATCGGAGACAATAGACAAAGTTTGAGTGTGAAAGGGTGTACGACTCCAAAAGAAATTGATATAACCACTGAATTTTACCACGAGCCTTAGTGCTAATTCAGTAAGAAGACTCGGAAATCCCAGCTTGAGTTCAAACAAAATTTCCGAATAAATCTAAGTACCGAAAAAGAATGGGAAAGAGGGAACAACCTCCGTTGAGAACAGCACTGCTGGTACACAGATAGATTTAGAATCCAGGAAGGTATGAGGGCAGGAGTGTTTGGTCTTGGAATCAAATACTCAGAACCCATGGAAAATACACTAGTTTTCCAGGCTGAGTCTATGCAATTGAGAGATGTATCCAGTTCAATCTGACCAAGGGTACAAAAACAGCAATGTAGCTATCATGTCAGATAGCCAAGCAGTCATCAAAGCACTAAATTCAAACATCATTAGCTCAAAGATGATACTCAATTGCAAGGAAAGGGGCTGCTATATCGCTCATAGGTCCTGAGTTCTTCTGTGGCTTAAGGATTCACACTACCATAGAGTACCTTAAAAGACAATGACAAAGAGGAAACAAAACTCATTGGATATAAAAAATTCAAAAACCTTCCAGCAAATTTTAGAAGAAAAGAAACAACGGAATCAAAGGAAGCAGCAAAAAACTTCAAATCCTAATAGGATTCTTAATAGAACATTGCAGATTGAATAGGGCATCTATAGAAGTTTGGTATAATACAACAGAGCACAGTGTAGATTCTGCAAAGAAGAGGAGACCTACGAACAAAATATGGCACCACATTTGCCCACTGGAGGAAGCAATTTGGGATGTAACAGTAAAAGAAATTCAAACATTGAAACCGATCTACTAATCAAGTTACTTGGTGAACTAGGACTACCGTTGTGCTATAAGCACAGAATGGGGGGTAAACTAAAGCTATCAAAGGGCACAGTAAATTACACACCCCAAAAGTTACATGTACAAGGCTCTTCAAGCCTAAGGAATCAACTCTAAACTTGTCTGGAACTGCCTCAACACCCAAAAAAATACTGGATTGTCATTAGAGCAGTAGGTGGCGTAGTAATGAGCTTTGACAATTTGCTTGTGGAACTGCCTAAACACCCAAAAAATACTGGATTGTCATTAGAGCAGTAGGTGGCGTAGTAATGAGCTTTGACAATTTGCCTGTGGAACTTTTGTTGGAAGGATTAGCCAAAAGATTAAAGGAGAAAATCTCTTTATCACTAAACGTGGAAAAAATGTACCCTATTTTAACAGTTCCCATTTGAGTTGAATCTGTCAAATTTACAAATAATAATAATAATCTATAAATAAGTCAAAAGTAATAAATAAGTCAGTAAATAAATAATCAATGTTTAACTGTCCATCTAGCCAATGCTTGTTTAATGATTCTAAAGAAGAAGAAAAAGACCATGTTAAATTAATTGTGCTGCGTATTTTTACTTATGCACTTCGAAACTTCACGTTTTATAATTTTTCAGAGAAAAAACACCTCCCTAAGCATCGTGATGTTCCTAGAATCTAATATCTAATCTATCTCCATGTGTTCCATAGCCATATTGTCAGTTTCCACAAGAGTCTTGAGTAGAATGTTCCAAATTTATGAGGATAAGTGTGGTGATAGTGACCGTTAATCGATAATTATTCAGAAATTGTGAGATGCGGTCTGGTGTGATGTAGGTTTCAGAGAAACATTTTCTTTCTCGTGCCAACGTTTCAATCATTATTGAGATCATCTCGAAATGTTGGCACGATAAAGAAAATGTTTTTCTGAAACCTACATCACACCAGACTGCATCTCACGATTTCTGAATAATTTATGAGGATACTGAAAACAAAACAATTATTTGAAGATATCTTTTCTCAACTCAACAAAACCCAAGAAAACAAAAGAACGTGTGATCAATGTTTGTGTCTATAGAAAGGCAACGGGAAACAAAATCGTTCACATTGACACAAAATTTATTTACAGATTGGGGAACATCACATTAACACATATAATTTTCCATTCCTAATAATACAATAATAAATAGTAAAAGTTTACAATTATTTGGCATTCTTTTGTGAATCATATATACAAGAACGTCGTGAGAATTGGTGAAATCGACTTTCTCATTGACAATTCTCATACCTTTAAGGGGCAGCTAAGGAGCGATTTTTATGATACAATTAACAATATTTGCAATAAATTAAAATTCACACTCAATAACAGCAAAATATATTAAAAAATAAATGAGAATTATAGCTCACACATCACCCTAGACTACAACAAATTTATAGGCACAACAAAACAATTGATTGGTAATGAACGATTTAAAAAAAAATTGGAGTTACTTTATTGCATTAATTTTCACAACCACCTGTTAAATAATTTTTATCAGAGGAATGATAAGACATAGAATAATCCCACAATAGAGATTAAATATGGCTTAAAAATCTACTTAAAACTTACAAAGCTTTAAAAAATAAACTCTTTGATTTTTTTTAAGGTTCTTGTGAGAAACATCAAACTTTGAAGTTGAACCAAGGGTTTTTTTTTGTACTCCGTATAATTTTGTATACATTTTTTGTGGAATTCAACCACAGATATTAATAAAACTAAAACAAAATACTTTTGTTTTTCTTCTTACAGTTGTTTACACATACTCACACATGCGCACACACATTACACACTCATACCACCACAAATATTGCTCGACCCAATGGTAATTTTTATTATATTATTGTTTAATTCCTTCAAATAATTTTTTTCAAACAAAGAAACAGGGCCTAATTTGGTCGGTGGGGCTAACAGTCCATGTATGGCAAGAATAAACAATATAAAAAAACGTATAATCATCTGTAGCTTATTTATAGGCTAATTTTTGTTAATGTTTCAAGCTTATTTACATCATGATCTTATCAATAAATGAAACAAAATCCCAAACTCTTTTGTACATTATTGGTAGACTTTCACACATTTTTTTTATTTTCAGTACACAAAAATAGTTAAAAAAAAAGAAAAACTTGACAATCAAGCGAAATATTTGATAAAAGTCATTTTTTGTTTGGTAACAAGGTTCAATTCAACAACTAATAACACCACACTAACATCTAAACATCTACTACATTAAATAATTTCAAGTCGAGAAAATTGGAACACATCAATTGAAGACATTACTCATGTGTACAGTGCAAGTGTATATAAAAATTTAAAAAATTCCTGGGTCCTCATTTTGAATATGTTTTAAGTTTAGGAGTTTGCAAAATTTTTTTTTATTTTTTTATTGTAGAGGGTAAATTTGTTCATTTTCGATTGTTTTGAAATGTAGCCTGCAAACATAACTCAGTAATTTTTTATTTATTTTTTTAAATCAAGACAACACGTTCAACGTGGCTGGACTAGAAGCTAAATTTCAAAATTCATTTGGAAAAAATTTAAATCCAGCCAGTAATGAATGTGTTAATCGAATAAACAAGGTAGTAATCAATTTTGCCATTAAATACAATAATCTCACAAAGAAATTTTTGCAATATTTTATTATATTCTAAAAAACTTCTTTTTTCAATAAAAGTGTGTAACAGTGTGTGACAAACTTTTCAATTTTTTTCCTAATTAAAAAAAAATCTATTTTTTAAATGAGATCTTATAGTAATAACCATTTGTTCAACAAGTTTATTTTTTTGTTTACTCTTCTTCCTTTGACAACTTTTTACACAAGGAGCAAAATAGAAAAAAAATGACTAGTATGAAAACAAGGAAATTATGTTGAATCAAGATTAGGTATTAAATAGTTCCCATAATTTAGGTTCATTATGTGCAATATAACATTACTAAAATGAAAATCTTCTTCAAGATAAAAATTAATTCGATTCAATGTTGGTGGAAATTGTTTTTTTAATCAACAATAATTAGTCAATATAATCAATAAATTGACTAAATAAACAAAAACTGTGCTGTTTTTAGCTGCAACCAGCAGACTAATTACCGAGAATGTTCAACAAAACAGGTATTTGTGTTATGTGATGAAAATGTACATTTATAATCAGATTTAAAAAAAAAAAAAATGTATACGGCCAACTTAAAAAGGTCAAAAAGTAACACTAGGTCAATAGTAAAAAAAATGCATCAGAATTCACTTCGATCCAAGAAAGCCACATCCTCAACTTAACAGTACATTTACATATATAAACAAATCGCTATATTAAACCTTATGCTCAAACTATGACTAGCTTTTCATAATAAGTATTTTTTTCGATATAAATTTTCACCAAACTGCCTACGATAAAAAATATCGCCGTAAATGGAAATCTTTGGTTTTATAGAATTCAACCCCAATCGTTTTATACAATCGATAAAAAATAAATTGGAATATATATGAGTATTTCAATTAATATAACAGAACGGATATGCCCCAAATTACAAATACTTGTTTTTAAAAACAAAATTAAAAACATTAAAACAGGTAGGAGCGAGTGCATTCAAATAAATAAATAAATAAATAAAATTAACAAAAAAAATTTATTATCAACAATAACAATATTTAAGAAAAACTGAAATTATTTACGTTTATGCGTATGTGCGAATTAATTTTTATTACTCTGGTCGATTGTCATTTTTTTGATCGAAATTTTTGTTCGGTAGTCAATCAGTTGAAAGCTTTGAGTAAAATTAACGGTTGGTTAAATGTTAGCGGTAAAATATGCCATTTTATATAATTAACCGGGCTCGTTCATTAGTCACACTTCGATAAAAACGATTGACTAACAAATAATGCGTTTGAAGCTTTCACTCAAAATGAACTAATTTACTAAATAATTTTTGATAATTGATGAATTATAATGGATAATGCGTAAATGAGTGTTTATTACGACCTCGGAAAATTTTAAGTACGCAAGATCAAAAGAGGTAGAGAAATAAATTTTTCTTTCAATTTGATTTATGGAACATTTATTTTTTTAAATACAATTTCCTTTTTAAAACAAAAGAGAATAAATCGGCGAACTGGTGGTTGTGAATTTTTTCTCGCAGTCCACTTTTTAAAATGTTCCAAACAATATTAAAAAAAAATCTAGGTTTGTTTTGTTTTTTGGCCTTTTCCGCTGAACAGAAGAAAACAGGAAGTTAAGAGGTTTGCTAAAATTATACATCCATTTTTGGGATAAACGAAGACAGTTTCCAAAAAAAAAACAAAAAAAATACTATTACTATCTCATATTTAAACATTTTGTATTCTTCACTATACAAAAGATTACTTAAACTTACAGCAATTAACTCGTAAATGTTCACACATATGTAACCACTCTCTCCTACCACCTCTCATTCAATATCAATATATATAGATAGATATATATAATATATATATATATGTACACACACATACACAAGGGCATACCAAATATATACACAGAACATTGTTACTTTTCATAGAACTAATCAATTGTTGACTATTCACCAGTGATGGTAGGCTCTTCAGATTTAATTTCTGTCGGTTGTTGTGATAACGCCTTTGTCAAAGCAGCGGCATCTTTGAGAGAGAGGACTTGAAGCACCTGGGGTTCCGAGCCGTTTGTCGACATGGCGACTATTTGGTGAGCGCCAACTGTAAGCGCTTCCACTTCGCCACTTTGGTTAGTCGATCCGGGTTCCACTTTAGGCACATGAACCATCGGTGTTACGACCTAATGAACCAATTAGTTTTACAATCTAAGAATGCATAACCCAATTATAATTGCTTTCTTCGTATATATTATAAATATTATTTATAATTGTATGTAAATAATCAGGGATAAGGTGAACTTTTTAAGAAAGAAAAACTCAGTCTCTTCGTTAAGTTTTAAAAGTACCACTAGTCATCAGGACTTGGAAACTATTTAGGGGGAACCGCGGTAACCAAATGGTTAGCGTGATAGATTCCCGGCTCGTAGATGCAGTTATAGGGTTCGTCACTCCTGGCTTTTTTTCCCATTTCCCTTCCCGTTTACTCAAATAAGTGTGTTACGTCTCTGGCTATGTGCACGATCACAAGCCCATTAAAAAATATATATAGCCCAAATTTCACAGGAATTACAATTTCCTTCAAATTATCAACTATGGTTTCTCTTTGTATAGTGTATTGTACTTTTTCAATATTTTGACTGGATAGTGACTTCTACTACAAGACGGGTGAGTAAACTGGAGACAAAAATCATCTCTGTTTTAAAGAGGAGGGGTGAAATGAATTTTTTCATGGAAAACATCAAGTTATGGTCAATTCAACTTTGAGATGTTGACATTATCTTACTCTCTCTTTAGCCTACAAGGGGTTACACTGGCAAAAAAATCCTCGTAAGATCGGATAGCCAAGCAGCTATTAAAGCATTAGCGTATAAAATAATGAGACAGTGAATGCATCCAAAACCTGGGGAAACAAAACCTGATGATATCTTGAGTGCCAGGGCACAAAGGAATTTTGGGTAACAAAAAAGCTGACTCACTGGCCAGAGGAGGATCTGCATAGGCCATAAATAGGCCCCGAATCTATACTTGGGATAACAAAAACAAATCCTCCATCACAGAATGGATCCAAATAAAACAAAAGGAGAAATGGATAAACTCTAGGGGCACTAGACCCGGTAAAATTATGCTAAAAGACTGGCAAACTTACTGCTGCAGTTGGAGAGGGCCAGACTCAGAGGAGTTATAGGACTACCAACCAGTCACTGGCATCTGAGAAGACATCACATTTTCACGTGAAAAAAAAATTAGGGAATGAAAGTTTAGCAGCAATGACAGTCAATGATGTAACATTTCTGAGAAGAAGGATTGAGTCAATTGCACTGAACTAGATAACTAGGAAGGTACAATAAGCCAAAAGGCCACAGTGCCTGGAGAGCACAAACTCCGCTTCCTACTACCGTCATCATCATTCATCCTCACCCTCACTAAGCACTTGAATCGAATTACTAAAGCATTGTCATTTTATTTTCCCTCATTCTGCTCTCGAGTTAGGTTTGAGACATCGATTTCAAAATGTGAAGAAAAAGGTAGGAAGGTTCTTCGAGATATCTAGGTCTGACTGTAAAAGTAAAGTAATTCCTATCGTAATGGAGGGCTTAATGTCCAATTACACATTTGGTGTCATGGACGGGGGATCAAATTACTTTACAATTCATTTTATATGTTATAATCTGTTAAAAAACCATGGGCTCTGCCGGGGTTGGAACCTAGAACCTCTAGGGTGGCAAATATGAGTCGGGCGCCCTAACCAGTCAACCATCTCCCAGGTCTGACTGTACTTACAATATTAAAAATCATAATGTCAACTATAATGATTTTATGAGTTTACTATAGTAGCATGGACAAAAAAGGAGGAGGAACATGGGTTCACCAATTTTAAACAAAACCTTTTTGTGTGATTGGGTCGAAAAATATTAGCCCATATGTCTGAGCGTACTTGCCAGCGCTCCTAGGAGCAAAAAAAGTAATTAAGCTATTTTTAAAAAAATTAAAAATACATGCACAACAATGGCTGAAAAAAAAGTTTTAAAAAATTAGCTTAATTACTTTTTTCAGCCATTGTTGTGCATGTATTTCAAGATAATTATCAGCGGATTAATATTTTTTCGTAGAATAAGAGACTAATATTCAAGATTGTATTCAATGAGGTTCGATACATAAAAATTGCAAAAACCAAAAGATGCTTCCAGTAAAGTAAGTTAAAAAAAAAATCAAATCCATTTTAAGCACTCTTTAAAGCCTTTAAATATGAATTTTCATCACAAACAAAAAATAAACATTTTTAAGCTTGATTAGCCAGATTTTTTTATTACTCTCGTCACTGATGACTGGTGTCCATTTAAAAATTCGTAACTCTTCCTGATTTTATTTAAATTCAATGTTATTACAATCATCAGAAAGCAGAACATTTCTTCCTTCAGGCTATGTCAACGGTGTTTAAATTTTATACTGTTAAAATATGCAAAGATTAATGATGAAATTAACAAAACTTTTTAAACTTTTTTTTTAAACCTCCGATTCTAATTTATTTAGAGGCAACATTTATGCCACTGCATGTATTTTACAAAGTTATTAACCTCTGTAAAGTTTCATATGGATTTGGGGACTTCGTAAAAAATTCGAAAGCAAGGAAATGAAAGGCGAAAAGTTTGAAGGAAAAATTATTTTTTTACTTTCTCGAAAATTGGTGTTCAAGGTTTTTTTATGGTTGAAAAAAAAATTGACTGTTTCTCGCTCTAAAAAATAAACAAATAAAAATAAAAAATAAATACAAAAGTGATAAAGTGACTTAATTCTACTGATATATAAATAAATTTGAAATCCTTCCATAATGAAGGCAGAAAAAAGAAGACGCTAAGAACGCTGGTACAACTAATATTTTCTACCTAGTATCATTAACGATTAGAAATAGTTTCAATCCTGATGAAAGGTATATATGCCTCAAAAATTTGAAAAACCGAGTTTTTCTTTTCTTTCTTTTAATGACCTTATCTACAATTTTTTATACACAATTATAATGTAAAGACTGATATCAATGACATCAATACAATTATTATTACTTACTTGTATAGTGCCGTCATTTTGTGTGTGAATCTGCTGAATATTCGCAACAACAGTTTGGTACATCGAGGCGGAGACGGGAACTGTAATCATTCCAGACACGGAGACAGGGTAACCTTGGAAAAATAGTAAAATTACAGTTGTTTCTTTTTTCCTCGTTTTTAACGTGTATTTTGAAATGATTGTTACCATGGCCGTCTTCACCGGTCAATATCAACTGTCCGTCTTGATTGAGGGTATCCTCGGTTACATTGTTCAAGTCAACTGCCACACTTTCTCCCTGCCCGTTGACTTCAGTCAAAGTCTGAACAGTATGGACTGTTCCTTCTCCTTGCCCCGTATGTATCTACGATTACGTAAACATTATCAAAAATGTTTTTTTAATTTTTTTTTTATAAGTTTATTTAAGAAATAATTCACTTACAGTAGCAACTCCTTGAACATGTGCCGTTGTTCCATCTGGTAATGTAATAATGGGATTGTTCGGATCGACTTGAATAATTGAAACAGTCCCATCAGGATTACTAATGGTTTGAAGCACTGCCGGAGCATACTGGGTGGCAACCTAAGTTTTAAAAGTATCGCAGTATTGCAGCAAAGTTTTAATGTTTTTAATATATTACCTGTTGGGTTTGTAGCGGGCTGTGGGTTGGGCTTTGTTGAGAATTCTTTTGACTACTATGAAACTTCAATACTCCCACAGACGGTGGAGGGCTTTTTTCTTCTTCCTCCTCAGAAAATGCCGGTAACAGATCCTCTCTCCCATGAAATTTATAGCAATTGATAACAATTTGGCGAAGAGCATGTGTCCATGAAATCTATAGAAAATAAAATCAGGTTATAAGAGGGGGGAAAAGATCTTAAAAAGATATTTCACAAAAAAAAACTTACTTTCTGCTTTTCAAGCTCTGATCTAGCATCCATTCTAACATTTGCCCATGGAAGTTCTTTAGGCCACCAAGGGGGTCTAGTGCTTTCTCTTCCCCAACCGGGTTTGCCCCGACCTGTGATAATTTGGCAAATTGTGCTTTTAGATACTTAACACAGTAAAACCCCTCTATAACGGACATGGAAGACAGTTTTTGTCTGTTATTGAGGTGTGTGCCCATTCAGGAGGGGTTTAAAGTTTTTTTTTTTTTTTTAATCAAGTTTTTAAAAATGTTATATAATACAGAATGTTTTATATATTTTAATGAATCTTAAATTAAATAAAAACATATGTTTATAATTAAAAAATGTAAATAATTGATTTTAGTCAGGTTTTTAAACTTAGATAAATACTTTTATTTCAAACTCGTGAGGCAATCTTAGTTCATTCACCATGGCTATTCATTTTTCGTCTAACTTATCTACTCAAGCATCCAAAATAGCTTTTTTTATTTTACATGAGTCATATGATGCGAACACAATATACAGTTGAGAGCCGAGATGCGTTCATTTGGCCAATAACAGATAAAACAAATATGGTGGCAAACCTATTTTCAGTCAATCATGTTTGGTAAGGTATAGGAGGGCTTAACATCCAACTAACCGTTAGGTGTCGTGGACAAGGGGGTCATAATACCACTTTGCAATATATTTTTGCCATGAACCAGGACCTGCCAGGATTCGAACCCAGCAAATACGAGTCACTCTAATCACTCGTCCACTGCGGTCCCCTCAACAATGTTTAAAGCAAAGGGGCAAGAATGTTTGATTCCTCAGCAAAAGAGAAGCCTCCAAAGAAAAAAGAGAATAAATAACGAAGTTTCCAGAAAAACAAGAAACAAAAAGAGCCATCAATAATTTATTCCTACACGAAAGAGAAGTTTAAGAAAAGACAGAACAAATAAAGACAAAGTAGTTTCCAGAAAAATTAGAAAAAAGAAAAATAGTTGTCTATTTCCCCACAAAAGAGAAGCTTTTGAAGAAAAAATAGAACAAATAAAGACAAGTAGTTTCCTCAAAAATTGAAAAAAAAAAAAACTGTCTATTCCTCCACGAAAGATAAGCTTTTGAGGAAAAAGCAGAACAAATAAAGACAAAGTAGCTTAAAAAAAATAATAATATAAAATAAAATAATATAACAAAATAAAAGTTTTAAAAAAACAAGCCATCAATAATTTATTCCTAAAAAAAATCTTTTCAAGAAAAAACAGAATGAATAAAGACCAAAGTAGTTTCCAGAAAAATAAGAAAAAATAAAGACTGTCCATTCCTCCACGAAAGAGAAGCTTTTGCAAATAATAAACAAATAAAGACAAATTAATTTCCAGAAAAAATTTGAAGAAAAAAAAAAGAGTGGCCAATAATTTATTCCACCGTGAAAGTGAAGATTTTGAAGAAAAAAGAATAAATGAACAGAAATTAGTTTACAGAAAAATAGGAGAAAAAAAGAGCCATCAATAATTTATTCCTCCATGGAAGCTTTCAAAAATGTACAGTAAATGAACAGCACATGAGGAAGGGCGGAATTAAAAAAAAGTAAAATTTAGAAAAAGATGAAGAATAGTATGCAGAATTTCCAAACAAATGTGTCCAACCATGAAATTTAAAAAAAAGTTAAAATTAAATGTTTACATCCATTCTAGAGTGCTGAATTACTCCGCAACTGGTATGGAGGGGTTCTGTTATATAGGAGTTTATATAGGTATCCTATCTTTTATGCTGACGAATGCAAAAATTGTCTGTTATGAGAGGTAGTAGCAGTAGGGGAGTTTCATTGTACTTTTTATCCAGAAAATTCATCTTACCTGTGGAATATTTTAACATAAGCGGGATGAATGCTCGAAGTTGTGCCTGAGTCATTTTTTCAACTGGTGTAGGTATGCCATCGATAATTAATGGTGGTAACTCATATAAGGATGGGTCTTCTTGAACGGGTGGAGGTGCTTGTTGGGCTAAGGCAGATTCTAACTCATCAATAATCACTGTCTTTAAATTTTTAACCTGTACAACAAAAACAATATATTCAATAATTTACTGGGTAAAACATTATTTAAAAACTTTTTGTTTAATTTATGTTTATTATATTAATTTATAGGAGAAAAAAGTTAACTTATAACTTACCACTCCTTCTAAAGGTTTAGCCCCAAAACATTTGAAACTGTTTGTAGGTTTCCCTGGCGTAGCTACTAATACAACTGCTTGCTGTCCAACTCGAGTTGCAAACTCATCAATAGTTTGCTAAAATAATGAATTATTAATAAATAATTTACAGAATCAAGTGATAAAAATAGGCAAAAAGTTCAATGCTTACTCGAAGCTTACGAAGTAGTCTGTTTTGTTGTCGTTTTCTTATAGATGGGTTTGTTTCAAATGTGTGAGGTCGTTTTCGTTTTTTCGCCGAAACGATAGCTGCTGCTGCGGCCATCCCAACAGGCCCTACACTCACACACGACAAATGTTAACAACTGCTAATTGTTGATTTAAAAAAAAAACGTAATTCAGTATGTCATTGGTGCGTTTAAATTAAATACATGCTCACAATCATTGTTATTCACAATTAATACAAACATTTGACCATCATGCCAGATTTACATGCAATGGGAACAAATTCACATAGATTTTATAATACAATTTCATAATGCAACTTATTAGCCATTATTATTAGCCAAAATTTTAACTTTATTATCATGTAATTTAAAAAAAATTAAAACTTAAAACATCACCCGATATTGAAACTGTTTAAAGGCTTAGCTTTATCGATTACTTATTTACTCATGAATAACCTGGATTTCAGTATGGTCTAGATGAAAAAAAAAAAAAATTAATTGTTACAGCCAAGCTTTCAATTATTTTAAGGTCATGCTTTGAAATCCAACTCAGCCCAACCAACAGTTGTCCTCCCAAGAAATTTGAAAACCATCTATTGAAAACTTCATTATGTCAATTTTTAGACATGTTTAAGATTGTTTTTTCCCTAATGATGACCTTAAAATATATCGAAAGCTTAGTAGTAACAAATGATTTTATTTTTTTTTCCATTAAGACCATACCGAGATCCAGAATATTGAAACTGTATAAATCAGCCAACTAAAAATAATAAAAAAATAAAATTTAAAAAAGTGCTACTACTAATACTAAAAGCCAAAATAAGCGACATGTTTCAGTTTAATAACCAGCCGACTAAATTATCTAGTACAGTTAATTGTTAACCACCATTAATGGATATGAAAGACGTATTCTCACACAGGAAAATGAGTCAATTCGGAAAAACACCTTCCCTGCTTAAAAGGCTCGAGGAAATTTGCATATGCACGATCAACAAATATATACAAGAGAGTCATTTAACTACACTAATTTAAAACCACTTCCTCGGTATTTACATTTACAGTGACATTACACGTAAAAGCATTACAACACACACATTTATATATTCACTTGTGATTATTTGTGCGTTTTTTTTGTTTTTTTTTCTACAGCTTAAGGAAAAAAAGAAATATTAGAATAACCAAATATTTGGTAAATAATATCTCCAATTTGTTGGCTCTTCTGGCAGTCGTTTTAATGATTATTTGGAGATGTCAGATGCAATCAGGTGTGATGTAGGTTTAGAAAAACATTTTCTTTATTGTGCCAACATTTCGATCTTTATTGAGATCATCTTCAGGGCCTCGGATTTATAAACATTGTTTAAATTTTCTAGGTTTTTCTAAACCTGTCACACAAGACTATCTCAAAATAGTCGTTTTAATGCTGAACCATAAATGGGCCCTGTGAGTCTAACATGCATTCATCGGCTCATAAAACATCTACCATCATCCGATATAAGTGGGATGTTGCGGGCCTCAGCTTATTTATATTAATTTAATTATATAAATTATTTATTTAACAAAATTGTGGCCTGATATCGTCCACCTCATAAACAGAGATTCTACCATCATTTTCAATTCCAAAATAAAAGTAATCTGTGTGAAAAAGAAACAGTATACAAGGATGAACCTTTCTTTTCAATAAGGTTAAACTTCTCCAAGCCTACCTACATTTTGACAAGGATCCAGAACAAAAATCAGAACTTGCAAGAGTTTAAACTACCTAAATTTGGATAAAAGTTTTATTCACAGACCACAGCTCAGCCCTGCAGTCTTTTTAGACAGGGTTATTGTTCCAAAGAGAGGTTTTTTAAAGAAGGGCTGCACCAATCTTGTTTTGATCCAAGGTGGACTTATCGTCTTCTTTTACATCTTAATTTTTTTATTAATGCCAGATGTATACTGAAATTATTTGATAAAGGCAGCCAAATACATAACACTTGCAGCTCTTACTTAAGAGACTAAGATAATGAAACCAGATCAATAAAAAACTAACCAGATCTCAAGAAAAGTCCACCAGGACCAACTAAAAATGTTATTAACATAGGAGGCGATGTTTAAAAGATCAGGATTTTTATTATTTTATTTTTAATTTATGAAAAACCCTTTGTAAATTAAATAATTTTAGAATGAAAAATGTCAGAGTTAGTTTTGCTGGAAAAAAAAATCAATAGTTGCCAGGTGAACTTTCTTTTATTATTATGAATTTGACAACTATGACTTTTAGTGGCAACAAGCAAATGTGATATGAAACAATGAAAATATAGCATAACATCATCACAACTGAATAAAACCACTAGAAGAAAAGTGACTCTCCTGAATTTTTTTTCTTAATATTCCCTTCAAATTTTAACCACACATTTTCATATTAAAAGTAAAGAGACTTTTTTTTTTGAGGGGGGGAGTGCGTAACACCATTGCAGCCACCAACACCCCTTTAAAGTTATATGTTCAAATCTAGAATCGATTAAGGAAAGTTCCATATCTCCCCAACTTGAACTTTACGAGTTACAGAAGATTGAAGAGCAATTGTCAAAAATACTCAAAGACTTGCTTCTTAAATGGAGTTGGACGCTAAGACTAAGGTAATGATATGGATTTGTTGGGTCATCAGGAAAAGAGCATATATTATCTTTTTATATTGTGAAAAGGAAGGGCCCTAGGATATTACCTTAGGGTACACCCAACTTTAATAAAATCAGTCTGTCAGATTGGATTTTTTTTTTTTTTTTTTTTACGTCAAAGGAAGGATGCCCTTGAGCTACAGCAATGGGTGCCTCATTGAGGAAATTACCCGAGCAATACTGTTTTTTCTGCACAAGGGAGGATGATAGTGTCCACAAAAAACTTAATTTTTCAGCACATAATAGCAGTTTCAGTTTTGACATCAATCTTTTTCAAGGAATTTTTGGATGTTCAGTATTGATTATTTCTTTTACAAACCCAGTAAAAATATAACTTCCCTTCATTGTAATGCAAAGCAATATAAAAACAACACTGCTCTTTCATAGGTTTGTAGTAACTTTAAAAATGGAGTACTGCAGCATGTCCATTGTTTCTAGGTTAATAAATGTTCCCATTGAAAACCTAATCATCTCACAAGGAGATGCTTGTGGCACATGTCCAAATGTTTTTGCCACTGGGCAATTTTAAGAAAATTTAAATGTTTTTCTGCATTTGAGTTTATATTTATAAATACAAAATTTGCGACTGTATGACGTAAGTAGGTTAACCTTTTTGAGACTCGTGACAAGTTATCTTGGTTGGGCTTATACGCTCCCCAGACCTTGAGTTATTTCGTTGGTTTTGCATTTTAAGAGCTCTAGCTAAACACTCATGGCATCTATTGGCCTGAGGTTGTAATGTGAAACAGACAAACTAAACGGACACCTTCTCCTTTCCTTCCCTGTCATCATCAGCAAACCACTTTTTTCTCCCCACTCTGTAGATAATCTGGCCTCCCTCAATTTTAAATCTCAAAGACAAACTAAAAACAAGTTTTTCTTCATTCTTTTGCACCCACCAAAACCCTTGAATACAAACTTTTAGCAAAATCAAAAATATCCCCCCCCCAAAAAAAAATTCACGGTCTAAATTATTTTTTTCTTTTGAAAATCATAAAAATGAAACTGAAAAATTGAACTCCATTGATGCACCAGAAACATCACAGGAATTTGTAATAATATAAACTAAATGTAAAGGCACAAACCTGGCCTAAATAAATAATTCAGAACTGGAAATAAAAAATAAAACGTAACAAGTTTCAACATCACGTTCAATTTACAAACTTTCACTTATGTCAATGTTAAAATGCAAACATATTTAACATTAAAATGTTATTCTTGAAAAATTGTGTAGCCCTTTCTTAAAAACATGTGACTTAATACTAATTCAAGAGCATTTCACCAATAATACGAAGATCGGTAAGTGGTTCTCATTGAATAAAACAAATCTAATGTCAGTACCACATAAGGTTTTTAAACACTAAACATATCACAATTATGCAAAAAAAAAAAACCATGATTAAAAAATTCAACTAAAATGGCAACATTCCATTAAAAATATAACAATGTGTGAAACACAAGAGAAAATATTTAAAAAAAATTATGCTTCATTACGCTCTAAGCATTGCAAAAAAAATCACACAAAGAAAATTAAAAGAAAAAAAAATCAAAATAAATTGTAAGTGGTTGATTATATAATCATGTACCTTCTTTAATGGTGTTACATATTTTTCAAGCCCACTGGACAGTAACCATTAGTAGATAATTTAAACATAACTGATTAATGAAAAATTAAAGTAACCTTTTTTTAGGAATTAAGTACATCAACTTGAAATAACTTGATAAATTGAAAAATAATGTAAAATGTGTACACATCTCTTTATTAATTGTTTAATTAAATGTTTCTCCGACCCTGCGATTGGCTGCAGTTCTCTACTCACTCATACAAACTTATCTGCAATATGACTTCACTGTACTGCCCTAAATCAACCGTTACAAGAGATTAAAAACGGTGAGTCAATTTCCACAACGGCGTCGGCAGTTGAAATACACAAAAACCATTGTACAATCTTTAAAATTTTCAAGCTTGTTTAAGGTCCTATATTGAATGAACTGTGCAATACGTTGATTTAAAAATGCTATACATTACATTAATAAGTACTTGTAAGTGTTACTGAATTATTTTCATTTGACTTTAGTTGTAAATAAAGTATCCATTGTCAGTTAAGTTTACAAGTCATTTTTTCTTTAGATGTTGAAAAAAACCAAAACGACTCCAGCGAGAATAGACAGATCAGGATAACGCAGATCAAGTTGCAAGGATTTAGAATAAAAAAGAAAATTATCAGGCCTAAATTAAGTGAGTAGAGAACGCCATCAAAATTCCTAACCTGTTTAATGGAGATCTATACATTGGGTGTCCTTTTTAGATGACCCGGCTGGATTTCTCTTGAACAGGTTACGCTATCAAAAAACCAAAAGTGCCTATTTAATATTATTTAGTTATCTTTTTTTTTTTCTTTTTTTAATTTGTTGTCAGCATAGTTCAGAGCCAGTACAACTTTGAAATTTTAAATGAAAAATTATACTTTTTTAAGCACTGTTTTAAAGTTTTCTTTTTCTGTTTTTTACACTAAAATGATGGCAAAATCAGATTTTAAATTGTTCAAAGAATAACGAAGTTATGACACATAATGTAAAAAAATATATTCATTTTGTTAATTGTTTTAAACTACACTGACAGTATTTGTTTAAGTGATAAAAATTTAAAACAACTAAAAAATATTAAATAATTTTCTTTTTTCGATAACGTTATCTATCCAAGAGACCCTCTAAAAAGGACACTTTTTATTTATGTGCGGATATTTATGTGTTTTACACTATTTTCCCCTTGTCTTAAAATTCTAAGCCAGTTTCTATTTGGCAGGGAACAATAATCGTCTATTTTATTCGAACAAAGTTTGCTGTAGTTTTTCAATTATAAACCAGCAAAACTAGCCAAAACATCAAATTTTATTCATATTGTGAAGACTTATTAACAAACAAAATGAAGCTTAAATTAACATTTTTAGCGTTATGCTAAAAAAAAAATCGTAGTAGAATGCTACTGGGTTATATTTAGAATATTGTGATCTTGTAATTTATATATTCTAAAGTAATGATTAATTTGAATCATTTATATTTAAAATTTTAAACTGCCCTGAATAAATGGAATCGAGGACATCAAAGGTTAGTTTTATACAGTGAATACTTGCTGTTAAACAGCACAGCTGATATAATACAGCAGGGAACTATTAAAATCTGTGATGCATTCAAAATTCCAAGATGCATGTGAATATAATTTACTGTTGATGTTATTTTAGCAATTCAGAAATAATAAAAACACATCATTAATCAAAAGAAACTGTTTAATATCTTAATATTGGAAAAACACCCCTTTTATTGTGATATTCTGGCGTTTGTTTCTCGATAATTTATGTCAGTTTATAAATAAAATACAAGATTTTTAAACAACAATTTCCACATTTTATTCCATTGTTTTACTTTAAGGGGGAGCACAAATCACCACATTACAATTGAAAATCAAAATAAAAACTAAACTAAAAGAAAGAAAAAAAAACAAAAGCGTGAAATCACCAATAACGGGATGTTGTTTTGGCCAACCTGCAGCAGCTAGTTGTGCTGTAACCTCATCACCCATAGCAGCAGCCATAAGGTCGCCCGAGTTGTCATACTCGGAGCTATGTGAGGACATGCATCCATCATCGTCGTCACTGTGGACGGTCAGCGTAAGAGTCTCTGTGCCTCCAGTTTCCATCAGGGTTACCATGATGATAAAAGCTAGAAAAATGACCGAATATTCAAGTTAAAAAGTCTTAAATATCAATTGGTTTCATTTTCAGATTAATTAAATCTCACTAGAGATTGCTGCTTAATCTAGGTTCGTTTTTATCCCCCCCCCCCTGCGGTCATGAAACCAAATTTAATAATAGTAGGCAACTAAGTTTAAATCAATCAAACCACCTCATCTGAAAGGCTCTGTGTGTTTCTCACTGAAGATGGCCTTATCAACAGATAAAAAAAAATAAAAAATCAGACTTTTTCTCAATTTCCTGTTTCCTGCCGAAATAACATTAAAAAAGTTTATTTAAAAGTCCCCCCTCCTTTGATTTCTCAGGTCTTGCCTTTATACTGACCACTTTGCTCGCCCACGGCTGTATGGTAAAATAGTGCTCTGGTACATAAAATAATGTACGTGATTTTTTTGTGTTTACCTAAGATAAAAATTATATGATGCAAAAGTTGCATCCCTCACAGTGCTAAGTAAATGAAGTAAGCAAATCGTGGAACGTTTTTCATGCACAGAAAAGCATATTACATGATTTTCAGAGAATAAAAAATCTCTTTGCAAAAAAAAAAATTGCATCAACTAGCCAGTGACAATTTTACCCCTAGGAAATTTGAACTTTTGTGGAGAGAAAGTTTAAAAAGTATAAGTGGGAGGACGCAGATCATGCAACCAATGTACCCAGGTCAATCAGCACGATGTACATGTGCGTATTATGCAGTCAACGTGTTAATCCGTTTGAATTTTATCCTGGTTCAATTGGAACAGATTGGCACTGTAATACATTTCAATCGCAAATATCAACCAAGATGTTTTATTTTTATCTGCAGTTACTAATCTTGTCTGCTCAAGTTTTGACTTGTATTTTTATAAATATGTACTCTAAATGTTAATTTTACTAATATATAACATTAAAAAATTAATCGAATGAATTGGCAATTAAATATTTTAAAAAAATACTTACCTAAAAAAAAGAATAAACAGATTCTTCTGGAGGTGAAGAATGTTATTTTGAAATCAGCTGCATGTTCTTCAGCCAGGGATTAGCTATTTCATGTAAAAAAAAACTTTATTAATGAAACATCGCCACTCATAAAAACTCACAAAAACTAAACATAGGAAAAGATCAACTTACACAATAGAGATATGTAAAATTAATGGCAACCGGAATACAAGTTTAAAATTGAATTTAAACTATGAAACCGACTATGCCTTACATTCAAAGATTACAAAACATTTTTACCAAAATGATATTGCTTTTTGTAAATTTTTTATCTCCCAACATTTTCACTTCTTCTTCTTCTTCTTTCATTAAAGACTGTTCTGACATCTAAAATAAAACCAACGACAAAAACACAATGAGGTAATTAAGGATAAAACTCAATAGGGCTTTATATTTTTCACAATTAAGTTTCAAGATGAAAAGACAGGGAAAGCAATAAGTCAGTCAAGTTGTAGCAATAACAAAAAAAAATCTATTTTTTGGTTTACCTAGTCTTTTGCACTGAGCTAGCATTTAATTATCATCTTGGGTTCTTGCTTTGTATCTATAACAAACAAAATAAAAATTATTTCGCACAGTTTAAATTTTTCATTAATTACGATGATATTCAATTAAGAAAATCTTTGAGAAGACAGGGATCTTAGTTGATACTTTTCTCTACCCCCCTCAAAAATTGTCTTAATCAAATTTATAGTTTGTTATTCTACATCATAGATTAAAAACAAGATAACAAAACCCGAAGTTAAATACAGAGGTTCATTATTCTTTGTCCACTCAAGTATAGCAAAAAAAAAAAAAAAATGATTGTTTACAAACAAAAACAAAATAATATTTGTAAAACATGATTCTTCGGTTTCTAGATTGTTTAGTGCTATGGGTTGATTAAATTTACAAAAACTGTCGTTTTGTAAACTTTTATTATGATCCCCCCCATTAAAATGAAAACTCAAAATTCTTATTGTTTGTTGATTCAATGATTTCATTCACCTTGACACGATTTCTTTCTTCGATAACAGACTGGTCAATTTAGCACAAATATAACTCACTATGCAAAGCCATGATTTTTTTTTATGCAGACAGACAAGTGGTTGATAGCATTTAATACATTGTTTTTTAATTTGCACAAGCCCTTGACACACGTTGATAAATGTGCATAATCTCTCTAAAAAAAAAAAGAAAATAGCACACAACTATGTATGTAAAAACTAGACCAAATTTTATAGTAAAAACCTTTGAATAATAAAATATATATTATGTAGCTTTTTTGCGTATATTAAATAAACAAAACAATATATTTGGTAGGATCGGGGATGTGGTCCAATGAATGTTGTGTTGAAACTACACGAAAAACAGACACCCCCTTGCGTCCGGAGTGTGGAGCCCAAGAGGATGTCGAGCACAAGATCTGAAAGAAGTTTGAGAAAGAGCGAGAAGTCAAAAAGTGCACTCGAGTAACACACAATCTCAACGTTCTATTCCAAATGTCTAGTCCCAACTCAACCAAGCTTTTAAACAATTTTCTGCGATAATACTGTGATGGATATTTTATTCGTATTTATTTGTTTTATTAGGTTTAGTTAAATTGCAATCCGTCAGAAAATTCTCGGGCTGTTTTCCTCACAATATAAAATTTTAATAAACAAATGTAAATATTTTATAAGCCCTTCTAGAAACTACTGTAAAAGGGTAAACCAACAAAGGGAGATCCTTTGAATTAATAGAAATATGTTTGAAGATATATAATCTCCCTACATTGGTGATATTGGTGCGACCAAAATGAAGGCTTTAAGAAATTAAACCCTTTCCAAAAATTGTAATTTTAGCATGCCAAAAATGTTTGTCCCACCGGTTGGTGTCTACCTTAGGAACAATGGGAAGGAATAACTCTTAAAGTCTAAGTTTGGACATGTAGACTAAAATGATAAGAAACAACCAAAATACAGATTTTTGATATGGTTTACTTCTTTGAGAAGAAACATTTTTAACTATTTGGACTTCTGAATAATACAAAATTGTAGCAACACTATCGAAGAATTTAATTAAATTGTAGGTACGATGTGTTAACACTTGATACTCTTGACAATCTGAAGGAGGATGCACTTGCATGTGAGCCTTTAGAAAATCATTCTAGTCTGTTTATCATTGTATTAGTTTGTGTGATTACTGGAGAAATCAAAAAAAATTTTTACTTCCACTAACAAATGTTTGGGAATCGCTGACTGAGGAAAATGGCAAGGACAGGCAGACATGATCAGATACGATCGACCGATTAGTGATATTGTTTGTTCGTCTATTGGGACTTTTTAATAATTATAATGTTGTATCAATACTATCAAAACTTGTATTAAATTGTACGTATAACATGATAACACAGACTCCATACTCTTGAGGATCTGCAGGATGATATATCTGTATTTTGAACCTTTACAAAATCATTACAGTCTGTTTGTCATTCGTGGATTTATGAGATTCACTGGAGAAATTTAACTTAAGCACATCACTACCAAATGTTTGGGAAATGCTAAGGAAAATGACAAGGACGAGCAAACTAGAATGAACAGAAACAACCGACGAATTATTGATTCTGTTCATTTTTCTATCGGGACTTTTCAATAATTATAATATTGTATCAACACTATAGGAGTATAAAACAAGTGCGTATTAAATTCTAAATATAACATGATAGCACAGACTTGATACTCTTGAGGATCTGCATGTGAATCTTTACAAAATCATTCTAATCTGTTTACCAGTCTTGAGTTTTTGTGATTCATTGGACAAATTTAACTTAAGCACTTCCAAAACCAAATGTTTGGGAAACGCAGACTGAGGAAAATGGCAAGGGCAGGCAGACAAGAATGATCAGAAAAAACCGATTATTGATAGTTTGTTTGTCTATTGCAACTTTTCAATAATTATAATGTTGTATCAATACTATCGAAAATTGCATTAAATTCTAAATACAACATCATAACACAGACTTGACACTCTAGAGAATCTGCATGTGAGTCTTTACAAAATCATTCTAATCTGTTTATCATCCGTGGATTTATGTGATTCACTGGAGAAATTAAACATAAAATAGTTCCACTACTGAATTTTTGGGAAACGCTGACTGAGGAAAAAGACAAGGACAAGCAAACTAGAATGAACAGAAACGACCGATGACTTATTGATACTGTTTGTTTGTCTATTGGGACTTTTCAATAATTATAATGTTGTATCAATACAACATCGTAACACAGACTTGACACTAGAGAATCTGCATGATATGAAACTGCATGTGAGTCTTTACAATATCATTCTAATCTGTTTATCATCCGTGGATTTATGTGATTCATTGGAGAAATTAAACTTAGAATAGTTCTACTGAATTTTTGGGAAACGCTGACTGAGGAAAAAGACAAGGGCGAGCAGACTAGAATGATCCGAAACAACCGACCGATTATTGACACGGTTTGTTTGTCTATTGGAACTTATACTATTAATAATGATAAACAAACAAGTACAGTTCTGATAACACCGGCTGACAAGTGGTCCATGTGGTTTTACAAATTTAAAATTTTAATAGGCAGTTGCTCGACACGATAAAAGATGTTATCACGATTAACAGGCACCGGTATCACAATGTATAGGCGAGACAGGGATGGACTGTTTGTAGCATAGATGAGGTACGATGCGCATGGGATAAATGCACCTGTCATAGTGACAGATGTCAAATGACATAAAATCTGACATCTTTTGTCAGTCGAAGGTTGTCAGGTTTAAAAGAATGGAAACATCGATTCAAAAAACGGCGGAATAGACAGAAACGGATGTGGAGTGAAATATAAACAAAGGAGGGAAAACGAGTGTTGAGGTTGAGTAGAGGCTCGGGCGGAGGCGAGCGGCTCGGCGTCCGAACTGGGGTCCGAGACGACGCCGCCGTACGAGAATAAAAGGATCGCTACTCACGGTGAGAAGTCTTCGGGGAATCAGAAGGGAAAAAAGGCCGGCGGCGTCCGGACACGGCCTAGGTGTAAACAAATGTAAAACGGGTCCGCGACGGGCCAGGGGTCGGCGGAGGAGGTCCGTCGGCCGCGATCCCCTGGGGGTCCGCCCCGTTTCGCCGTGTCGGCCCGCGTCCCCGTCCTTTTCAAACGGCATTAAATATAAGCGAAGATAAATATACCCCCGACTGGCTCTGAGCAGGCCCAGTTAATATAGTAGAGTACGGCTGCGTACGCACCTGCGTGAAGAGTGAGCCATTTCGAATAAGAAGACGAGACTCGGAGCTTTTCACTCGAGCCCGAGGCCAAAGGAGAGAAGCGAGCTCGGCCGACGACTCCGTTTAAACATAACTCGCCCCTTTCTCAAGACGGATTCGCCTCCAGAGTCTCCAGACGGATCGATACTCGCCCAGGAAGGCTTACCTCCCGATTTTCGACCACCCGTTTCGCCAACGGGCACGCACAGGGCCTGCGCATTAAAACGCCCAGCCGATCAAATCAAAACCTATTTTCAAACGGCGGATACTCACGTTCAAAGACCGCCCTTTAACGACGACCTTTCCACAACTGGCCCAAACCCCTTTTTATTAGCGAAAAACACCTTTTTTAAGAGGATGAGTCGACGGATTTAATATTTTACTAACTTCTTTTGTACGTCTCCTTGCAACTGTCTCGACTCGACCATCGAGACGGATCGATTACGCCCCTGCATCGATCCGAGACTCATTTTCAACAAAAATAAACCCAAATTAAATATCATCACTCTTCCCGTGAAACGAGGTCCGTCTCTATCTCGAAACAATCACTTTTTACAACCCTTAAAAAGATCTGAAACCCTGAAAATAAAAAAACTGACTTCCTTTTGGGAACATCGAACCGTCCTTCCGACTCGGCGATACCCTTCTCGACCAGGTCCGTCCGAGCACGTAATACCGTCCGGAAATATGAAAAAATAATAAAGAGTCCAAATAAAACTAAAATCGACACCTTTTCGAGGATATCTGAAGAAAAAAAAGAATGAAATAAATAGGCTGTGAGATTCCGAGTCGAGTTGGGCGGGCTCGATATAATCTCAAGTGACGTCCCAAATGGGTACATTTTGGTTAACTTCAACCCCTCGTTTATTTGTTTAACTGGAAGCCACACCATTTTTTTAATATACAAAATGTAAAAAAGTAACAATTTACGATGTAAACTAATAATTACGATAAAATAATGTAATAAAAAGTATAGAATACATGACGGGTGTGCGGAGGTTGTTTGATGTAGCCCACTAGTTGAAGGGAATGATAAATGATGGAGTGAGTGTGGTGTTCAATACTTTTTAAAAGGATAGTTCCTACTCACAGTAAGTTGTTTTGCAACGATCCGGATTTCGAGCCTTTTAGCTCATCATCAGGTTGTAGAAGTCCTTCAACCTGATNTTGTGCCAAAGCTTGTGTGCACCCACTTAGTTGAAGGGTGCAATTCCTTGGCTCCATATAGAGAGTGTGTATGAATGTCACCTGATATGAGAATTGTGCTTGAAAATGGCAGCGTGTTTGAAGGTATCAGGAGCACTGTCAATGGGTGACCCTTAGAGGACCTGACTTGTAGAAGAAGGGTCATCCTCACTTGATCAAGAATAGGTCGAGCGAGGTTGACACATAGACGCTTAATCATGGGCCAAAGCCCACATATGTGCCCAGTGTGCAGAGATTGTTCAATGTGTCCCATCTAATTGAAGGGTGCAATACTTGGCTTCATATGTAGCATGGAGGAATGTCACTCGATATGAGAATTGTGCTTGAAAACGGCAGCGAGTTTTAGGGTCCAAGAGAAGCTCTCATGTATCAATCGCACCAACAGGATCCACGCCGATCCATGCAAAGCCAACGATTGCCTCTTTCTTGGCGCTAGCAGTTTCTACTCGCGCGACATCGCACGAACAGGATCCACGACGATCCATGCAAATTCAACGACTGCCTCTTTCTTGGCTTCTACATAACCACGCATAAATCCATAAATACATTCATACCACAAAAAAAGAAAGGGATTTCGTGTGAGGGGCATTGATATAATATCGTAGATTCCAATCAGTTGGTATTTCAAAGAAATTTCCTCAAGACTGATGCTGACCGTCATTTTAAAATGATTATTTTTGTTAGGTGTCTATTCATGATTTGTCTTATTTTTTGCATATTCTTTCAATGTAGGAGAGAGGTGTTCCGATATAGAAAATGTTGTTAATGAGAGATAAAGAATTGAAAGAAAAAAAAGTTTTACTATCTTTTCATCGTATGTTCAATTTGGGGTGAACATTGAACCTGTCCCTTGGAAAGTCGGATTTCGCTCATCTCGCTTTATCCTGGTATTGTTCATTGATGGGGCTCGGGTAAGATAAATAAACTCTAGGATCTGTTAAGACAGTTATCTCAGAAAATAAGTGATTTGTTAGGCTGTCTTGCATGACGCACTGAACTCTGACCCCAAAAATCAACCCTTATCTATGTTTGTTTAACGAGTCTCTCTAAATCCCTTACGAATATCTGTACAGTTTAAATAATTTTGAGAGGACGCCGGGTGGTTTCGAGTGTTTTTCGGAGAGTTGATGTCGAGGGTGGAAAGTGTGGACCATTTCTAGCATCAATTTACCCCCTGGATTACGACTGAACCAACATATGTAACCGGTAAGATATTTATAACAATCGACAAAAGTAAAACATTGATAATTATTCAGAAATCGTGAGATGCGGTCCGGATTTCTGAATAATTATCGATTAACGGTCACTAATCACCACACAGTAAAACATTGACTTATATCACTGCTGAGTTTTTTTAAAATGCACAAGGTCAAGGAAATACTAATGATTCATTTTACAATGAGGCATAGGTCTTCATTTAGATCAACATTTAGACGGTCAAATTTTTAGACTTTAAAATTTGATTTAACAAAGCTCAAAAAGAGTCCAGAATAAATGGAACAATGATGATACTATGTTTTTACTTATAATTTTTCAATTAGCACGATGCATCCTTAATATTATAAGATTACTTATGAAAGTACATGCTTATTTTATGTGCTTTTTTCAGGTTTAAAGATGTTGGCCTGAATGGTGTCTTAAATATGGAATATATTATCAAAGTGTTGTTAATTCTTTCAACACTATCTACGAGTTGCTGTTTCTCAAGTAAGATTTTCTATATATGTGCGTGTGAATGGGTGAGTGTGTGGGCGTGTCAACCACCCTTGAACGATAATGAATAGCAATGAATGAAATTGAAATTATTAAAACTGATCGTCTCTGGTTTCTGGCAGGCGTAGCAGGGAACTGTTTTCATTCTTTCATCCCATTTCACACGCTACGGATTCGTCCGTACGGCGACATCCCGATTGTGCCGTGTAAAATTCAATAGTAGCTTTCACACGCTACGGATTCGTCCGTACAGCGACATCCCAATTGTGCCGTGTAAAGTTCAATTGCGGCTTTCACACGCTACGGATTCATTCGTACGGCGACATCCCAATTGTGGCATGTAAAATTCAATAGTGGTTTTCACACGCTACGGGTTCGTCCGTACAGCGACATCCCAATTATGGCGTATACAATTCAATGGTGGTTTTCATACACTACGGATTCGTCGGCACGACGACATCCCAATTGTGCCGTGTAAAGTTCACTTGCGGCTTTCACACGCTACGGTTTCGACCGTATGGCGACATCCCAATTGTAGGGTGTAAAATTAAATAGTCTTTCATACGCTACGGATTCGTCATTCCAATATCACCACTGTGACAGACGGCTGCCGTGAGGTTTACCAGACCAAGTTTGTATTGTAGCAACGTTTCCGGACTTTTATGTTGACTTTTAATGAAATCTTTGAACCAATTTTTTGACACCGCTTAAGGTTTGTACGTTTTGGGTACTTGCAACCCCGTGGCATAATCCATGCCTCTATCATCTGGAGTGTATTATCGGCCGTGTAAATTGCAGTGCACATATGCGGCTTTTATCCGCCCGGTCTCGCTGCTATTCAATGCAAACATGTTGCATTGTGGCGTCGTAGGTAGTTCCGTTCGTGTGAAAGGTTAACTCCCAAAATTTAAATTTGAAGCAAAAAGTATACCTTTATGGCCTTTACAATCTTGACAAATAACAACGAAGTGCTTCTAGATTAACTTAGGCGTCGCTAAGGCCTACATGGGCGCAAACATCCCTACATCATGACTAATTTCATATAGGGAATGATGAATCTGATCTTTTCTCCTTCAATTGTAGAATAACCGTAAAACTTCATTAGATCACCATATGGTGCGAAAGGTATATTGTAAAGGTAGCTGTATAGTTTCGTGGAAAACAGGAAGTTTTGCAGCCTTTGTCCTTTGACGCCTGGCGGCATCGATGAGCGTCTTTTTCTCCATTTTGTCAAGTTCGCCGGTTAATTTCCACCTCATACATTCTGTAATTGTATGTATATTAGTAATTTCTCCCTTTATCACTTAAACTATCGTCTATCGTGTCGATCCCTGCTAATGGATTTCCTGTAAGATTTTCTTTTATGCAGTAAGTTCTCAGGAGTGTATCGTGGTCTACTAAGTCTAGTTATTCTCAGGTTACATTTAGCCTTTGTCTATTGTAGGACAGTTGCTTAGGGATATGTTCTACTCTTTGTTTCTTCTAGACATAATCGACGTTGGTCATCTTTTTTTAGTGGTATTTTACTATAGCATGTTCTTTAAATATACCACTTAGAGTTTATAATTCCTTTCTGTTGATTCTATTGACTAATATTTAATCTTTCTCCGATTGGGTTGCTTTTGTGAGTAGTGTTTTGCGTGCCTCATGCCTTGGTATACCCAGAATTTGTTGTGTTCTTTAGCTTTTTTTTTTTTTAATTTCCCATCCACCTCCCCGCCGCACCTAAGGGAGACCCCATACCGGTTGTGTTCTATCCAAGATCCCAGTTCGTGTTTAATGTGGCTGTGCTTTATGCCACAGAATTAGTTCTGAGCTCTTATTTTTAGCAAGTATATCTGCTACCTTGTCGCCTGTAATTCTTTCATGACGTGGGAACCACTTCAGCATTAGGCTACTTGAAGATCCCAACTTTTTTTTTTCTCCCTTTATTTCATGTGCACATGTTTCTATGGCTAGCAGTTTGTTTTGAAAGATGGTTGTGGTGGGATGATGGTGGATACTATGAAGTGGGTTTTTTTGTTCTCCAAGCACTGCATCCCTCTGGCCATTGTATTTTCTTAGTGCTTTAGTTTAGTGCAACTGACTCGATCCTTGATCTTAAGAAGTATTAGATCATTGACTATTGATTCATTTTCTGTTCTTTGCATTTTCTTTGTATCCCAGGTTATGTTTCCATTGAGCGGTTGCTTGAGGAGTCCTTTTTTTAGAAACTATATCTGCTATCTCATTCTCTCATGCCCTGGGACCCAATTTAGCGTTATGGCTGTTAGTAAATCCCAATTTTTTTAAGGTATTCAGGCAGTTCCAGACAAGTTTTGTGTTAATTTACTTCATACTTGAAAGAATTTTTATTTTTGCTTCATTCAGATATTTATTATTTATATTGCATGTTTACATGTTTCAGTGGCAAGTAGTTAGGATTGAAAGATGGTTGGGCCAAGGGCCATGTAGTGCACTAAGTTAGACCCCGTACCCAAACCGTATACCATAGACTCCAGGGTCTATCTTCTTTTGTTTTGTTTTTCCAATCAACTCTCTTTTCGATAATTATTTAGAATGGTTTTCCAAAATCCAGTTTTTCTGATAAGTCAAAAATGGTTTTAGCCATTATTTTAAATTTTTCAGATTTTGGTATGGCACATGTTAGATGCTTCCTTTCCACTGACAGATAAATTCTTCATTCTAGCATCATCGCCATTTTTTTTACATAAAGTAAGGGTTTCAATAGCACCAATGAGCTAAGGCTATTCTTTGGACTTTTTGTATTAGTTCCTCTACTTGTATTTGTTCTATTTTTGGCCATCATCTTGCTTAAGTGATCATGAGTCTTACAATTTGGGGTTGAGGTCACAATGATATGAAGTGATTTTATGATTTAGCCCATAAGTACCCACAGAGTCTTTGGCATGCCCACAGTATCTTTAATGCTTGGTTCTCTTAAGGTGTGCAATTCACGTTAACCTTTGGGCAAGAACTATAGTTAAGTAACTTCTTTGGAATCTTTATTTCTTGGTTTCACAGGGTCAGAACTGTTTTTCCTGGTATACGCGATTGTTGCATTTGAGGTTTATTTAGACCCTTTTCCTGGTTTCTGTGTTACATTTGAGGCTTTTTGTAATAATGTCAAAGCTTATGCAGGAGGTCATCCACTACCAGTGACTAAGGTTGGTGATAGTGCTCCTCCTTGGGGGCAACCTCACATTGGTTGTTTTGTAAGCTTTTCATCCCCAAGTTCTAGTTTTTAGTACTTAATTTAAAACTTTCATGTAAGTTATGTTACTTTTTGTCAAATTCGAGAAAGTTGTCTGGAATTTATTGATAAACTAAACAATGATTAATAGTGGAAATTGCTTATTGAATTAATTTGATAGTATTGTTTAAATACTGTTTTTTTATAATTTCAGAAATACTTCGAGACGTAAATATTTGCGGAAATCCTGTCTGCAAGGGTGAGTATACAACATACAATAATACAAATTATTAATATGTATATATAGCAACATTGTAACTTTGCATATAGCAACAACCAATGTTGGTGATGTTATATTTTTACATTGGTGATATAGATATGGAAAAATATTAATATTAATTAAACAGATTGTACACTAAATTCACTGGTTTATCAAATAAAAAAAGACATAGTGTGGTCACTCTTTTGTTTGATGTTAACGTAATACTTATTTTTTTATGTGTTGGCATTAAAAGATTTTTAAAACGCAAGATAATTCCATGTTACGTTGGACAATTTTATGACACATTTCTTTTGGCGACTTCATGTAGGTACAAGTTTTAAGCAGTTCACACATTTTCATAGTTCTTTTGTCAGGCGGGCTGTTGAGACGTGACAAATTGACATATGAAACATCTCCAGACATCCAGGATTTTTTTAAACTAGACATGAATGATAGTCCACATTTGTTTTACTCTTTCTTTTGCAATTGTTCATCTATCTGGCCATTGAGGAAAACAAACTTAAGCTTGTAACAGTTGCCTTGGAAAATCGAGGCCTCAGTTGCCTCCAATTTGCGGAAATTGAAATGAAAAGGATACTTTATGGTGCTATCCGAGTAAGGAAGTGAAGGAAAAGGCACTTGAAGGTTAAAATTGGATCTATAGCTTGATAAAGGAAAAACATAATTCTTTTCAATAGCTGAAAAAACAATTCTATGGTTTGAAAAAGTAGACAACGAGATGAACTCTTTTTTTTTTTTTGGTCTTCATCATAAAAATATTGATCCACAAAGTTCATAATTGTATCATTTGGGTTTAATTCGATGGAGTGGATTTGATTTTCTGGAGTTCATTTCAAACAAAATAAATATAGATGAGTTACAAAAAGTTATGGACAGAGTTTAAACTCAGGGTGGGTCAAATGCTGGACTTTTCAGTACACAAAATATATATTGCATTCATTTAAGAATGATATATTTTTAAAACAATATAAACATATTTAAAAAAAATATATTAGTGTAATGTAGATGTTGAACAAAATTTTCTGTTTTTTTTTCTTCTCAATATTTTATATATTTAATAATTAATTTTTTAGGACCAGTTAAGTTCGGATTTCACAACTGGACTTCGTACAAGTACGCGTACAAAATATCAACAAGCACGAGATTTGATGGCACTGGATCAAACTCTTCTAATTTAAACATAGCTGCTGTCATTGAAATAAAGTTCAAGTCTCAATGTGAAGGCATCCTTGAAGTAAGTTGAAAAAAAAAAAAAATGTAAATATTTATCTATTACTTACTTTGTTATATGCAAGCCTTATTCATATTTTCTACAAAAATAAACTCAGACATATTGTTTAAGTAAAAAAAGAAACTTAAGATATTAAAAAAGTTACTTTAAGCATAGAAATTAACTCTTTCAATTAAATGGTTTGAAAAAGTAGTCAACGGGATGAACTCTTTGGTCTTCATCATAAAAATATTGATCCACAAAGTTTGATCTTTGGCTTCATGAGTTCGAATCTCGCTCATGACACTAACTTTTTCATTTCGACCAAAACTTTACATAAAAAGATTAATTAATTGAAAGAAGTAATTTGGTCAATAGACCACTAAATATAATGGATTTAATAGAAATTAACATTCATCTCTTAATTGTATCCTTGATAATTATTATTTTCATGTGTATTAATTATTTTAGATTGCAAGTGCTGAAATATCACATGGTGCTGATGAAATTATTACAAAAAACTATGAAGAAAACAGAATATTCAATTCTGCATTAACTGAGAATCCTTTAAGGTAAATTAATAATTAACTGCACTATATGGTAATCATCATAAACATTGTCTCATCATCACAAGCTACAAATTTTCTTATTTTTTGTTTATATTTTATTATGAAATCTTTTTTGGCGAGGTTTACCAAGTGACGAACTTGCAGAGTGATCCTTGTCTGATAAGTTTTGGCCTTTCACTATCTTCATTTGGTCTATGTAGCCATGAAACGTTCCTGACAGGCAAACAGAGGGAATAGACAGATCAGAAGGATTGAGGATGATTAAGCTACAAATTTGACATTACTTATAAGGGTAAATTCACATGGAGCAGGTTTTGTCAAATTGACAACAGTGCAAAATGTTCTTGGAATGATGCCGAATGTCTTCGAGCTCATCCAATGTTGGTTCAGCGTCACTACGTCAGTCGACCCTCCTTAGCAGTTTCAAATTGTATCAATTCCAAACATGAAAGTCGATGATGAAGTAGTGTCTGTTTTAACAAATTATTATTATTATTATTACACCGAAGAAAAAGTAAGGAAAGGAAAAGGGGTGTGAATCATTCCGTATTATCAAAGCTTTCGGATAAACCATTTTTTTAAATACTTTTGGCCTCAATTAAATGAGGGTGAAGAGAATTTTTAATTTTACAAGCATGTCCATACTATCTTTTTACAAGCTTCTCAGACCAATGTATGATGTGAACAGAGAGCCATCTGAATAACATCACTACAAAGCAGAATAATGGGTCAGAGCCGCTTGCTATTGGTAAAACCAAGAGTCGAGCCAATAGGTTTCGACAAAAAAAGTGTAGCTAGAGAGTCCGTGGTGTCCCTGCTTTAAACAGATAGAATGATCCGTCTAGTTGACAAAAACTGCTCTGTGAGAACTTAGTCTAATTGAGTGTGTTTGTGCCCTACTGATCTTGGTCTGCCTATTCTCATTGGGCTGGCCTGGCATTTCCATATTTCACCATCTTCAGTGTGTTTGTGAGAGATCAATCAACCCAGCGAGGATAGACTGACCAAGATGACCATATTAAATTACAGGTTTGTTACCCTGCCACAGAAGGAAATCTCACAATTTAATAAACTAATATTAATTAAAAGAAGCCCTTGTGTGTCAAGAGTAGATCTGTAGATGGCCCCCTGAGAACCTGAACCAGAAACAAGGATGCTCATATGCTGTTGACACACGGCTACTGCTTGGGATTTGGCCCTTATGAAGAGGAAGGTTGCTCAATGTGTCCCACATAATAGAGTCATGGCTTCTTACAGAGAGTGCATAGGCCACAGAATTTAAAAATGGTTCTCGAGCATAGTAGCGTGTTTCTGGGTCACCTGTTTTGCTTTTTGAAGGACATGGGTTTTTCTTATTTTATATAGATCTGTTTTATGTAGTTTGTGGTTTTGGCTTTTGTGTGAATGCAGGTATTTATTAGCATGAGTGGTAATTGGCTGATGGTGAAATATAGCGTCACCATTGCCCACCCCTCCAGCAGTGTGTTTAGGGTCAATGGCGGAATATTTAGAAAGCACACGGTTGACCCTAATTTAGATTAGCTATTATTGTATGCAGATCAATGGAGGAATATTGAGTATTCTACCTACCAACCAGAATGAGTGCCTATATACCTAGGTGTGAACGTATTTATTTGTGCGACTGTATTATAGAAATTAGTTTTAGGCTAGATTATATTTTTCGAAAGCTCCCCTTGGAGCCTACACCCATTAGTTGGGAAATGACGATCTCCTGAGCATTTTCTTAGCTGTATAACAGGGTAGGTGAACTACCCTGAGGTATAGAACCTAGGGAGTCACAACTTTGGGGTGAAAGTCCAAATAATAAAAAAACCTTTCAAAATAGTAGTATTGCCATGAAAAGATAAGTTTATATTGGACAAAAGAAAGGACTATAATTTTATTAATTCATTTCAAATTCATTCTCTATCCAAATGTTGAGAAACATTCTCTGGAAAGCAGTAATATTGCTTACTTATTTAATGCTATGTTTTTCCTCGGACACTTCCTGAACTGTTGGAAAACCTCAAAGCTTATCTTGTCTAAAAAAAACCTGTAAAGCTCCAGAATCGCCTTCCAGCTATATACCAATAAGTTTACTGAGCTTGTTAAGCAAAATCTCTGGAAAGATAATTACCCTAAGACACATTACAAGGAACAAAATTCGAAAGGAATTCCAATTTGGGTTTTGTCCAGGACTGAATACAACATACTTGTTGTCGAGGGTATCGGACAACATAACAGGCCATCAATAACAAAAAGCACACAGGCATAGTCTTTCTAGACATGGAGAAGGCTTTTGGCACAGTCTGGCAAAATGGTATCATCTACCGCCTAATTGAGTGTAGGTTCCCTCCATATCTGTCTAAAATCGCTTACTCTTATTTAAAGGGCAGATCCTTCAGTTATCCCTAAACGAGTCACTTTTGCCTTGTTTTAAGATTGTTGAATATGTTCCCAGGGGTCGATTCTAGGTCCTACCTTTTTCACTGTCTTTCCAAACGCACTCCGTAATATGAGTGAAAAGTGCCAATTGGCCTTTTACACTGATGTATCATCCTGGAGACTTAAGCACCATAGTAAAGCCATTAAAGCTTGTGTTTAAAAAATCTAACATTCCTGTAATAAGATGGATGAAAGAATAAATGTAACAAAAACAGAGGCTTTCCTTTTTCATGAAACATAGACCACTCATCAATAAACAACTAATCATAGGGGATATTAACATACCACGGACCAATAAAGTAAAATACCTTGGTGTTCAGCTATATAGCAAACTTAATTTTACATGTGAACAAACTGTTAAGTAAAGGTAAACTAGCAATCAAAACTCTCCATTATTCACTAGAAAATCAAAATTAAGTGTCAATAATAATAAATTCTCCCTCTATAAAGCCATGAGACCAATGCTCCTCTACACATGCACATCATGGAGCCTTTACTAAATAGCCACAGGTATTCCAAATAATTATTGAGAAATCGTGAGATGCAGTCTGGTGTGATGTAGGTTTCAGAAAAACATTTTCTTTGTCGTGCCAACGTTTCGATCTTTTATTGAGATCATCTTCAGGGCTCAAAGTGTTTGTCTTCTGTGTAATTGTGCCATCCTTGTGTGTCGTGTTGAGAGACCGCATCTCACGATTTCTAAATAAATATCGATTAACGGTCACTAATCACCACACATATTTCAAATAAATTGAGGCTTTGTACCTCATCTCCATGAGACACATTCTGCCCTCTGTCTATCTACTGAAATCCCATGGCTCAAAAAAGTAATGCTGCAAGGGACACTTAATTTCTTTGCAAAAGTTTGAATAAGCCCTGACACCATATTTAGAGCAATGGTTAGTTAAACAGGAGTGAACTGNTTAATTTAGAGCTTTGTGGTTTTTTTATGATAATTTTTCCCACAAACGAAAGAAAAAAAAATAATGGTAAATCAAAAACATTATTTATATAAAATTAAATCTTTATATGCACTACTTGCATGAGGATGTCATAGGGCTCCTCCGCTTTTCCCCGAAAAACATATTAAAAATTTGTGCTGCATGAATATCGAAATTTGATAAATAAATCAATCAATCTCACTTCTCTATCAAACGCTCATATTTTATAACAGTGATTTATTTATTTGTAATAGGTTTTTCTTTGAAGATGGCACAATATCGCAGATATGTCCATCGAAAAGAGAATCAGTTTGGGGTCTCAACATCAAACGAGGAATTTTGTCGTCATTTCAGAACACGATGGAAAGGTTTGATTTAGACCAGCATTCGTTAGAGGTAAAATTAATTTGAATTTGAATCTCTTCTTACTTTTAACATATGGTTTATAATTTGTTTTATTTTTTGCGATGCAGCGAGATGTTAATGGTGACTGCTTGGTCGAGTATCTCTTTAAGGAAGTTAACGGGACGACATTGATCGTAAAAAAAAATATCGATCTGCTGTCGTGTGTAAATAGGCATCAAATATATTCCATAATACCTTTGACACCATATATATTTCAAAAGGTTTGGCTTTATCGATGAATTGTTTATAATTGTAAAATTACTTTTTTTTCATTTTTTTTTTTTTTTTTTTTTAAGAAATACCACAAATGGACACCCATGAACTCGTTTGTTCGTTGTACCCAGCATATTGACCACAAAGTGCACACTGCGATATATTGTGAAGAAGAGCATGCTTACCAACCTTTCTACAATCAAACCAATGGCGCAAAAACGGTATCAAAAAGTGAAATTATTCAATTGTCAGAAGATAAGCTCTCTTTCACAGAAACAAGCAGTATCAAAGAATTGGGTATACATCACTGATTTTTAATATGTAAGGATTTTTAAAAAATATATTTTTATCTTTTAGGTGAGGTTGAATCTAGGAGAAATTTGTTATTCGACCATAGTAGGCCAAAAAGAGCAACCCATGACAACTTATATGAATGCAAGAAGCAAATAACTTTTCTATGTGAACTTCACACAGTAATTGCCCAATTTATTTATTTAATTTTTTTAATCAACTGCATTTAGGGATAAAAATTATAATTGTAAATTTCAGGTCGAGTTTCAGCCAAAATATCCCGATTCTTTTAACAGGCTTATACACATTGCAAGGGACTTGTCGACCGATGCACTTACAAAATTATACAAAGATGCTGACAAAGTATGCGAAACGGGAAGGTACATCCGATAGCATTTTGCAAATTTTGATAACTTTAATGACAAACAAGAAATTGTTCGTAGGAAACACATGCTTGATGCTCTCCCGTACATCAGGAGCAAAGCATCGATAAAAGTGATGACAGCGGCAGTTGTAAATAGGGAAATCCCAAGTAATACTGTTAATGAATGGATGCTTGCCATGGCCTTCTATCCAAGGTATGCCCTATTAGAATTTTATCGATTTTTATTTATCAAGATATCAAGAATCAAGTATAACTCCATGTTTGATTTATTTCAGACCAGATTATGACATTATCGAGTCTGTTTCTGAACTAATGCAGCGCGATTACATGGACAATCAAACCATGTTCTCTATTTCTACAATCGTAAATGGATTCTGCACCGCTCACGAAAAATGCGGCAGTTATCCATATGTGTCCGGTATTGTTCAAAAGCTGGAATCAATGTTTAATAAGTCTTGTACAAATTTGGATGATGTTACAAAGGTTATTACTGAGTGAAAGTTTACGTGGCTAAGTGAAAATGAAGGTTTACAAATTTAATCTATTTTAGGCAAATATTGCGCTTAAGTCAATTGGAAATGCTGGTGTGATGACAGAAACACTTGAGCGAAGCTTGAAAACGTGCATGATGAACGATCAACTTGACCTTGAAAACAGAATATCAGCAATTTCTGCTCATAGGTAGTAAAATATTAATGCTTTTATATTTGTTATGGTATTGCGTTGTAAATAACTCCAGGCCTTCTTTTTATGGTAAACCAATGAAAATTTCAGCTACTTGTAAACAAAATCTTATTTTTAATTTTTAACAAGAGTATTTCAACTACGAGGTTATGTTAGGTTGAACCCTTGGGATAACAGTGTTTAAAAAAACAAAAATTTGAATCCAGGGGCCTTGTAAGGGGCCTTAACCTTACAGTTATGAGTGCCATCATCGTCTAAACCATTGTGGCTAATGCCCCTAGTAAACATCTTTTATGTACAGTGAAACCTCTCATAATGGGCACCTCTCTATAGCCACTACCTCTTAACAGACAATTTTTGCATTGCCCGGCCATTGAAGAGCCCGGAATAAGGGAAAATATGAAAAGGCAGTGTCAAGCGAATACAGCTGGTGTGATAGCACATCCTAGCCAAGCTCCAACAATTTTTGGCGCGCCTGCAAAGAAACAAAGGGACATTGCCCTTATGGAAAAATTGCCTTGCAATTATGCAATGCAGGTCATTTTGGTCAGTTATTGACTTTAATCACTTTGAGTACTGTACACACTTTAATAATGATTTAGACAGGTAGAAGAAGATAATAATGAAGCACTTTCTTTTATTAATCCCACTAAATGCCATAATATTGCCTTCTGGGGATTTTTAAGTTGTTAATGGTTGCTGCATTTTCCACAGGATTTTCCTCTCTGAACATTGTTCAAAAGGACACACTTTTCATTCCCCAGTTGTGAATCTTTTCAAAAATGGGTCATTTACATTGTGTTTTAGAAGGGAATCTCAGAACGAGTTCTCTTCGACACATTCTTCTCAGTTAACATTTGGGGAACATTTCTACTAGTCCTCAGACATATCCAAATGCTCTCAAATGCGACGAAACACTTGTTTGAGATATGTTAATTATCACTGCAATGTATCGTGTCAGTGAGAGTGGGTTATTGGTGACAAAGCTTGAATTTGGTCATCATCAATGGTTGAAAAACATTTCAAATCAAAATTTCCGCTTCTAAACCAAGCAAACCCTTGGAGGTGCTTTCTCCTAAAGCATCATCACTATATCACAGATTTTACTAGCAGTCTGAGCTGTAGTTTTCCTTTGCAGTAATTTAAAAAAAAGAAGAAATAAAAAAACTTACTATTTTTTCTCAATTTTAAATTAGCAATTAACCATGTAAAAATATGAAATCTCAAATGAAGATGAACAAGACATTTTAAATAATCTTTTTTTAAGAGTGTGAAATCAATAATGACTTAATAAACATTGCTTCAAAAGGAGGGATAAAATCGAATTATTAAAAAATTCTATGAACTTATTTTACCGCCGACAGATGAAATATTTAGGTACTAAATATATTTTGAATTTAGACGGCTGCCTTGTGGAACAAATTTAAAGTATCTCTTAAAATTATATCAAAACCAAACAAACACGGAAGAAGTAAGGATTGCCGCTTACTTACAACTTATAAGATGCCCATCTTATATCATCTTGAAAGAAATCAGGAATATTTTAGAAGATGAAGAATACAATCAAGGTATTTTTTGCATTCTTGTTTAATTGTTGATATTGGGTTTCTGATTTAATTGTATTTTAAAGTTGGTTCATTTGTATGGAGTCATTTGAAGAATCAGATGAAGTCTGCTCAAGCGAGCAGAGTCGAAATCCAAGCCATGCTTCAAGATGAAGAACTATCAGATAAATTCAACAAAGATATTCGACAATATTCTCACAGTTACGAGACATCATTTTACCTCAATAGGTTCGGTTTAGGTAAGTAAATTTTGAACTTTGATATAAAATACTTTTTTTAAATTTATAACATGTTTGGCTTTCTTAGGTGGATTTTATGAAACGCATATAATTTTTTCTCATAAATCTTATATACCAAGGAGTTTGATGTTTAACTTTACATTAGACATTTTTGGAGAAAGCATTAACGTTTATGAGGTAATTTGTGTTATTTTCTTTACTACAAGATAAACTTAATTAACGGGAACTGCAGTGGCCAAGTGGTTAAAATCTCAGCATAGCCTAAGGCTTTTTAATTGATAATGGTATGAAAAGTTTATTGTAAAGTGGTTTGTCTCCTTGTCCGTGACACCCAATGAGTAGTTGGACGTCCTGCATGTCAGGAATTACTTTACTTTACACAAGTCTTTTATACCATTTTAACTTTACTAATAAACCATCGACAATCAGTTAAGAATAAAAAATCTTTCATTTAAATAAAACTTATTTACAGATTACTTTCCACATTGAAGGACTAGAGTGGTATGCGGAAAAACTATTTTATGCTGATGGGCCGTTTAGTAAAGATGCGATGGATAAATTCGTGAAGCTGTTTCGTTTTGTCAGAAGCACGCCAAATCCTTTGAAAAGTCTTATTAATAGCATTCCATTCAAAAAAATATTAGATGAGATAAAGGTAGGATAATAAGCTCGCTTTTTTTAAAAAAAAGCTTCCATAATAAATTGTAATAAGATGATTCTTTAATCAAAGATTTGTCAGAAGTGTGCTACTATTGTTCCATTCGAAATTTTAGATAACTACATCAATTAAGATGTTTGGCAATGAACTGAAATATTACACGGTCCAAGGTACCGATGAATTTTTGAAACTGCTCTCACTCTTGAACCCGGTGAAAGTAATCGAAGACTTTTTAAGTGGACAGGTCAGAAATGTTATATTTTCTTTTTATCTTTGTAATATTAAATCTTCATTTTTTTTTTAAGGAAATCAAATTTGATCGATCTGCGATGCTCATAGACACTTCGTACATAACTCCCATGTCCACTGGTATTCCGGTAAAATTGAACACGATTGGGACTGCAGCGATAAATTTAAATGTCCGAGGTTATATGAATTCTTCTAATTACAAAGCGAATAATGATTTGGAATTAAATGGAAAGCTTACTCCTAGGTAGGTTGGCAATACCCAAATGAATTTATAGTTTAATTAATGTAAAATTTTTAAATTTTTTGTTTATTGTAGTATTGGTGTGAATATAGAGGGATCGATGGAAGTTGATGCCTTTATTTCACAAACTGGTGTGAAATTCAAAGCGAGCGTCTTCACTTCGTCTGCTTTAGAAGGGGTGTTCACCATGAATTCCCTCGATTTGATAAGAGTTTCATTTTATTTACCATTACAAAAATCTGAAATATTTCATGCTGAGTAAATTACATTTTAACATTTAAATAATATATTTGCCTAAATCAACTCAACTTTTAGGACTCTTTTGATGCTTGTGAATAATAACAAAGAGATAATTTTAAATGGTGTGACAGCTGGGCGCAAAGAGAAAAACTTTTGCTCATGGTCTATTCTCGATGATACTGTAGGATTAAAATTATGTGCAACAACTGTTTTGCCCAATTCAACATATTTATTGGAATCCCCTCTATTTTTGTTTAGTGGTCCACTTAAATTTGCTGTTTCACTGATCAAATCAGATCCTACAGCAAATACATATATTGTTGAATACAAACTAGATCGGCAAGCAGTAAGTTATTTCAGTTTTAACACAAAAAAAAAAAAAAATTAAATTCTAAATGTTTGTTTTAAATTTTAGAATAAAACCTTGATTGTATTAAAATTTGAAACACCAGGATCAAAAACAAACAGAGGGATGAAAGCAGTAATTGATTTGGATATACAAAGCCAAAACTTAACGCTTGCGTATCAATCCAGTCTAACTAAGGTTGAAGCTAGAGGTAGCTTTTCATCTCCATTAGCTTAGAAACTAGAATCTTACTTTTTGTTTTGTTGTAGGCTTTTACAGAAATACAAAAACTGACAAACTTGTTAATTTCGGTTTAGTTATCAATGGTAAAAAACATATCGACATACATGTCGGAGTACAAATAATTGAAGGAAAGTATGGTAACACATATCTTCCCAAATTGCAATTTTCTATTAATGGTAAATCAATTACTTCACTGTCTGGTAAGTAATGACATGTGAAAATTAATTTATTTTTGTAATTAACGCACATTAAATTATATAGGTTCGATAAAGTGGATATCTAAGAAGGGAGTTTCTCAGTGCCATGTCGATCTCAACTTCAACACAAGTCGATTTACCATCGCTATTAATGGTGGCACAAGGCGCACTGACATTTCATTTGCTGTCGAATTTAAATTGGATTATAAATTTGAAGGAAGACAATTCGAAACAGTTCGGATTGAACTTAAAATAGACAATAAATCAACTAAATTTCTCACTCACTACAAAGGCAGGTTAAAACTGGATTCTACGGCTTATCCTGAAGTTAATATGATCACTTCTTTAAGATACCAGGTAAATAAATATAACAATACTAATCTTAATCTCTACCCTATCTAACCTAACCAGTCCATAACCATAACATAATTCTAATCCTAACACTCTCTAACCCAGATCCTACCTAACATAACCCAACGCTAACGCTATCTAACCCAGATCCTACCTAACCTAATCATATATTAAATCTCTTTTAAGCCTGACAATGGGCAACTATCTAACACTAACCCTATGTAATGTAATACTAATCTTAACCTAATCCTATCCTTAACCCTACCTACTATAAACTGTCTTAATCTTAACCTAAAATCCTAACCTTATCACAATACTAATCCTTACCCTACCTAACCTAACTAGTCCCTCACCCTAATTGTAACCATAACACAATCCTAATCCTTACCTGACCTCACCTAATAAGTGCCTAAATATAACACAGTCCTAATTCCTATCCTTCCTAACCTAACCCATTCCTAACCATAACACAATCGTAACTGTAAGCATACCTAACCTAACCTGTCTTTAACCATAATCCTTACCTAAACACAATTTTAATCCCAATCCTATGTAACCAAACCCTAAAGGTTAACTAACCCTAAACCTATCTAATCTAATCATATATTTAATCTCTTTTGAATGCTCCAAATCCAGATTACTCCCAAAAACAGTTTGTGGATAAAACTATTGTTTTCAACTATTTAATTACCTAATGCAAACCCATCGCTAATGATATCTAACCATGATCCTACTTAACCTAATCCTAACCTTAACCTTACTTAATTAACCCATCCCTAACCATAATCCTAAACTTAACACAATTCTAATCCCAACCATACCTAACGTTACCCATCCCTAACTTATAATCACTGGCTCTCTCAATTTATACTCTTGTACCTTGTATTGTTATAGAGGAGATAATTTGAATAAAAAATGTTTTCACTTTTCTTCTATGAAAATTATACAAATTAAACAAATGTGTGGAACATTTTTGCTTAAGTGTGTTCAAATTATTATGTTGTTATAATTTGCTTGTTACTGATTTTGGTCTCCCTTATCCTTGCTGGGTTTGGTCTGACCGCACAAATAAATCTCACAATAATTTTCTTACATTAACACATATTATATGTTTTAGAAAGCACACAACCACGTTGATTGTTTCATTGAAGTCACCTCAGACCCTTCGGTTGCAAAAGAAGACGAACTATTAATGGTGTTGCATTATCAAAAGCTTAATGTTTTCAGCTTTAGTAAGATGAATATATCAACATCTATAGTGAAACCAAGTAGTGAGATTAATGTTAAACTGCAGTTTTCTCAGACTGCCTCACCTTCAAACTCGTCCAAAGAAGTTATTGTACAATATGCAACAGGTAAATGTATCTATATAATATATGTAAAACAACCTTTTGAAATAATGTTTGTTTACTTTTTTTTCAGGAAAATCTCTAATAATTAATTTGGATGTTAATATTCCTTTGGGTACTCTGCTTTACTTTGATTACAAGTTGGGAGTGACCCTTCCTACAGGGGGCGAAAAAATGCTTGTCATTTTGAAAGTTCTTGAAAAAATGTTAAATGAATTCGATGTAAATAGCATTGTTATTAATTACTGTCATCTTTCAGTAGAATTATTTTCATAACCGCTATTGTTAAAATGTATATATTTTTTTAGTTAGATATTTTTGGAAGGTGGTTTAGCGGTCATACTATAAATATGAAAGGGTCTTATATGGACAAAACTACAAATCTTGTAACAAATCACAATTTTAAAGTTTTGGCGAGATCGGATCTTTTCAACGACATTTTGCTCATTGGACGCTACTTGGACAGTGAAATGGATTATAAAACAGATTTGCAGGTGTAAATCTTATCTGTTATTCTTTCTATTTGGGTTATTTATAATTAAGATAATGTGCTAGTTTGCAAGCCTTCTGCATGAAGCTATATGCTTATAATTGTTTTTTTTTTTTTTACTTTGTTATTTTTTGTTTGATTCGTTTTCTGTGAATTCGGATTATTGGGGCTTTATTTAATTGGCCTTTCATGATCAATGTATGGCATTTATCAGGGGCTATTTTTAAGTTGGTTAGATGACACCATTCTGATTAATTTAGAGGCCTTTAACGCTGTTTCTATTAATCTATTACTTATGTCCTCCTCAATAATTATAACAAGGTCATCGATAAAAGCCAGGAATTTTATGTCACTATTTTCTTACTGGCTAAGCCAAAAAGCAGTGATTTTTCCCTCTCATAGCCCATTCTTGGATTGCACCAATATCAATTTTCGCTTACAATGGTAGCCAGTTCTCTTATCACTAACTTTTCATTATGTGTATTGTGTTGCAGTATTTCTTTGCTCTTTTGCCTTATCAAAATTTATTCTAGAAATTATCTCTTTAGTTTTTTTTGCACTCTATTCATTAGGTTATGATCAATGGGCAGTTTGGCTCTCAGGCAGTTTGCACATGTTTCTTCTGTTAGGCAGAATTTATGTTTTAAAGTGCAGAGGGAGCACATGGTTCCTTAACACTACATGTAGACTGTATAGATTGTATTTGTAGAATGTTACCACATTAATGTGATCTTGTACTCTGGAAGACATCATGCTCATTATAGATTCTTTTCTCATTAAGGTTCATACATTTTACTCTCGGATACACCAGAATTACTCAGTTTGTCATATCTTTGTCTTTTTTTAACTTTGCATTTCTTAGCTTTAAATAAGGCTTGGAACTCTTCCTTGTTATTATTTAATCCTTCGCAGTTGAAGCATGTTAGACTCCTGGCTTGTCAACTCCATGGCTATGGGCCCAACTCCCAACACTTGAATTTTCCATCATGCTCCCCTTCTCCTGTAGAAAATAACCAGCACAAGTATCGTTCTTGCTAGATTAAAAAAAAAAATACTTTGTCAATTACTAATAAATAATTTTTGTATCTTTAGGCAGAACACAACAAAATAAAGTATGGCTTAAGTATTAATCACTCGATCAAAAGCCCTGGTTATTATCAGTCTATTGTGGAGTTATTGTATAACCGCATGTCGTACACTTTGACCAGTTATTTGGACTCGATAAATAAGAAGGCAAATATAGAACTTCATTTAGACAGGTAAAAGATTTATTTTTAAATAAAATTTTTAAAATGTTTAAAAGTCAGTTTAAGTAATATGGATTACATTCAGCTGTCGGTTTTTGGTTTTTACTGTTTTTCTTTAGTTCTAAACTAAATAATACTGATTTTATAACTTACGTCTAACATTCCTTTGTTGTTTTCTCTTACTATTCACAGAATATAATATATAATTTAATTTATTGCTTAAATAGTGAGTGTCCTAAAGGGCAGCGCCCTAGGGCCCTTCCTATTCACAATATACAGCTGACATTCCTTTTCACCCTAACAATACTATATTGGTGGTCCTTTAAGGAATAAGTATATTCCGTCTTTAAAGGTTTGATTAACCCCCTTGAGGCCGGTGATCTGCCTCAAAATCAAAAGAATTTTGATTTGAAATAAAATACGAACACAATTGCAGAGGTACACCTCTATTTTGTTTCTTTTAAAACCAAAATGTATTTCCTTATGAATCAAAAACGTTATATAAAAAATATAAAACAGCAAAACATGAACCTTTGCTTACAAACTAACAATATAAGAATAATTAGATACTATGTGAATAATATTGGCCTGAAGGGCAAAACTAAAATAATCCACCTTGATAAACCTAAATGGAAAATACCAAACAAAAACCATAAATGAAAATGGGCCACACAACAGAAATAAATTATACTAATAAAAATCAAATGGATACAAATCTGATTTGACTTGCTTTCAGCTGGATTTTTTCTTATTGTTTTTCTTCCAATGCCTAGGCTAGACTGAACTATCCGTTCTCGCTTTCCTGCCTCCAGCATGGAGGGGAGAGCCTGGACATAATTTGTTGTTATAAATATATGCTTTTTTGCATCTATCCTTTCATCTAATCCTGATCCTTCTCTAGATAGTCATAGATTCCATTTAAACCTCATCCAGAACAAAAATTTTTATTTACATATGCATGTCGTCCAAACTATAATTACCTATTTGGCAGCAGAGCTGGTACTAGCTTTAAAAATTTAATTGTTATATCTCTGAGCACCATCAACAAGTTTGTCACATTGTTCAGTTATGGTATTCGTGTATATCAGGACAAGTCTGTCGCAAGCCTTCAAACTTGTTCTGCACAACGTGCAGCCAGGCGACAGTATTCCTGCAGGTGAGACTCCAGGAGGGGCATGCGTACTGGAGCATCAGCATGACACCTTGTACAGGAGAAGTTTATTGGCATGTGTCAGACTGGACTGGCGGCAGAGCAGAGGGAAAAGTACACAAATTTACCCTCATGAGAACCCTTCTTCTCACACTATCTCTAATTACTATATCTCACACAATGAAATACTAAATTCTATCTCATTACTCAACGTGAAAAAGTCTTCTGGTCCCGATTGCATACCCCTTATATTAGTTAAAAATTGTTCTGCGGCTCTTATTACTCCTTTACACTATATTCTGAACCAGTCGTTAAAAACAGGTATTTTCCCCAATGCTTGGAAAAGCACTTTTGTCATTCCTCTACATAAAGCTGGTGATAGATCTAATGTTTTCAATTACAGACCAATATCTATTCAATCCATGTTCTCCAAGATATTTGATTCTATTATTTGTAATAAACTTAAAAACGACATTAAATCTTTTATTATACCTCAGTAACATGGTTTCTGCTCTAATAGATCAACTATTCTAACCTGCTCACATTTCAAAATTACATCTTAGATGCAATAAACTCTGGACACCAAGTAGACTCAGTGTATACTGATTTTTCTAAAGCTTTTGATAAAGTAAATCACACAATACTGTTAAGGAAACTAATGGATTATGGCTTCACCGGAACTATCTTGAATTGGTTATCCAGCTTTCTCTCTGACAGAAAACAAATAGTCAAAATAAAATCATTTAAATCATGTCCCTTTGTGGCTTCCTCGGGAGTCCCGCAAGGGTCTCATATTGGACCAGTTTTGTTTCTCTTATTTATTAATGATATCCATCTTGCTCTCCCTTCTGCTCAATTTTTATTATTTGCTGATGATCTGAAAATCTATTCCAAAATTACTTCTCCTTCTGATTGCTTTCATTTACAAAATTCTACCAATAATGTCCTAACCTGGTGCTCTAATAACAAACTTGCTCTTAATGTTTCCAAATGCTACACAATTACATTCTCTCATAAGAAACAACCTTTTATTTATCTCTATACTCTCCATGATGCTCTTTTAACGCGAGTTGAGGTCGTAAAGGATCTTGGTGTACTTTTTGATCAAAAGCTCAAGTTTAAAGAACATATTTCTTCAATAAAAAATAGATCTATGAAGATGCTAGGTTTCATCATCCGGAACACCTATGAATTTAAAAATCCTCTATGTTTTGTCCATCTTTATAAAGCTTTTGTACAACCCATACTAGAATATGCTACACCTGTTTGGAACCCATTCTATCTAAATTATCAAAAAATTCTTCAATCTGTACAAAACAAATTTTTAAAAAAACTTTCCTACAAACTCAATCTTCCTCCGAATTCTGCCTACCCTGGAATCCGCTCTGAATTTAAACTTTTCGAACTGGCACTAAGAAGGGATTACTTTGATATTGTTTTTGTATTTAAATTATTAAACAATCTCATTGATAGTCCTTATCTCCTCTCTCAACTACAGCTACATGTCCCTTCGTACTCTCTTAAAACCTATAAATTATTTTATATTGAATTCCAAAGCTCTAACTACATGCTCTCTTCTCCTCTACACAGAATGATGATCAAGAGTAACAACATCTGCAATAGCATTGACTTCTTCAATAGTTCTGTGCAATCTGTGAAAAACCTTATCCTACAACCTTAGTTGAATGCTTTTATATTTCATACTGTACAAAATTATTACAATTTATTTCATTTACTGGTTCAACTAATTCTCGCACTCTAGTCTTATTATATATTTACAAAGAGCATTATTTTCATTAAATATGTACCTAATTATTGTAGTTTCAATTGTCTTTCAGCTTTATTTTGTTTCCTCTGCCTTATTTGGTTAGTAATTATGTCTTTCATTTTTGTTGTTCAGTTTTTACTCTTTAATTGTATTTTTATATTTATCATTTATATTTACCATTTATATTATTACCATGTATATACGTCCTTATTCTTTTTATATATATTATTTGTATTTTTACACATATTATTTATATTTTTTGTTATTGTAAAATGTCTTTTTTTATAGTGTATTTCGATCCGTAAATAAATAAATAAATAAATAAATGAGATTGGAACCTGTAGGATCGTAGATGTAACTGTATAGAGAGGCTTATTGATAAATGAACTTAGCTATCCCGGAGGGCCCATCCCATCCCTAAACCTTATCCAGTCTTGGTCTTGCAAATAGAGAATAAAAATCAATGAAATTTAATCCACCCACATCACCTTTACACTCTGAAAATTCTCTTGTCCTACGGTGAAATCCCATTCAATCTCTGATATTGTGCATTACATGGAACGTGAAATTCCCATGCATGATTGAAAAAACAAGAAACACTGATATTAATCAACACACAGACATTAATAATTTTATAATGTCTCATTAATCATTAAATGCCATTATCATTGATATTTCTTTTTTTTAAGATATCGAGATGTCCATTTAGTATTTCGTGGAGTATCAAATAAAACTATGGTCGACAGTGCACTAGATCTGAAATGGGATGCGAATCGAGACCCATCACAGAAAATAACCGCAAGTGTTTTGTCGAACTCGTACGGCAATTTGAACTACGATGGTAAATGCATCATTGAATACCCTGGGAGAATTATAAACTCATTCTTCATGATGAAACACAACAGTGAGTCAGAATTTCCATCCATGTTTTCTTTCAAATTATCTTTTTTTAATGTTACAGGAGAAGACTACATTTTAACCGGAAGTGTACATTGGAGTATAAAAGACACGATAAAATTATATCTACACGGTTTTTATGACTTGCCTAAGAATGGTATTGCAAAACTTAATGGGAAATTGGAAACTCCATTTAAAAAATGGGAACAACTTACACTGGGTTATCAGTAAGGCTACTATTTATTATTATCCTGAGATTTCCTCCTTGTGGGGTAGTAAACTTGTATTTGATTCTGATAATCTTTGTCTGCCTATCCTCAATGGATTGGTCAGTCAGACTTGTTTTAGCATTTAGCCATCTTCAGTGTGTCTCTCAAGGCACCAACAAACAAAGATAACCTTATAAGAGACTACACTTAATAGAATTCAGTGTGTCTGTGATTTCTGGGAAGTCAAGTCTCTTTTATAAGATCGTTAGGACCCAACAGACACTCTGAAGATGGCAAAGTCCTTGCTGTTAGGTTGTCTACTTAAAGGAAGGGTCACCTATGTCTACCATCTTTTCACTCTCCGGCTGATGTCCCTCAAATTCTTGGTTTTAGCCGGGAATTGTAGTAGTGCTTTTATGCAGACGATCAAAATCTGCCTTCATGGCACTTTATTATTTTTCTGTAGGGCCTACTCAAAGGTTTGCTCCTTCCCCTTGAGTGGATATGCGGTACTTTCTCCATGAGTCATTATTTGACTCTTTGGTTTTCACACATTATCAGAAAAGCTCCCTTTTCAATTTAACCATCATTTGTAGTTTTCACATCTCCGTATCTCAGTTAGAATGACCTGCTGAATAGCCCTGTCCTGTCTGTTGTGAGCTGGTGGTCTGGGTTTCTTTCCAACACCACATCCATTTTTAGAGCCTTGAGGGCTTTCTTATATGTTTCACTGCCTTCCCTTCCTAGGTTTGGAGATGGTTTGCTCTTTTTGGGACAAGTCTTTCTCACTCGATGGGGTGCTACCTAGTGACCTGTCTCTTTTACCACCTTAGGTTAGCATCAGCCATGGACTTTTGTGGTCAGCAATTCCAATGGTTGGCCTTGGTGCTGGAGTTTGGTAATTAATTGGTACAGGGTTTTGTTTCCATTTCCTGATTCTATTCAGAATTAGCTCTCTTGCTTTGAATGTTTTATTTTATGCTGGCTGTGAAATCTTAACTGTCACTTCCATTTGAGTGGTTTTGTAATCAATGTTGATATTTCCCTCATTTTGAAGAGCCATCACGTCTGCAGGAGGTGGTACAAGGATTGTCTCTAGCTCTTGGTTTGTTTGTTGTTCCGTCTGTTTATATAACGCGTTCCAAGCATAAGCTTTGATAAGATGAAAAGTCAAAATTAAATATCAGAGAGGCATAGTATCCTTTCGTACCCCCAGGTTCGATTTCTACTATTGCCGCTGGAATTTTTTGACCCCTTCCTGACACATTTCATGGTTTTATTTGTTCATAATACAATTGTAGCATTAAATCTATTGTAATTTAGGATACAGTTAGAAAAGCAGAAGTTGAATTCGAATGGAAATGTTATGTGGCAAAAAAATGAGAGAGTTGACATTGAAGTGTCTTATAATTATGGCTTTGACGAATTATCTTCTGTGCTGTCATTTTTAAGTGTGCTGAATAGCACAATCCCTGAAGTGAATTCAATGCAAGCAGTTATCCGATATAGTTCGTATCCAAATGATTTCAATACAGGTCTAATAATTCAGGTATTGATTGTGTTTTTATAAGAAAAATTCAGCATTTATAAATTTTTTGTCACCATTTTTAGACCAATTCAAGCAATATTGTATCATTAGCAGCCAGTGGGAGTGTGATGAATGTGCCACATCATTTACAGTATAACGGTTCTTTTCATGTAGAAACACCTTTCGCACTTCTGAGAAAGACGGGCATGACGGGGGAATTAAACGTTTATCCTCACAATTTCGTTGCCAATCTTCGTATTATTGGTAATGGTAAAAAGTACATAACACGTGCAACAGGTAATGTAAATTGATATAATTTAAATTTTGGATGCATGTAATTGTAAAATTGTTTTTAGGTTCTATGAGAGTTCTTACTGAAAGCGTTCTTAATTTTCATATTGAGACACCGTTTGAAAAGTACAAATCCATTCTTGGCAAATTTGCTTTTTCTGCTTCGAACAAAACCGGTTTAGCCAACCTTTTTATAAGTTCCACGCCTGCTCTCGAGTCTGAGATTATTTATTTTTACCAGTCAACTTCCAATTTCAATCTAAGGCTCAAAATTTACACATCACTGAGTGCTAAGCACCGCTTGCTGCTAGTCGGAAAAATCAATCCTGACACTGTAAGGAAATTGTCATGGAGGTTTACAGTCAGATTAAAACAAATCTAATTCTAGGTCGATGCACGTTTTATTTTAAATTCTTTTGAGCTTGGTCTCTTGGGAAGATCCCACTACACGTCTTGGAAGGACATCGATTATAGTCTTAAAATTTACACTCCTATCGATGGATATCATAGAGGTGCTGCAATGGCTAAAATGATTTTAGAAGGAAAAGTGGATTTTGAGGCCTCAGTTAGTTTGGCTGAGAGGAAGGTAAGCCGAAAGTTAGCACTACTGCAAATTTACATAGGCATATGTTATCTACATTTGAGTTGACAGTTTCTATTAACTAACATCAATCTGTAGCTTGATCATCCCTGAGTTATTTCTGCTTGTTTTTTCTACTAAACATAAAGATTATCGGGTACAATCAAGCCACAGGTTCATCAATTTGCAGACCTTCCAATTAAAGTAAAAAAAATGTAATTATCACGACATTGCCAACAATGTATTCTTTATTTTCCAGCATTATTATTATTTATTACTCCTTTAACAACAGTTTTTATTATTATTATTATTTTTTTAAACTAAAAATAGGTGGGATTGAAAGTTCAGGCGATGCTCAGACCAGAAGATAAATTTGCCTTGCCATTTGTTCCGCCGAAAAAAGGAAACGACACAACTGAAGAAGAAGAACCAATTATCCCTTTAATCACACTTGAAGAAATTTACATGGGTGACAGTTATTGGAGAGGCGTTTTCCAATTGGACACGCCCATGTATCCAACTGTCCACGGAATAATGCAAATAAATGAAGATGGGGATGATTATAATGTCATTGCATATGTCAGCTTTCCATTTTTGCAGTTAAGGATGGCGGACGACTTTACATTTGTGGTATTAATTTCACTTTTTCTGTAGAAATCTAATCACTTTCTTAGGCTTCAAACCATCTGTCTTTTGCCTTTTGCTAAAAAGGCTGGTGTGCACCAAGTACTGGGTAGTTACTCGGGAGAGTTGTGGAATCTCAAACACATCTTACCTGCTACCTACTACCTTATCCTAAGAGCCAATTTAATCTATCATTACTTCCAAATATCTCACAAAACTTCAATATTTCCTATCTATCTTATTCCAACAGGAGTCCCACAGGGCAGCATCTTTGCTCCCTTGCTTAACTCACTTTATACATCCGACCTACCCAAACAACTTAACACTATCACCCTTACCTTCAATGATACTCCAAAAGAACCTGCGTCTCATCAAATCCAGGCTCCTTCAGTGGAAAATCAAGGTCGACAAAATCAAATTCACACACAGAATGGTCACACAAAACAAGAAAACTCCCACTAGTATACTTCAAAAATATTTCCATACTTGTTGCAAACCATGTATGATACCTCAGACTAACCACTGTTGTGGAATCCCCATGTATGACTTTTTTTTTTTAACGAGGGTTCGCAACAGCCCTCAGGGTGCCGGTGTTTTTTGAAAAAAAGCCCATTTGTAAGTATGTCGGGTTTGAATGCAGGGCCGCTGGATTCGAACCCGGGACCTTTACCTTACAGTGATGAGCGCCGTGTCAACGACTAAACCTTGTGCCCACCGACGCCCTCTCCATGTATGACTTAAACACAGACTATAACATACATTTTATAATGTTAAAAACTGTGAATGATACCTCAGACTAACCACTGTTGTGGAACCCCCATGTACGACTATATATTTATAATTTACTCAATTAATTATACAGATTTAAAAAATAAATAAATAATAAAAAAGTTATTATTAACTGGGGTTGAGATGGGGAGTTGATGTCTGAGTGGATCGAGGTCACGATAGCTCAAGTGGTAGAGCAGCGGTGTATTGAGCCGAAGGTCGTGGGTTCGAATCCCGCTCGTGACACTAACTTTTTCGTTTCAACCAATACCTTACATAATGATTAATTAATTGAAGGTTATTTGGTTAATCAGACCACGAAATATAACAGACTTAGTGCAATTTTTATAAATTTCTGTTAGGCTTTTCTTTAAACGATATTGATCCTCCTGAATACCACTAGTACGAACATATATATTTTAACATATATAGGNTTTATATAGATCCTTTCGTTTGGTTCATTTAAATATCCAAGGTCATGACTCACGATTTTTTTAAATTTTTAATTCGAATCCCTCTCGTGCCATTAACTTTTTTTCATCTCAACTAAAAACCTTAATGAATTGTAAAGTATTAATTGGTCAAGCGGACCACGAAAATAGTGAAGTTAGTATTAACCTAGAATCACACCTGTGAATCATACACAGTCCCGCTAATGTAGCACATTCGTTAATAAAATGTGTTTCTATATGAAGCTGCGATTTGCTTACAATTGGAATAAACGGGGAGTCGAAATGAGAAGTTTGTGGCATGGGTGATCAAAGTCACGGTAGCTAATTGGTAGAGCACAGCGGTGTATTTAGCCGTAAGTCGTGGGTTCAAATCCCACCTGTGACTCAAATTTTTCATTACGAAAATTAATTGAGTAAATATATAATTAACAATAAGGTGATAAAAATAATAAAAAACAGTTTATAATGTTAAGACAACTGCTCGGCAGATGATCTAAACACATATTGACAAACAAAATAAGACTACATTGCCATGTTGGCTTTTTGGACGTACGGGCTTGAACTCTATAGGACTGCTTAAAGGTTCCATTCTAAACTATCCTATCGTTAGAAGTCCTTTGTGCTACTTTACCTAATAATTCTCGCAGGAGAGTGATGTGGTCCCAAAATAACTTCACTGCATGCTGATCTAACGGCTTCTAACACTGGATGTTAACATGTTATTATTTACATGCATATTATATGTTATATTTATTACATCGAATGAATGGAGTTAGGTTTTTACAAATCTACTTGTGAATTCTGATTTTAGGATTATTTGAATATCAAAAACAATTTTGATGTGACAACATCTTGCTACTGTTTCTCGGCGGCCAACAGTTCTTTTTCGCTACAGGGTAAAATAGGTAGAACCCTTGATTTAAACTTGGATGCAAATGCCCATTCTTATGAAAACTTTTATACGGTAAACCTGAAATTCTTCCAATTTCGCCAAATAAATTTTGCAAGCTAGTAATGTGAAATTGTATGCTTTCAGGGTTTTTCAAAGTTGGCATGCGAATACGTTGCTGACAACCTAGAGGAGAATAGCGAAAGCAACGAAGGAACGTACCGAATTGGGCTTGAAGTTGAGACACCTTTGTCATTTTTAAAACGTACATTAATGAATGGAAAATTAAAAATAGAAAACCCTTTATACACTGCGAATGTTACATTCGAAATGAATAACAATTTGGTTGTTTTAAACGGAGAACTAGAGGTAAAAACAACATTTTTAGCAGAGGGTCTCAAATAATCCTTTTAAAATGGTTTAAATATGTGATAAATTTCAATTAAGCGAATTAAGAGAGTGGGGGTGAGGTCGTGGAGGAGTGAGAGAGAGAGAGAGAGAGTGTCAGAGAGATTAGAGTGAAAGAGGAGAGAGAATGGGAGTGAGAGCAAGGAAGAGTAAGTGAGAGAGAGTGAGAGAGTTTGGAGTTTGAGCGAGCACAAAAGTACGAGAGCAGAGCGAGAGTGACACAGAATAAACTAAGTGAGAGATATTTTAATTTGTAATGAAATAATTTTTCAGATTGCCAATGATTATTTTGAAAGTGATGTTGAGTTGAAAATAAATACATCATTGTTCAACCTTCCTTGGTGTACAATTTATCTAAACAAGGATTTTATCGAATTAGAGAGGAAAATGATTATAAAGATCGGTCTACCAAATGAAAAAGGGGTATGGAAAAAAAATACCAATTTTTCTTTTTTCATGCATAATCTGTATTTTTAGACATCAATTGTACATTATGGGATACGGGTCGGTTGGCTTCATGATGCGCCATCGTATATGAAATATGCTATAATTATTACAACGCCGTATCCTACAATTGGTGTTGTCGAAAGTGGCGTTGAGTATTCTGGAAATATCCGACCTGAAGAGTATAGACTTGAAACATATTTAAGATACACAAACAAAACTGAAATGAAAGCCCTTGCTATTATTAAAAAACAGACATTTTCTGTCAAAATCGACTCAACTTTTAATTCATACAGGTTTGTATATTTACACAATTTATTTATTACGATATAAGAATTTGCTGATTTGATTTTTTTTCCAGGAAAATCAATATTGGTGGGAATTTTAAAAATGAGAAAGGTGGAAAATCTTTTGAAACAACTTTCAAAGCGGATAAAACGTATAGGCTGCAGGGTTTTTTAAGTCTAAACAAAAATAGCCCAATAAAAGTAAATTTGCTTACTGAACTTACACTTTTTCAAGTTGTTATAACTTAAAGTGATATGCTTCCAGATTGAATTGCTCTTTTACCAATTACCAACCCACATTGAATTTGTGAGTTTCAAATTAAATTCCGAGGAAAAAAAGAATAGACGTTTTATCACCGCCATAATCAAGATCCAAGAGAAATTAATTAACGTCTATTGTGATTATGGTTTTCTACAACAAATCGGCATAAATGTCAACTTTTTGGTATTTTGATTTTGTTGCATTATTCTTTTATTATTTATTATGTTGTAAATTCGTTAATGTAAAATATTTATGAACTGAGTGGTTAGTGTGTCTGATGCGTATTTGGGTCTGGGTTCAAATCCTGGCATATTTTTACGTATTTAAGTTCATGCTAAAGATAGGACAACCTATAATTTAATCTACTGTCTTCAGGTGAACTCTCAGTTTGAAGGATATGAAGCGTTGAGTTTGAATGGAGTTTTTCTGAACAAGGAACACGACCTAACGATATACAAAATAAATACAAACGTCAAATCCCAATTGATCACCAGAGAAATTAAAATAAAAGGAGATGTGTTGTAAGTTGAGACATGTACACCCTAAATAAAGGCATAATCTTTTATCGAATTAATTATTAATTTTTACTGATTATCCAGGTTAAAAGATAAAGGAGGAATATTTAGAATAAATCTTAATAGTGAAAGTTTTCACGGAGATGCCAATCTTCAATGGATGATTGTCTGGTTTGAACTTCTCTCGTTTGACATCACGGGCAAAGGGAAGTTTGGAGATGCCTCAAAGGAGTTAATATCCCACGTTCATTTTTGGAATGTCGACAATGATTTCCAGGAAACTTCATTCAGTGTCAACATTGATTTTAACAAAAGGGATTGGTGGTAAGCCAGCATTGTAAGAGTTATTAAATCGATATGAAATTATTATAATTTTGTATTAAAAATCAGGGATAATGATAAAATATTTATCAGGACTTTGAAATTCTGATATAGAATGAACAGGTTGAACATCTCGTTCCACTGTTCATAAACTATGTTTACTGATTTATATAAGCTAAAATCTGCACATGTACATACACACATATGTACGTGAGTGTGAGAGTTAAGCTTATCGCTTCTCGAGTCCATCAGCAATTCCAGCTTTTGCAATTTACGATAAATTACCGGTTGGCCTCGAAAATCACCTATCCCAGGGTCTCATCCTCCAGCTACCGAGGTTGAGCTCCAGGTGCCATCAACAGCTAGGTCATTTCAGCCCCCAACATAATCAGTTTCTATTATATAACTAGCCTAATTGAGAGTCGATGTGGTACTCAATATTCTACCATTGTCCTTTTCACACTACACATTGATGCTAATAAATACATTCATTCTCAACACACATTAAGGGGTACAAAACTATCAGTACTCTCTAGCCAGAGTGGAGCTAAGGAATTGCACCCTTCAATTAGGTGGGACACATCGAACAACTTTTTTTTGCACGCCGGACAGATATACAGGGTTTGGTCCAAAAGTAAATCCGTGTGTCAACCTCGCATGGTCTATGCTTAATCAGGTAGGATGTCCCTTATTCTATAAGTCAGACCGTCTGAGGGCCACCTATCGACAGTGCTCTTGACGTGTGCACTTCTTCAGCGATATGACTCTAGTTTCCCTTCAAAGTGAATTCACTATGTTTGAAATCTTAAGTATGAACTGACAAACATCTAGTAGTCATCGCCGGCCCTCTGCAAATGATTAATTTTTTCTTTAATGCATCTTTCTCACTTACTCATATTTATTTAGAAATCGTGAGATGCGGTCTGGTGTGATGTAGGTTTCAGAAAAACAATGTAAACAATGTTTGTAAATCCCAGGCCCTGAAGATGATCTCAATAAAGATCGAAACGGCACGATAAAGAAAATGTTTTTCTCAAACCTACATCACACCAGACCGCATCTCACAATTTCTAAATAATTATCGATTAACGGTCACTAATCACCACCCACTTACTCTTTTTTCTCCTGTCTGTTTAACTTGCTAACCTTTCGTTGTTATCTCAGGTCGTCAAATTATTATTAAAAGAACAAGAAGACATATACAAATATATCACAAAAAGATGTTCATACTCCCTTTCTCCCCTTGAAGCGCAGCTAACAAAAAGCCAGCAGACAAGAGACAATTTGATGCATACTTCCAGTGTTGTGGTACTGGATATTCCAACCTTAGAAGACAAGTCTGGCTGTATTCATTCGCCAATATTCAATATTCCTCATGGCGGGTTTATACTCTCCATTCATGCTAATAAATTACTTTCACTCCCCAGACATTTTTTTTTTTAAATTTGGATACCAGTGACTGGAGGAGTTCCCTCCTGAGCACTGCAGCTGAGCTGTACAGCTTATTGTACTTTATCCCTAGCTCCATATTTTGGGGGAGGGCTCGCAACACAAATGTGAACTTGAGCCCCCGTTGTACCGGTGTTCTTCCATTGAAGAAACTCATTTTTGAAGGGGGTTAGGACCAAATTCAGGGTCACTGAGATCCGATCCCGCTCTTTCCATTGATGAGTGCCTTGTCAATTTCTTTCAATTGCGGCCTCCGGTCCCCTTGGGCGTCAGAAAAAGTCCAGAGGCGACAGTGGGGATCGAACCCACGACCGCGGGATCTACTAGCCGAGAGTCTGACGCCTTAACCACTCGGCTACCGTGGCCCCCCCTCCAGACATCACACTCTCACCCCAGGCTACGAACCAATAAGATTCAGTGTTGTAAGTAGATGCTCATATTTGTCAATCTTGTGAATTATTAATGATAGTTCAAATTCTTGATGATAGGGTTAAGTCTACAAAAGGTTAACAGATGAACTATGTGCTTTTATTTTCTTTCAAATTCGCTTTATCACTGATTTTTTAATACAATATTATAAATTTCATAATATACATTGTGAAATTTTGAAACTTACATTTTATCAACAATTAATTGAAAACCTTATTAAATTATGAATATGTTTGTTCAGGTTATGCACAAATGCCACTTTATTATGGCCATCTTGGAACAATCTTCGTTTCATGTCGTTTGCCGTTCTACCTCATAAAATGAACGTGACACACACAGTTTTGAGCAAATTATTTTACAATAGAGATTATTCCTATATTACTTACATTGTTAAGTATATAAAAGAACCGAACCAGTTTGATTTTATTTCGATGAGTGAGGTGAGTTTTTATAATTAAGTTTTTCTTAACCACAATATATAATGCCATCTGATGAACCACTCACTTTCCTCTTTTATGAAAATATTCCATCATTATTCTCATTCTTAAAGCCCATTAACCTCCCGACCACAGTTCTCTTCAATGTCTAAAATCCTTGAAGACTCCTTTTAAAGGGTTTAATACCCATCCTAGACAGGCATAAAATCATTTCTTCTCACCAACTCAGCTTCCACCCTCATCATTCCACGATCCACCAATATTTCAGAATTGACAACACTATCTTCTCTGCTGTAGAGGATAAAGAGTATTGCTTGGGTGTAGCACAGGCTTTTGATAGGGTCTGGGACCTGGGCATTCTTTACAAACCTAAACACTTCCTGCTCACTCTTTATTACCTTACACTGAAATCTTACCTAACCAACCATTGCTTCAGAGTGGGATGTGGCAACAGGTTCTTGGAAGTCAGACAGATAGAAGCCAGCATCCCACAAAGGGGCATTTGTTCTCCGACTGACCTATTCATCCCAATACCGTTATCACCACCTACTTACACAGACAATACCTACTTTATCCTCTAACCTGAATACTATCCAAGCTACTTCCAACATCCAAGAATGACTTGAGTTTATCCTAGACTGGTGCAAAATGTGGAGGACAGGACTGAATAAAGAAAAATGTACTCATTGTACCCAATGTTGTTCAGTGTTGAAAAACAAGTCTTTCCCTCCATTGTACAATAACAAAGAGATGCAGATTTCCCTTAAAGTGAAATACTCAGGACTATGCATAGACACCAGACTTAATCCCCACACAAGACTTAAGAGACAACAGAAGACGTATAGGACCGAAATCCGTGTTGACCATCAACACTAAACTAGCCAACAAGACTCCTCCGACCAATTTGGATGGAGTGAAACTGTGGGGTTCTGCCAAGCCATCCAACATCAGTGCATCCAAACCCTACAATAAAAAGGCCTTAGACCAATCGTCAAAGCTCCTACTACAAAGCCTCATTATCCACGACGTTTCTTTTGTCAACGAACAGATTCGTTCCCAATTCCAAAAGTTTCACACCATCATCCATCCTAACCCTACTGCTCGTGCCCTCTCTACACATACCCATTCCGAGAATCCACTATTTCACTTTAATAACAATGACCTTATGACCTCCTTATTCCTTTATCCCTCACATTAAGTGCCAGTATTAGTCGGTTTCTCATAGCATGTGTTCTCTGGGTTCTGCGCTGAGACTGTGTGAAAAAACATTTTGTGATCACATTTGTAATATGTGTGTAATGATATGTATAGGTCACCAAATAAATAAATAAAATAAAATAAAATAAAACAGCTTTTACAATAAGGAATTCTGGTGTTAAAATTCACTATTGAATTAAAATAATAGCAAATTTTTAACTGAATATATATATATATTTTTTTTTAAAAGGTGGTATTAAAAAAAGATTTGTCAACTGGAGTGGTTTTATTAAAAACCGGAAAACACAGGATTTTCGATAATTTCAAACTGAAGAAGGTCAACAATGTTTATGATATTCATAACATACTTCAATCTACAAATATGAAAGAGGATCTATCGCTTGATATCAATTACCAAGATCTAATGCCTAAAAAACTTGTAAGGTAAGTTGAAAAATTGATTTCTTCTAATTAACATCGTAATACGATTATATAATGAAACCCCATAGGGTGTATTTTGAGGTTATTTTATGGAAATAAAAATGAATTAATATTATTTAATGTTTAGATTGTTTGTCTATTATCCATGGCCACATTCCATTGTAAATTCAGATGTCGATTTTGAAGCGATCAATAACTTCAAAGCTGAAATGAACTTTTCTACGGTTTTTAAAGCATTCCCCCATGTAAATGCTTTGGTTAATTTAATAACCACCAGGTAAACAAAAAGTATCTAAATCACTTATAAAATTGTAAATTATTTTAAGACAAGTAAACTAATTATATAAATATAGAATATATGAAACAGTCTAATATTAATAAAACTTGTAGAACAAAACAGTTTATTTTGGATACAGGTTATGCTTATATTTTTAATTTTTTCATTAGGCCCTTCTATCAAAGATTTGGTCAAATTAAATGGACAAATAAAACTGCACTTATGAATTACACACATGTTTCCCAGTTGGAGAAAGAAATACAATTAACAGAAGGTAACGTTTTCCTTGTGATACCACTCACAACCGTGCATTACGGCCATCTCAACTATATATACAACGTGAGCAAAATGCATCTTTTCTTTTTCTCACAGAATCTTATGCGTAGTTTTTTCATCCACGATGTTAATTTTAGAGCACCGAAACCAAGGCTGACGGCTATTCAAAGTTACTGTACAATAATGATATCATCATGAGTGGTACATACATCAGAAACTCGAAATTTACTAAGTACAGTTCCAACGATTTAATCGAAATCTCGGTTAACAACAGTTATGCCCCAGCAGGGATAATATATGGACATAACAACAGTAGACAATACCCCCTTCAGGTAATTATCATTACAGTTGATGAACTGTTGTGTTTTTTAATCATACAATTATTTTTACAGGATATTAGACGGATTGAACTATTTAAATTGAATAACAAATCAAGATTTCATGTAACGGGAGAGTACGAAGTAGTTCGACACAAGAATAATAAGCTAGTCACAGTTAGAGGTGAGTAAATATCATTAAAAATAATTACAATTAATTAAGGTTTTTAGTTGAGATAGAAAAAGTCAGTGTCACGAGCGGGATTCGAACCCACGATCTTCGGCTAGATACGTCGCTGCTCTACCACTTGAGCTGTCGTGACCTCGATCCACTCGGACCACGAAATTAGTGAATTTAATGATTAAAATGAAGTACACTTCACTAAAGCTCTCCATGGCCATTTCATTTGTCGTCGAGAATCCAATCCGACTACATGACATTTGAAAAATGGCAAAAAGGAGGGAAAACTCATAAGGTGGGGTTGAGATAGGAAGTTGATGTCCGAGTGGATCGAGGTCACTATAGCTCAAGTGGTAGAGCAGCGGCGTATCTAGCCAAAGATCGTGGGTTCGAATCCCGCTCGTGCCATTAGCTTTTTCATCTTAACTAAAAACCTTAATTAATTGTAATGAATTAATTGGTCAAGCGGACCACGAAATTAGTGAATTGAATGGAAATAAAAATAATACAAAATATATAATATCGCTTTTCTTTGAACAACAATAAAAATTAAATTAACTTTAAAATGTAATTTCACGATATTATTTCAAGCTTTTGAAGAATATATAGAAAGAACTTTTTTCTGTAAAATTTACCCTTTTTAATTTAAAATTAACCCTTTGTTTAAAGGTTAAACTTAAAGGTTTAATTTAAACTAATTTTTTTAACCAGTGAGTGGATCTTGCCCTGTCTCTCATTTGAATTTTCCTGCAAGGTTTAATGTAATGTTTTGTAGTAAACAACTCAAGAAAGTAAAAAAAAAAATAAAATATTTTATTTTAGTATAATAATTTGATATATTATCTTTTATAAAAAATAAAGGCAATTGGTAGAAATAATATAAGTAATATAAAAAGAATAAATTGGACTTTCATAACTGTGAATTTTTAAAATTACTACCTATTTGCTAAAATAATGTAAATACATGTTTTAGTTTACGACATTAAAAAAAATAAAATAGCACTACCAGGTAAAACAAAGATAGCCCAAATGATCAAAGTCTTGCCTCAAAAAGCCATGAATTAAAACTGAAGAGATGTAAGCGCAGAAATAAGTACGATCGGAGCAAAGCAGTCTGTTCAAATTCCTCCTAGAAGAGTTGAGTTCCATATTTAAAAAGCTAGGGAAAATCTCCTTAGTCTGGAAAAATAAAATGCTTTGTCCTCAGACTTGGAATTGAACAATCTGTTCACAGTCCCCAGTCCTTTCCCCCAAGAGGGCTGAGGTTTAAAGGAGTTAAAATGTGCTAATTTGGCAGAAAAAATATCCAGTATCTTGAAATTGGTAGATCTCATCCACTCTACTAACCTAAATTCTTAAAATTCATTATTGTTCAATTCATAATTTTAATATTGAAAGTAGGATGTTGTTTATTTGTTAATTTTTATTATCAGAAATAGTTTCAAAGTCCTAATGAAGGGGGTATAATAACACTTTTATGCTAATCGAGTGAGGTGTCTGACTGGTATTTGTTAATCACTTTTGGAACCCTCAAGGCTTAAGCAATCCCAATCTTTTTTTTTCTATTATATCTATGACTTGCCTAAATTTAAAAAAAATTGCTCCCATCACTTTTATGATAAACTTAATTTTACCTTTCCTTCCACCTCTTGAACTAAAGCTGGAATTTGATTCAGGAGTATTTGACTCACTTAGTTCCTGGGCCTTTGAAAATGGGCTCAACTTGCGTATAGAAAAATCCCCAGGCTATTGCGTTTAGATCCTACCGTCTATCCTTACAATTAACAATAAGCCTATTTCCTTCTGCACTATTGTCAAAAACCTTGGGATAGCTCTTGATCGGACTGGAAGTCATATATCTCCCAAATCTACCATTGCTTCTTTTCACCCTCTGTCAGTTCCATCTTGCTAGCTAGCCTTTTAATAATCTTCTAGTTTCCTCCCTTTTCTTTTCTTGAAAATTTCATTTTTTTTTTGGGGGGGGGAGTAATATATATGTAGCTTTCGTATTAACGCTGTAATTAATTGTAATTCAATTTAAATGTTGATTTACTCCCTGTAGGTTTTAACAAACAGCGAATGGTGACTGTTCAAACTTTTTCTGAAGGTGACACAATATATATTTCAAATGCAAACTTTTCTTTAAAACCTAATGTGTGGTTTGGCTCTGGTTTTAAAATAATTAACAAGGTAATATAATAATTTAAACAACATCGGTAAAAACAATTTGACAATTTTTTTTTATATCAGGAACACATCCAAGGAAAACAAATGGAATTCAACATATCATTTCCACGGCGGCATTTTGCGATAATCGGGGATTACGAGTGGACAAACATGGATTTCAAAATGGCTCTGACACTTGAACCGAATAAATTCAGTTTTGCAAAAAATGTAACTGGTAACTTACACTGGCATAAGATACCAAGCCAAAATGCCAATGATTTGTTGATAACCATTAAACACGCTTCATTTCTCAAGGTGAGTTAATAGTATTATTCAAATTGTTATGAATTCATTACAGTAAAAATAAGTAATAATAAATTGTATTAAAAAAAACAAAGCTTCATTTAAGTATTATGAAAAATGAATGCTTTATTCCCATAAATAATACATATTTACAATTTATAAGCATACAATAGATAACGGCCAGTATAGAGTAGGCATTTTATCCAGTCTGTAAACTACTAAATTACTATCATTATTTTTGTTATTGTTTCTTTATTATTTGGACTTTCATCCCGAAGGGTTGTCACTCCTCGCTGTGCTTATCCCTAGGGCTTATACCTTAGGGGAGTTCACCTATCTTGTTATGCTGCTGGGTTGCTAGTCATCCCATAAGCCAGATGCCCAGGAGATCATCACTTTGCAACCAATGGGGCTGCATTGTTCCAACGGGGCTCTCGGTAGCTAGGTCATTTCAGCCCCCAATGCATACAAACTATAACCTAGCCTAAAACTAACTTCTATAATATGGTCGTATATTACAGAAAATAAATACATTCTGATTAGTTGGTGTACTCGATGTTCCTCCATCGACCTACATAAGTTGAGATAAAAAGTCAATGGCACGAGCGGGATTCGAACCCACGATCTTCGTCTAGATACGCTGCTACTCTACCACTTGAGCTATCTAAAGTGAAAAGAAAAATGGCAAAAAGGAGGGAAAATTTAAAAAAGGTGGGGTTGAGATGGGAAGTTGGTTTCGACTGGATCGAGGTCACGATAGCTCAAGTGGTAGAGCAGCGGCGTATCTAGCCAAAGATTGTGGGTTCGAATCCCGCTCGTGCCATTAGCTTTTTCATCTTAACTAAAAACCTTAATTAATTGTAAAATATTAATTGGTCAAGTGGACCACGAAATTAGTGAATTTCATTATTAATAATCTAAATTAGGGTCGATGAAGTACTTCCATAAATTTTCTGCCATCGACCTTAAAGACACGCTACTGGAGGGGTGATAGCGATGCTTTATTTCACCATCAGCCCCTCACTACTCGCTCTAATACCACACACTCAAACAAAACACATAAAGATATTTACAATATATAAAAATTTAAAAAAACACGTCCTCCAAAAAGCAGAACAGAGGACCCAGAAATTCGCTACTGTGCTTGAGAACCACTCTTAAATTTGGCGGCCTACATGCTCTATGTAAGAAGCTAAGGCATATGCTTCTATTATGTGGGACACATTGAGCATAAAGGGCACCTGCATGGGCTTTGGCTCAAGAGCAGGTTCCGGTGTGTCAACTGTGTATGACCTATTCTTAACTGAGTAAGGATGATTCCTCGTTTCTGGCTTAGGTTCTTGGGGGGGGGGCATGTACAGGTCTTGTTCTTGCCACATAAGAGCCTCTAGGACTCTGCTATCTTTCTTTTGTCATGTTCTTTGCAGATTGCTTAGCCTCAGAGGCTACTCGTTCACAATATCCGGTTGGGAAGTTGGAACATGTTTCTTTATTATTGTGTTTGTGACTAAGTATAAGTTTATCAATATATGAAATTACTAATTAAAATGATAAACCGAGGATTTCTTGTATTTGAGGGCGTTAGTGAGGAACTCAGTTACTCAATGCCTCTTCCTCCCAGCATACTTTCAGAGCAGAAAGTGCAAGGCATCTTCTAGAACATTAAGGTTGCGCAAAGCATGACAACTCTTAATTTTACCTTTCTTTCCTAGCTCTTGACTTACAACCTGGAATTGTATCCAGGAGTACTTGACTCAACCTTAACATCTTGTACTGTTTCCAATAATCCCCCAGGAGGTTAAAGCAGCAGTGGCCTAACATAATCTGTTGTGTAGACGTAGTTTAGAAAGTTTAACAACAATTTTACTTTAAAATAAATACTGTTGGGGGGGGGGGGGAAGACTGCGTAATATAAAGGTTAAAAGTTGAAGCGAAAATGAAGGATGACATAATGACCTCGGCTCGGAATTTGTACCCCCTACTGAATGTCTCGACTACCTTCTGTTGAAAAGGGATTGCATATTTATACATACGTTCAAGGAGTGGCCTCATTTTCAGTGGCCCAGGAGCTAACTGAGTCAAGTTCTCCTGGATATAATTCCAGGTTGTAAGTTGAGAGGTGGGAAGGAAAGGTAAAATTAAGAGTCATCATGCTTTGTGCAACCTTAATGTTAAGTTCACTATTTTTCGTGGTCCGCTTGATTAATTAATACAATTCAATTAATTAAGGTTTTTAAGTTGAGATAAAAAAGTCAGTGTCATGAGCGAGATTCGAACCCACGACCTTCGGCTTGATACGCTGCTACTCACCACTTGAGCTATCCTGACCTCGATCCACTCGGGCACTAACTTCCCATCTCAACCCCTTAATGTTAAGGCCATTATGGATTGTATAAGTAGATTTACTATTTTTTGGAGGATTTTGGATTGAGAAATCTGACTGATAGAATGTGATTGAACCCCAAAGTTCGAAGTATGACCAAATGGTTTATATTATTGACTTGTATATAAGTCGTTTGTTGTGAACCATCAGTTTTTGTTTGGATATCTAGAAGTTGTGAGAGTGTTTTATAATGCCTAGTCCAGTCTTGCTTTTTATCTTTAGAATGACGAAGGAAGGATGAATCGACCATCAAGATATCATTAATAGTTCGAGATCAGTGATGCGGTCATCAAAACTGTTTGAAAAATGTTTTGATGACCGCATCCCTGATCTCGAACACACTAATTATTCTCATATGTGAATTTTATGTCTTTGGTCGATGTACAGTCTAAGGTAGTGAACATTGGTAACTACAAAATGAATATGCAATTGTCTGAGGATATTGTCCCATGTCTGAGGGTAAAGGTTATGTATCGTTTTTGTCATTTATTTTTATTTGCCACTCAGCTAAAGTTCTACGTTGATGTGTGCTTGTAGTGACGGATCTTTATTGTTGCAAAAGTGTAGTAGGTTGGGTAGGTCAGCTTGAGGTCAATTGAATAATGGATAGGACCAAGGGACTCTGGGTGACTAGCCTTGACAGACTAGTCGGAGATGTTCCCTGGCTGTCTTGGAAAGAGACTGAGGAAATAGGTGCTTAAAAAGATGATTTTATGATCCAAAGCAAAGCTGGATGAATGACCCGATCAAAATTTGAGTAACATTGAACCACCCGAGCAGTAGTCAAGAGAGGAATCAGGCTTCCTAACTCAGATAATCTCTTGCTTATAAAACCATCAGCAAGAATTTGTGCTAATCTGTTAGGGCCATTATTTAATACTTTTTTTTATCAGCCCAGAAATAAGTGTAATGTGTAGAGGTACCAGTTTGATTGTAGTCTTGATGTAGAGCATGTCTAATGTTTTTATACTTTCTTTATCTGTTATATGCTTACTCACAAACCTGCATGTTGTAACGTACTACCAACCTTATTGTCCTATTAAAAATGATCATTTTTTTCTATCGAGATGCACCTATTAATTATTTTCTTTCACTTGTTATTAATATCGCACTTAGCAGCGGCCTTTTCTTTACCGAGGTGGTTTTACATTAGTTAACTACCCTTGCTTAGACAATACAATTACAATCTTCATCATTTAATGAGAATTTTGATAAACTTAATATATGTGTATATATATTGTTTTTTATAGGACATTATATTTCATGGGTATCTATCCAAAAACAGAAGTACTCCATTAGTGGTAACTCTTACTGCTGAATACTCCATGGATCCTAAGAAAAAACTCAATGTCAATGGAATCATATTGAATTTGAGTAAAACTCCGAAAGTATTTTATCAACTAAATTTACAAGGAAGTCATCCGGCATCAAGGTAGGAGAAAATACGTGTTGCTCAATTGTGACAGACAATGTGGGTACATTTCATGTTTTTGTTTTACTAACTCAACGAAATTGCTTTTGATATTCAAGATTCAGGATTTATGGATCAGGATATTTTAAAGCACGAGATCAAGTTATAGAATTCAATAAAAATATAACATACAAAAGAGGATATTCACCGTTAAAATTCTGGTATACCAATGGTAAAATGTCAACAAAGCAGAAATATGTTGAATTTGAGGTAATGTTTAAACAATAAATAACAAATTAATTAATTATGAGTAGATGTAGATGTAGATCACAATTATGAGTATTAAAATTGTATAAATATCAGTATTACCACCTCTCCTCTCTACCATGTCTCCAGTAAAGGGCACCTCAGTTTGCAGAAAAGTTACAGATGCAAATAATATAGTGCTCCCTCCATAATCCAAACTTCAGAACTTGGAAAATCCAGTAATCTGAACTGGAAAAAATTCCAAAAAGTCAGACTTTTAGAGGAAATTAATGAAACATTATTTGGCATGGAGAAGGGGGTAGATAGAGATAGAGAGAGCATGCGAGAGAGAGAGAGAGAGAGAGAGAGAGAGAGAGAGAGAGAGAGAGAGAGANTTTTTAAATTTTAGAGGCATTCTCTGCTAGAAATGACATATTTAAAAGGAAAATATGGAAAATTTAAAAACAAGTATTATCTTAATTGTACATTCGCCAATGGAGAGACAACAAGAATCACATCAGATTTTTACGTCGATCTTGGAAATTATCAGACCGCTTTGACAGTCAACTTCACCCCAAGTAACCTAGACAAATATTAATTTTTTCAACTAATAATTGGTTCTATTATACCAAAATTAATATTATAGATGTTGTTAAATTTTATTTATTTTTTAATTTTTAGATGCTAGTGAACAGTTGTTGATGGATGGTTGGTACAGAGATCAAAGGCATGCTCAACTGAGAGTGTGGAGGACATACGAGGATTTTGAAATCAGCGATGTCATTTGCTTGACGAGATTAAACCATTCACGGATGTTGACATCTCTCCTGATCTGGAGGCCTGATATAAAGGAAGATTTAAAAGTAATTTATTCCCAAAAAGTGACTATTAAATATATAGCTTTACCATTTTATTGGTTAAGAATTGGAGAAATATATTTTTAGTCTTTTGTTCCTAAAATTTCCTTATATTTTAATTTTTGTAAACTGTTGTACATATTGACAACGGGATAACTTTAAATTAAGGCTAATATCTCCAGTATTTTTTTAAACTAAACATAACATATTTGTTATTGGTAAACAACCAGTTAAAAAAAAAAATTGTTTACAGGATTTTGTTCAGACAACGTCGAATGATATTTGGGAGTACTCAGTTAGCACGGCGAATTTTTGGACAAATTACATAAAATCGGAAGCAATCGAAACTATAACTGATATTTGGTTGGATGCAAAACCAATTGTACAAGATTTCTTGGAAGATGTGAGGTAATTAAGATAAAATTGAATTCACCCTAAAAAAACGCTACGGACTTATTTANTAAGTGAGTGAGAGAGTGAAAAGAGTGAGTTAGTGAGTGAGTTAATGAGAGAGAAAGTAAGTGAGTGAGAGAGTGAATGAGTGGTGAAAGAGAGAGAGAGAGAGAGTGAGAGAGTGAATGAGTGAGAAACAAAACAAAAAATTAGTCAAAATTTATCATTTTGTTCCATTTAAACATGCAATAAACTGCATTTTTTAATAGCTAACGCAAAATTTAAAAACCAAAATAAATATATTTTTGAGTATGGCATACAAAATAATTGATAAATTAGCTTATTCTGAATTTTTAAATTATTTTATCTTGTCTTAATTTTACTGTATTAATGCCTTGGGAAAGTACTCGAGGAACTATTGCAATCTCGTCTACAAGAATAATTGTTAATTACTACTCCACAATCCACCAAATTCATTGAACACTCCAATATTGAGTGTAAGCAGTTTGCCCTGGAGTCTTTTTAGATGTCTCCCAGGTGTCCAATCTTGTCTGCCCAGAGGGTCTTCTGTTGAAACTCAAATCCTAAATGATTGTTTCTTCACGTTACCTACCAAGCCTATTAGTATTGAGTTAGTTGGTGGACCTTAAAAGGGTTGGTGTTTGGTGGAGCTGTTGGAGTTCGATTAAGCCTTTAGATGAGCCGAAGGTTGTAGCCGAGTCTGGTAGCGAGCTTGAAGCTGAGGTTTTTTAATTTCTAAATATAAAAAATAATTTTTAATTTTATTTCTGAGTGGTGAGATCTCATCAATGAGTCTGTTCTAAACAGGTTCAGCCCCTGCTTATATACAAATATGCTGATTGGAAGGCAAAACCATTGTTTAAGCAGTGCCTAGTGGCAACTTTAATTAACTTACGTCCGTTTCAGCATATACATGGCAAATTTCTCTCAATACACATGATACAGCAATCTTCTTGCCAAACCTAGATCCTGTCCTAGCAGTTTAATCCCTCCAAGACCACCTCCTTACATCCACGGTTCTGCAAATGGAGAATAAAAATGGAAATATTTTACTCTCAAATGCAAATAGTCCCACCATTTATCTGAATCAAATTTCACTTCATGCAGCAGATTGCATGAAATACTTAGGACTGTGCATAGACAAAAGGTTGACATGGAATCCCACACTACTTACAAATAGCAGAATTGAACTACAGGTAAAAACCAAAACACTGTTAGACTTAGTTCAAGACCTAATATTCACAAAGGAAAAAACTACAAAGCTCTTCTAGCTCCTATATGGAACTGAGACCGCTTAAAAATCAAACCTAGGATTCAATCCCTCCAGTAAAAACTCTACCACACGATCACTGTCGCGCTTTATTTGCTTGTAATCATACTCTCCACTCAGTCCTCTGAAATTCTTATATTATTTACCTAGGCAAATACTAATACCTATCCACTTCTATTATCCTCATGAAATTTTCTTTCTTACCCATCTTAGGAGGTTGAAGTGTTTCTGACCCCGCGACCAACTTAGACAAAAGCAGCCATCTTTGGTTCAAATATGTTGAAGAGGCTGCCTAATGTTGGTCATTGATGAGTTGCTCATGTTTTTTCATTAATCTGTTCATTGCATTAATCAATAAAAATAATAATATTAACAACAAAAACTCCATTGGATGTTTGCTTAACTTGTTTTTCTAATTGATAGGGATGTGAAAAATTTGGAAGATGACATCGATTGGATAAAAGACATTTTCAATGATGCGTATTACAACAATGAATTTTACATGAAAGACATATACAACATGTATCAAGTGCTTGCAGAAGAAATTGCTTTCAGGTGAGACATTATTTCCACTCTTTTTATATTTTACCATCATTATTATTATTACGTATTTCAGGGAAAAAATGGCTCATGTACCAAAACTCGTAAATGAACTTTGGGAAGTGATGGGTGAGACTGGAGAAACGATGCGAAAATCAATTCTCTGGCTGGTTGAAACTATTAAAAATGCATATGAGAAAACTGTCGATTTTCTCAAGGGAATTGTGACTGGTGAGAGTTTTGATCAGATGTCTCTATTTATAAGAGAACTCATTGGAAAATATGACGACGTAAGTGTCAAACTTAGCGCTTTAAAAAATCATCTTACAATATCCATTTGTTTTGTTTAGATTATCAAGGATATGCATATATCTTTCTCACATTATATGGAAGAATTATGGGCCCAAGTCACAGATTTTATGACACATTATATGGCAAAGAGCATAATGTCAATTGAACCTAGTTTCATTCAGTTTGTCCATAATATTGAATCTGTGTTTTGGGACAGCAGTAAAAAAGTGTTAGGTATATTTTCATCTTTTTAATGGAAAATTTAACTCTAGTTAATCCAAACATTTGTTTTTAGAGTTTCTGTACGAAAAGCAAACGGAGCTCTTGAAAAATCCAGTTTTCAACCAAAAATTTAGTTTCACAAAGGATTTGGACGCTTTCTACGAGGATTTAACTAAATACGACTTTTTGACAAATTTGAAAAAATACGTGACAATTTTGTATAACGTCATCACAAAGAAATATGTCACGATGGTGCCATTCGGTGAGTGTTTCAATAGAGAAAATTTTCTTTCTGTTTTATGAATGCTTGTTTGAATCTGAATTCTAGGTAAGGAATTGAATGAAATCGGATCTGAAATTGTTGGAGGAATGTCTGAGTTGAAAAAACTTCCATTTGTTACGTTCACATTGGATTTGCTGAGAGACATGTACAGTCAGGTTATTACAACTGTAAATTCAACATAAATAAATAAATACTGATATAAAATTGAAATTTTACAGGCTGAATGGTTATATAATTATTTAAATTTGAACGACAAATTAGAAAGTTTACTGCCAATATTGTACCACACAGTTCGTGATTTAATGAATACCGCACTGGATAATGAAATCATGTGAGAGGCTTTTATTTTATATTTTTATATTCAACTGCGCTGATTACTTTTTTATACCGCATCTCTGAACACATACATACATATGTGTTTAGAATCAAACTTATGATTTCTCACAACAAGCAATGAAAATCACCTTACTTGTGTTTTGCCGTCTGGGTTAGACTCGGTCTCATCCGTCCCAGTAAAGTTAGGCTTCAGGGGCTTTCAACATCTAGGCCTTTTTAGCCCCCAACACATGAGTTTTAAATCTAAACACACATGCGCGCACGCACGCACACACACACACACACACACACACACAGAGTTGGGGTGATGGAGTACTTGATATACCTCCATCACCCCCCACACATATAATAATAATAATGTGCGATTACTGCTGTCTGTGGCAGGTTTTCCTTCCACCCTCTCATAGTGCTTTTGTTCGAGAGATAATTGTGGTACCTGGACAAATACCAACAAATGGTCTGGAGGGTAATGAAAAGACGGACGAGGCAGCTAAGGCCAAGACATCCCAATCTCTGGACTTAACCACCGCAATCCAGCCCTCTGATGCTAAGATTGCAATAAAAAACATGAATAAAAGAAAGTGGCATTGTGGAGCAAATGGGCTAGGTCGACAGGTCGACAGAGAAGCTCTCACGTATCAAGAGTATTGTCGATGGGTGGCCGTCGGAGGATCTGACTCACTCTGGTTAAGAATAGACCATATGAGGTTCACACATGGACACATACTTAAAGGCCCAAGCCCGCATATGTGTCTGGCATGCAGAGAAAGGTTGCTCGATGTGTCCCACCTAATTGAAGGGTGCAATTTAGCAGCAAGCAAAAATGCCACCCTATTTGAAAATTGTGCTCGAGCATGGTAGCAAGTATTTGGGTTCCCTGTTTCAATTCTTGAAAGAAACAGGGTGGTTCTATTCCATATAGTGTTAATAGTTGTGTACAGTCAACCCTCCTATAACGCGGTACTCTCAGAACGCGGTTTCTATATAACGCGGAGCTGAAATTGCGACAGCCCTCCCATAACGCGGTACTCTTACAGCGCGGTTTCCGTTTAACAGAATCCCATAAGTCCCTTCCACACAGCCTATGAATGACTCTAGAAACTAGATATTGTAAGAGGTTTTAATGTAAGTTTTATTTTCCACGCAAAAGCACAGCCGAGATATATAAACAATATGTTTATATAAACATACCAGCTTATCTCATAGCCGTTTACGACATCGGTTTCAGTCATCTCAGAGATCTTTCACAGTACATACGTTTTGTTGGTGACCAAGTCTTTCTAAAAAATTTTCTACACTCTACTGTTGGTACTCTCTACTACTAAGTTACACTCCATTGAGCTTTTTTCCAGTAAAGAAAAACCTTTCTTTTATAGGTGGCAGTTTCTTCCTCCTCATTGCATAAACTAAAAATGGGGCCATCATTGAATATACTCAGGTTGTATAGGTAGTTTTATTAGATTTCTATTGACTGGTAGTCCAATCACTCCCTTGAGCTTTAACGTGTATAACTAGTGTATATGCCAGTTTTAGTGGGAGTTCTTTAAACACGAGTAATTTCTGACATCTTTAAAGATTACACGTTTTTCCTTTTGGTTTGTGTGGACCCATTCTATGATTGAGGAGGCTTGTTATCCTAATTATGAGTTCAAGTCCTTGATTTTGGACAACCACCTCTAAAGCGGCCCATAGACTGTCAATATTATTGTACAATATACATTGCACAATAATTTGACGGTTGCCCCTTAACGTTCAATAATATTGTACAAAATTTTGTTTGTGCAATGAACTTGAATAGTTTGAAGGCGATATTGAAGTTTGTGCAATATTTTGAGCACTTGTTGATACTTCACAAACTGACTGATATTGCGCAATAATGCCAACAGGCAGTGCAATATTTTCCAGGTTGTACAATATATTTTCAACTTTTCGTCAATCATGCAATGTATTGCACAAACTTTCAATATCGTCTACACACGATCAATTAAATTGCACAACCCAAAATATTGTGCAATAATATTGATCGTCTATGGGCCGCTTAAGTCAGAAGTTATACCAAACATACCATTTCAATTTTTTTATATTTTTTAATGGGGTTAAAGTTGTTTGTAATAATTATTTTGAGCCTCTTTAATTTCTTCCACCAGGAATTTTGTATTTGTATAAATTTTTGGAATGAATAAATAATCATATTTGTATTTGATCATAGCTCAATTAAAAAAGGGAATGGAAAGAGATCTGATCAAATAATAATTTTTAATTTTAAGATGTTTTACTCTAAAATTTGTAAACATTCAAGAATTTTTGTTTTAGAAATCATGCTGCAAGGACGATATTTATTTTTGAGCCAGATAGAGGGCGAATTGTACTTAAGCAAACTCTACCTATTCCATGGCATGCATTCAATGAAACACCTAATTATGCGGTAAATTTCCAAAACATGTTTGCATCAGTAACCAATAATAATTACTACTAACTAGTTAGTAGTACTAACTAAATTTTTTTATGACTAATGCGTACAACCTTGTCTTTATAGGAAATTCCCGAGTATAAAATGATAAGCAAAATCCAAAAGTTTTTATCACCAAAAAATAAAACATTTTGGTCTTATTACTATAAATATGCACCCATCTTCCAATCTGATATGTGGTTTCCACCTTTTGACAGTACGTTTGCAAGAATATTTGTATGCCTTTACAAACTAGGTTAAACCCCCTTTTTTTTCAGCACAAGCTCTGATTATTGGTAATCGGTATATCATGACATTTGATAAAGTTAGCTACCAGTTTTCTCCTCAATGCTCATACCTCCTAGCAAACGACTTTATGAAGGGAACGTTTTCGTTAATTTTGAGATATGTCAGCCCAAAGAAATACCTCATTTCAATTTTAGTACACAATAAAGTGATTAACGTCGACCTCTTGAAAAATGTAAGGATTTGCTAAAACATTATTGTGTTGATGACTGACTGAAAATATACTTTCAGCAATTAGAAGTTGAGGGCGAAAAAGTTTTGCATTTACCATTCCAGTTAAATGACACTTTTATTAGCGCTCAGGAAGGTCTAGCAGTGATAGAAAGCAAAAATGGTTTTACATTGAAATGTAATTTTAAATATGACGTATGTGGGTTTAAAATTTCAGGTATGTATTTACTGTTATAATATAAACCTATTTTTATAATTTTATTATTGACATTAATTTTATAATTCACTAATTTCGTGGTCCGCTTGAACAATTAATATATTACAATTAATCAAGGTTTTTAGTTGAGATAAAAAAGTCAATGGCACGAGCGGGATTCGAACCCACGATCTTCGGCTTGNATTGTATAATAAAAGTTGTGAAGTAATGCTTTCTTTTTCTGACAAATTAACATATATTTAAAAAGATTTTTGTTGCAAGTTTTAGTGACGTAATTTAGATGCTGTTGATCATTTCAGTTTTGTGTCAGTCTGTCAAACTGAACTGGCGAAAATGAACATGCTAAGATGATTAGAAATCCCCGAATAGTAGGTTCATCTTCACACCTCATTAAGAAATTTTCCATGTTAAATTTGCAGGGTGGTATTTTGGAAAAACTGCAGGCCTTTTGGGGACAGTAGACAATGAGGCAAAAACGGACTATTTGACATCGTACGGATACTTAGATTCGAATGTAACGTCTTTCGTAAAAAGCTGGGGCCTTGGGACTTGCCATCCTGAAAATGAAAGAAGTGTTGGCAGATTATCTCCTGCAAACAGTGAACACTGTAACAGTCTATTTACAACTAAAATATCTTCATTCGCACCTTGCTTTTCTGTCGTAAGTTTTATAATAAAAGTTATTTTTACAAATTTTATTTATATTTTATTCATTTTTTCCTCTATTTAATTTAGATAAATCCGTTGCCCTTCAATGAAATGTGTCTCAAGAGTATTCCGAGCGTGTTCGACGATGAAATATGCTCTGCAGCCTATGCCTACATTGAAGCGTGCAAAAATGAATTTATCCCATTGAAAATTCCGCAATTTTGTGTCGAGTGAGTTTTAATAAAAATTCATCTCTTCTTTTTTTTTCAATTGACATTTTTTTATGTATTGAAGGTGTTCGATAAATGACATTAGCATTGATGAAGGAGTCGTGCACACACTGAGAGATCGTTATGTACCCCGTTCCACTGATGTTGTTTTCATCATGGAGGCTAAAGAATGCAATCAATACATGAGAGCGAAACGCTTAGTTTCTACATTTGTAACTATTCTTACAAAGGAATTGGCCTCTGTTAAACTGCTAAACAACAGGCAAGTTTTATTAAGATCTGATCCATTTTTTCTCAACATAACGCAGTTTTTTTCAATTAATCGATTTATTTATTAAATACTGACTAAAAGTACTCAAGATTATTACATACATAAAACAAGATAAAATTATGTTTCACCCACTATTGTTCTTATTAGTCTATTAAAGTTCTGAAGTCTAGGGAGCAAGTTATAAAGGCTTGGTCTTCTTCGGTCTTCTCACAGGGTGTTTCTTACAGCTGGCTTCAATATTTACATGTCCTTTGAGATGAGATTTTTGCTCTTGAGCATATCAACCTCATTAACGAACTTGAGCTTCTAATGAATATCTTTATTACATATTACCAAGGGGCAACATTCTTTAACTCATTTGTTCCAGGACCCTTAAACACATATTTTTTAATTTGACATATTGAAGTAAACGTTTTTTAGGATTTGTTATGAAAAAAAATCAATCAATTATATTAATTTTTCTTTAAATTAAATTGATTCCTGTCACACAGGTGGACTTAACATCTAACTGTGAGGTGTGGCGGATGAGAGGTCAAACCACTTTACAATACTTTCTCCGTATTATTCACAATTAAAAATCCATGAGCTTTTACAGGATTCAAACCGTTAGTGTGGCAAATACGAGTCGGATGGCCAAACCATCAGCCACCATGGTCTCTCTTGTAGATGTAGATGTAGATGTAATATTCAGGGTGTAATATACCGCGCCCTTTAAGAGCTATTGTAGCCCCCGTGCTCTGCCTAAAGCACATCGGTGAGTCCTATTTTGTCAAGAAACTTGATTAATAGGCCTGGTTTCAGTGGTTGAAGCTCTTCTATGGTCACATTATACATCCCAAAACATTTCCTCCTGCGGGCTAATGCAGCTCCACAGTTTGTTAGTAAATGTGTTGGTGTCTTTTCTGCCTTCTTGCAGAATCTGCATGTGCCATCTTGGATTGTTCCAATTTTCTTTAAGTGTCCATTTAATCTGCAGTGTACTGTTAGGAATCCTGTTAGGATTCGCAGTCTGTTCCTGCTTCCTTTGACACATTCTGTGATTTCTTTCCTACCAAAATTGGTTAGAAGATTCTTGGATTTTCTATGTCCAATGAGTGAATTCCATTGTTCCTTCATTTTCTTTTTGTCCTTCTGTCTGAGATATTTGTTAATAGTGTGGATTCCTATGCCACAGAAGGGGTCAGGTCCTATCAGCGGTGTAGCAGCCCCTTTCCTTGCAAGGGTGTCCGCTTTCTCGTTGCCTTCTACTCCCATGTGTCCTGGGACCCAGCAGAGGCTGACTTTATTCTGCATACCTAATAGATTTAGTTTGGTTTAGCAGTTCAGCACCATCCTTGAACTAATGGTATTTGAGCTTAGTGCTTTGATGGCTGGTTGGCTATCTAACATGATAGCTATATTCTTGTTTTTGTACCCTTTGCTTAGGTTGAATTGGGTACATCTTTCGATTGCATGAATCTCAGCTTGGAAGATACTGGTGTGTTTTCCCATGGGTTCTGAGTATTTGGTTCTAGGTCCAAATACTCCTGCCCCCGTACCTTCTTGTGTTCTAGATCCATCTGTGTACCAGAGGATGGTGCCATTTTTAAAGGTGGTGTTTTCCTCTCGTTCCCATTCTTTTTTGGTACCCAGGTTTATTTGGAAGTTTTGGTTAAATTCAAACATCCTTTTCATGTCTTCTCCTAGAGCCATGAGTATCGGATGGTCTTTCCATAGTTTATTGATATCTCTCCATTTCAGTTTTATTCCTGTTGGAGGTTTCTCTTTGATAAAGTTGATGATGGTTTTCTGCGCTGTCCTTTCTACCATGTGATGTAGGGGGATTAATCCTAGTATTTTTTCCATGTTAATTGTAGGACATGTTCTCATTGCTCCCGTTATGCAGATGCATGCAAGTCTCGGCATTTTTGTGAGTTCTTTCCTTTTGGTTGTTTGTTCTGCTTTATCAGCCCAGGCTATAGCTCCATATGTAAGTTAAGATCTTACTATCATGGTATACAACCATAACAGGGTTTCCGGTCTGCATCCCCAGTTTCTTCCTGCTATTAGTTTAAGGTTAGAGTTATAAATGAGGATTTTGTTCTGGCTTGACAAATCTCTTTCCAAAAGCCAACTCTATATTTAAGACTCAGTTTTATTTGTGTTTATGCATTTCATTGTTCCCTTTCTTTTTTATATAAACAGGTTCCTGTGACGATGTATTGTTACAGCTGAATTTTTTTTTATTTTTTAATATTATTTATTATTAATGATTAGATTTGCTGTTATCACTTATGGAGGAGATGGAGTTTTTGATAAACCAAGGAGTGTACTAGTGAACAATAACATTTTCACAAATGAGAAAATGATCCCAAAATTTTTCGAAAGGATAAAGTCAGGTATGATCATTCTTTTTTTTATATAAATCCACTCAAAAGGCTTTTATTATTTTTAACGTGTTTTATAGGTAATGGCAACACAGACATATTTGGAGCGTTGAAATATGCGACGATGCTCCAGTTCAGGCCAGGAGTGTCAAAAACATTTATACTGATCCCTTGTTCAGGCTGTGATCTTTCAAATATGACAGTAAATAATTTCGCTTTTGCTTTTATACGTGTAATCTTTTTAAAATGATTATTTTGCAATCTTTTTACAGGTGGAATATGGTGTTCTGAGTCAGGAATTTATAGAAAAAAACATCACATTGCATGTTCTAATGAATACAGATTTTAACTTCCAAAAGTTTGGCATCAGCAAAATATTTTATGGTAAAAAAAATACATACAACCTGTTAATCCCTTTTTAAGTATTTCGTATGAACAGAGTTCTATTTCATGGATCTCTGCTTGGTATAGCAAAGTTTTGCTATGTCAAAATGTAAATATTTGATCCCTGCTCTACTCTATGTTCTATTTGTGACCCATCTGTCAAGGATTATGGCTTTATCTTCTGAACATTTCTTGTTATTTTTTAAAATTGATTTTGCCTTCTTTTCTTAAGTTTTTGGACCTCCTTAGGGCTCCATATGTGACCAGAGGTATAACCATTGTATATATATTTTTATTACAAAATATTTGGTCCATGCTGTTAAGGCCTTCTCTTGTTGTATTGTTTTGTTTGTTTCTTCCAGGTAAGCTTTTGAACTAATGTTTTTCCCCGATACTTTGTTTTCATTGAAAAAGTTATATTTTTATTTTTTAAAGAGGGTGCTTTTAGATTAAGGATAGTCTATTCATTCATGATAATGCATCCAATCGTGCTAATAAATACATCCATACAAAAATTCTAGTCAAAAAGAATTGAATGAGTTACAGGGGTATTTTGATATTATGCCAGTGTCTCGCTACCAGTCACACTATGAACATGTAATAACTAATTGACTTTGGTGGGTCTGTGTGGGTACTCACCCACACATACTCTAACATTCACGCTCATAAATACATTCATATAAAACATACAGTTAAAAGTCAATGAGATATTTGATATTATGCGAATGTCTCGCTCCCCCAGTAACTGCAAACATGTTCTGCTTCATATCCTCCCATACTTACTTCAAACATTCAAGCTAATAAATACATTCACTCAATAAGAGATAACATGAAAGACGTCAAATACAACCACATGCATTTATCTCATTCACTTATCCAACCAATTTCTTACTGCAATCACTGCTATTTTCAAAAGTCCTTGAGTCTTGAGGATAGGCCAAGCTTTGTCTCCCGTACAGCGTTAATTGTTCACACTGAGCATGTTTCGGTTACTAGTATGCTGCACAGTAGTATGTGGTTCTTTGTTAATGAGTTGCCCATGTGTCAGCTTGGTGTGGGCAATTCGCAACTGAGTCATTCTTTCTTTTCTGTTTATATTCTCTCCAAGGCCCATAGCGTGACATACAATTTTATTTCTCCTAATTTTTTGGAATGAGTTTTTATTTATTTATATTCACCAAATCATTCATACTCATTTTGCAGCTTAAAATTTGTTCCCTTCATATCCTAATTAAACTTTTAATAATTTCAAATATGGATCTATATAGATATAGATTAAAATCATGGATAAGCAGTAATAAAAATATAGAAAAGCAAGATTAAAAAAAAGTAGATAATTTTATTGCCGAATTTGGTTATCTATCTGGTTATATCTATCCATCCTTTTCATCTGTTTTATTATTTTATAACTGATGGTTAATTATATTCTATAATCAATTGTATTTACAGGTCTTGATTCAGAAAGAGCATACACAAAAACTGATTATCAAGGTGATATGGAGTTAAGAAGCCAAATAAAACTTACAAAATCAATGATGGGCTATTGCACACCATTAGCACTGGAAACAAATGGTATTTTGTTTTAAATACATTTTTTTTTACAAAATATAAAAGAACAGTTTTAAAGGCTGTATTTTATCGATTTAGTTTTTTGGTTTTGAAGATATAATTTATTACAGGTACAATATTTACTGGAAAAAGGATGGGAAGTGAAAATCTTACATTGGTGAAAAAGTTCTGTAATGCTTTTGCAAGGCGTATCGCCTCGTCTGCCCATCCCGACCCGTGTCAAAACTGTGAATGCGGAGCCGATGAAAACGGAATCGAAATTGTCGAATGTTCTCCTTGTTCTGTCCCTATACCTGCTTATTCGGACTTTGTAAGTTTTCAAATCGTCTATATCGGCTAAGTTAACTAAATTAAATTTAATAATTTTTTTTTACAGTACTTCAAGGATAACGGAACATCTTTCTTACAGCAAGCGTTTGAACAATTTGGAGCCGATAGCAATTTTAATTAATTTCTTATATCTGTAAATAGAATACAAACAATATTGCATGATGATATTATTTGATTAAAATATCGCTATTATGTTATGAATTTATTTATTTAATTTACACAATAATTTTTTGCTAGCAGTTTTGTGTGTAAATATTGTTTTCTTTTTGAAAAACAAAAAATGTTACAATAAAAATGATTTTTAATTATTTAAATTTTTCCAGAAAGTTATAATTTTCCTCATTTATACCTTTCATGATTTTGCAATTTTATTTTTTCATTAGACTTTCAGGTACAATATTTACTGGAAAAAGGATGGGCTTTTTTGTAACGGAAGTATTTTCAGTTTAAAACTAAAGCAGCTGAAATTTAACCCAGGACACTTCCAGTGACAAGTGCCTAGTTCAAATCCTTAACCATTGAGGCTCCTAAAAGAACTTTTATGTTTGGGGAGTGTAGTAGCTGAGTAATTAATGTGATAGACTCAGCTCGTAGACCCCATGGTCTACGAAAAAAAAAAAAAAATGCTCACGCGTGCATGAACACATACACACACCTTCTTGACTATATGTAAAGTTCCATAAGGCTGAGAATGTCAGGTTTGGTTGAATGGATTAGTTCCTCATATTAGATGTGTAGCAGACGATGGCATTTTCTTTGATAATTTTTATATCATAACAATAATAATTTATGTAATTTTAAAAGCCTTTACTCACATGCTTCTTCAGTTCATGGGGGCCAGAAAACATTTCAAAATAGATCCTGTATTGAAATATGGGTCCGTATTGAGTCCCAGTTCTCTTTTCTTTCTTTCTGGATGTATGCTGTGTTCTAGAGAGTGGGGTGTATATTTAATTATACACTCAAGATGGTGAAATGCTGAAATACATTTGATGGATCAACTCTGGCATACCTAAATGTGCCAGTGCAGGAAACGAATGAATTTCAGATTCATCAACCTGTGTTACTAATACTGTTGCTGATTTTATAACTATAGATTTCTTCTGTAAATACTGATATTTAAAGTGTTTCCTGTACAGTACTCTCATTATCCACAGGGGATAATGAGTACCGCAGATAATACGAATTTCAGGCTTAGAAGCTCTTCTAGGCTGCATTGTCAAAACCTATATGCCACAGAATGAAAATCCTCGCAAAAAAAGCAGCCTTGCAACATGCCATCCTGTCATGTACTTCATCATGCCATTTTGGTAATACAATTACAAAATTGCTGTTTTATAATTTTCAACGCGAATCTCTTCATTACACCCTAGTAGGTACACAACAATCCTTCAAGATTAATTAATATAATAAATTGACTTGCAAATACTGTTAGTAACACTGCAGCCTCTTATTCTCCAGGGGGAGGATACGTACCAAGCATCACTGCATTTAATATGAAACACCTCAAACTTCAGGCATCGTAGCATTTTCTTCTATCTGCATAACAATCAGACACTTCCTGTATCACGTGTGCTTACCATCAATATGTAGAACTTATGTACACGTATTTCAGGTTTTTTTTCAAATGGCATAAAAAAGATAAATTCCAAAGTTAGAAGTAGATTGTGATGAATCAGCAAAGTTTGCACTTTCAGCTATCTTAAAGAATATTGTTATAGCAGGAGGCTGCTTTGTCTGGGTTAGATGAGATTTTCAACTGCTGGACTTTTTTTTTTTTTTTGGAGAGTCCATTGTGTCTTTCAATGCTTAAACTAACAGAAAGATTTCTCCAGATTTTTCTAACGTTCAACCCTGTTTTTCTTCTATTTCATCCTCTTCTGTAATCGATTTGATGAGTTGTTCTAATTTTTCATTCATGAGTTCTCAACCACAGATGAGTAAAAGCGTGTATAATGAAAATCTATTGTGTAGCAGAAGGTATTAACTACATCTTTAGGATATGTAAATATTGTGAGCGAATATTTTTTTTATTTTGAATTTTAGTTCAAAGTTGTACATACTCAAAGATCTGAAGTTTATCAATCCCTGGTCTATGCATGCTTCAAATTAAAGGTGAGAAGAACGCTGAAAAAATAAATACTGGGACACAAAGATTTTGGATAAATTGATAAAATGACGTTGTAACAAAAATAAACAAATGAAAATTTATTATCAATACATGTGAATAATTTATGTATTCTTGACTTCAAGGTCCATTGGCATTTATTAAATATTTTAATCGTGTTTTTTTCTTAAATGCTTTTTTAAATAATTGGAGGTGGAACACATAAATAGACATTCGGTACAGGAAAAAGGCTTTTCTCCATTGTGCTTGGAAATGTTTATTAAATTTGCACACTGAGTGTCCTTATAGTTACATCCATTGGAAGAAAACCGTTTTTCCCTGGTGTGAATTCTAAAGTGAGATTTTAGAGAACCGGCACGCGCAGTTTTGTAACTGCATTCCGAACAGGAGTACGGTTTTTCACCTGTGTGAGTGAGAATATGTGTTTTCATCCGATTTGCGGTTAAACACTTGTAATCACAAGCTGGACAGCTGTATCTTTTTTCCCCGGTGTGCGCTTGCTTTACGTGCTTGCTCAGGTTGCTCGAATTAGAACACCTGAAGTCGCAATCGGGGCAGAAAAATGGTTTCTCCCCTGTATGAGATCTTATGTGGATCTTTAAATCCGATGACTGGCAGCATTTATAATCGCACAATGCACACAAATATTGTTTCCGACCGGTGTGCAACATCAAATGTCGTTTTAGACTTCCGATCTGTGAAAATTTATAATCGCAGTCTGAACATTTGTACGGCTTCTCTCCTGTGTGCGTTCGCAAATGAATTTTCAAATTTCCATTAGTTGTACAACGATAATTGCAATCCGGGCAAGAATACGGCTTGTCATAGGCCAGACTCATTATTTCTGGCCCACTGTCCATTTCTTTATGACTAGGAAGATATCACAGTACAATTTAACAATGGTAACATAATTACATAATTTCTCTTAAACACATCTGAAAAAAATACATACAATTAGATTAATCAATGTTTAACATAATTTAAGGTTTTTCCTTACCACGTTAACAGTTTGTTTAGTGACAATTTGGCATGATGCTTAATGCCTTCAGTAGAAATCTCTCAACCATTTTCTACTATTTATGGGATGGACCCTGTGGTAGAAATGAAAATAAGATTGTACATAAACATAACAAACTTTAAATAGACATCTGACAGGAATAAAAATGCTTATCTATACATTAAAGACTTAAAAAACAAAGTTTTTAAAATATTAATAATTAATTTGTAGTCTGTACATCACATAAAACATCCATTTTACAGATTCTCCTGGTCAAAGGTCAAAGTACCTTGAACCCTCGTCTATGACATCCAACAGGGAGCATGTAGTATGACAGAATTACTATAGACTTCCGATCTGTGGAAATTTATAATCGCAGTCTGAGCATTTGTACGGCTTCTTTCCTGTGTGCGTTCGCAAATGAATTTTCAAATTTCCATTAGTTGGAATATACAAAAGGCCTGTTTTTCTTTGTGTATATAGAGATTGAATGTATTTATTAGCGTAAATGTGTAGTGTGAGAGAACCGTTGGCAGAATATTGGTATTCAACGCTCACTTAGATTAGTTATATAATAATGTATAAGGAAGGACAAGAAGGAATGTTAGGAGAAAAAAATAACCCTACAACCAGTGAACCTGCTCTTGATGAACTGGACCATCTTGGCAAAATGGTGGTTGTTGTCTTGGGTACCAAAATGGGGTTCTGTCTGGAGGGTGACAAAAATGCAAATGATTTGGCTAAGGCTGGGACATCCCAACTTCCAGGCTTAACCACTGTGACCCTCTGACACTAAAAATTCAATTAAAAAAAACATGATTAAATGTAAGCAACAGCATCGATGGGCTGGATCGGCAGAGAAGCTCTCATGTGTCAAGAGCACTGTTGATAGGTGCCCTTTGGAGGATCTGACTCATAGAAGAAAGGTTATCCTCACCCGACTAAGGAAAGGTCATGTGAGGTTGACATCTAAGATTGCTCGATGTGCCTCACCTAACTGAAAGCTGCTATTCCTTGGCTTCATATAGAGAGTATGTAGGAATGCCACTCGATATGAGAATTACGCTTGAATGAGTATTTAGGCCCCCAGTTCCGATTCTTGGAGGAAACATGACTGATTTACTCTATACAAGATATCTTGTTTTGTGTATATTGAGATTGAATGTATTTATTAGCGTGAATACGTAGTGTGAGAGGACCATTGGCAGAATATTGGTATTCAACGCTCAATTATGTTAGTTATATAATAACAGGTGTAAAGGGTGATGGAGGAATATCAAGCATGCCACCATCCTCAGGGAATGGTATGTAAACAGGAAAGAATTTGGATTTAGAAACTGATTGCATTGGGGACTGAAATGATCTGTTGGTAGCCACTGGAGCGCAACCTCGATGGTTGGACAGATAAAACAAAGGTCAGACCCCAGACTACCAACACCCGGGGTAGGTGATTCTCACTTTTCATCTGTATGTTTGTAGATCTGTGTGCAGAGTTGAACTTACATACGCCAATAAATCCTGGTCACAGTAGCTATGGCCAGCACTGCCCTCAGAGAACACAGGTTAAGAGAAACCAGCCATTACTGGCACTCAATAAGTCAGATTAAGAGACGAGGAAGCCTTCAGACAAACTGAGAGGGTTCTCAGGATGAAAAAGAGTAGATAAGGCTAGGGTTGGGATAGATTGGTTAGAGTGAAACTGTTGGAATCGATAACGGATCAGTTCATTGACAAAAAAAAAAATGTTGAAGTCGTGGATAGTGAGGTTATTGATGTAGTAAGGAGCTTTGATGATTTGTCTAAGGACTTTTGATTGGAAGGATTGGACGTGTTGGCAGAACCCCACAGTTCCACTGTGTTATGTCTAAAGAGGTCGCAGTGAAGTCTTGTATAATATTAGTTTAGTTTTGACGGTCAAGTTAGAATGTAGTCCATTTGTGAGCTTTAGGAATGAGAAGTTTTGGAAGAGGGTTGATGTGAACTTTCTATTGGAAGGAATGGATGCATTGGATACTGGACGAATTGGCACAGCCCCGGAAGCATGAAAGTGTACTGAGTTAATTGAGCTTTGATGTCAAAACACATTCCAGTCTTTGTAGTTGTCCAACACTTCTGTTAAGTTGTCTTTTAAATCTTGTGTGAGGATTTAAACATCAGTCTGCCAGTTAGGTATAGTCCTAATTAAGTGGAAGTTGTAGTCTCTTGTTGATAAACAATGGAGGACAAGAACGTTTTTTATTTTATTTTATTTATTATTTTTTATTTAAATGTAAAAGTACACTGGGTACAGTTTCCCTTAAACAGTTTTCTCCTCCAGTTTCTGAAGGTGCCTTTGATCTGAAGGTGTTCTGGGATTTAATGAATAAATTCAAGATGAGCTGTTATTTTTTTTATGGCAATCCTTCCAACTTTTACAGATTTTAGGAAAGTAAGTAAAAACTTGATGTGTGTCTTTGTATGAACAACATATATCATTCACTGAGCATGACAAATCAGTCTGGACTGGGGCAAAAAGAATCCTTTCCTGTAAATTTTGTTTCTTCTTGATCATAAGGTCGGCACTTGGGCTGTTTCTTATCCAGCAAGACCTATGGTGCCCTTTATTGTTCTTTCCTCCCCTGACACCCTGTTTACACCATCAGAGGTCAAATTCTTTATCATTCATTAAGAAGAAAAAAAAAATCCTTAGAACAAACATTCGGCCTAATACTTTAGAAATTCTCATTCATAAAACCCAGTATAAAAACTTAAAAACCTCAGAACTCTAAATATCAGGCCCCATCATTTTGCTGCCATTACTTTGGCACAATTCTTGAAAAAAGTCCTGAAATACCTCCCTTCCTTGAAAGATACAATGTCATTACATTTCGTTGATTCTGGTTCAGATGACATCACTCCACCATTGAACAATGCCACAGGATGGTAGACATCATCGCATCGTCCTAGATATGACACAAACCTTCTTAATGTGGCATCTGAAAACTGCCTGACTTACTACCTCATCCTAAAATCCTATCTGTCAAGTACGAATCACATCCATCTCTTCCATCCACTGCACCAAACTGGATGTTCTGCAAGGCACCATTCTTGGTCCCATTCTCTTTCAGCATACAATTTCCTTCAGCAGACATCCCTTTCAATCCTGATACAGTACTCCTCACATATGCAGATGACATCGCCAACTTTTCAGTAAAATCAGACCTAGTAGTGGCCATCAGAAACTCCCAGGACCATCTCTCCTGTTTGGAGAATGCATGTAGGAAGATCAGACTCAACAAAACCAAAACCTAGCAAACAACCTTTGCCATAATGCCCCTCCTCCAATCTAGAACAACACTGTTCCTCTTCAAGCAAACAATGCCATCCCTGTTTTGGACTGAGTCCAAAACCCTTCATCCTGAACCCTTTCCAACCATCTTTCAAGATGTCTGTTGTTACTACAACTAATCTGGACAGACAGAATTTAACTGTAGTGTTCAACCAATGTCCCAACCACCAAAGAATTAACTCCAGTCCAAAATCGTCTACCCTACTTGGTATCCAAATGCTATTATCCACACAGAACATCACATCCAAATAGTCTTCAAAACAGCACATCTATACAAATGTGTCCATAAAACTTTGGACCCTCAACCTGAACCCTAGTGCAACACCTTTCATCCTGAACCCTTCCCAACAATCCTACAAATGCTTATTATTAATACAACCCCTCTGGACATACGGAATGAAACTGTGGGGTTCAACGAAGTATTCCATCCAATCTCCAAAGAATGCAATCCAAAATCTTTCAAACGATTGCCCAAGCTTCCTACTTCGTATCCAGATACGTTAATATTGGATATCTTCTATCCATACACAGAGACCTTCAGATTCCGTTACTCCTCGAAACCGCAAGTCAGTGCAGATGCTTCCCCAAATCCCTGAACCCTCACCCCATTCCCCTATTCCAACACCTTTAATCCCGAACCTTTCTGGACAGTCCAAGTCTCACAAAATACCAATGGCCTCACAGTTTCCTCCCTGGTGAAAACAACCTTTTACACTTTAGTTAACTAACAGCACACAGGTTTTCCGCCTTCGTATGATCAATAATTGACAGAAGTGATACTTTCTGCGATCATTGTCAGTCCATCATTAAGTATAAATGCAAACTTACCAATCTCATTAGCTGCTAAGCGTAATTTCAATTCATAAATAATACTGTACTGTTTGTAAAATTAAACTGATTTATATGGTTGATGAAATAAATGTAAAAACCTTCCAAATTGTAGGCAACTACTTGCAATTGTACTTACTAGGACGTACAGTCTTTTTTTTTCTTCAAAATTTTTAAAAGTCTATTCAGCCTTGAGCTAAACATCATTTATTTGGAAAATAATTGTGGTATAATTTCCTGGTAACAAGTTATCTCTTGAATGTAAACATTGGATTAAAATAATTGGGGAAGGTTTTTTTCTATATGTATGTGGACTCAACATGATGATGACGTAAGCGGAGCTTGGTGATTTTTGTTTTGTACTACACACTTTTCTCTTAAAAAGAAAGTGAAAAGGGCGAAAGAACTAATTTTGCAATTAGTGAGACAAAGCAAGAACATTTTTATATGTTATAAATTCTTAAAAATTATTTTCAATTGTGGAAGCTCAAGAGTGCGTAGTTGTCGAAAACCTCCAAATTCCGATGGATTGGAACCAATTTTTGTTTAAAAAACTAAAATCTCAAATAGCAGCTCTTATTTGGTAGAATTAATGCCAGGAGAGGTTGACACAAAAACACTTACTTTTGGGTCAAAGGTTGCTCGATGCGTCTCACAGAGGGAAGGGTTCCGTATCGAGAGCGTTTAGGAATGCCACCCAATATTGTGCTTAAACAGGCAGCGGGTATCTGGGTCCCCTGTTCTGTATCTTGGAGAAAACATGGTTGTTTCTCTGTACATATACTGACAGTTTTGCGTCCCGAGCATGTGTTGAGAGCGAATGTGTAGTGTGAGAGGGCCGATGGTCGAATACTGAGTTCCCAAACCTCGTTAGCTTAGTTATATAATATGTCTGAAGGGTGATGGAGGAATATCAAGCACTCCACTGCCCTAACTGAGTGAATGGTAAATAGGAAATAATATATTTAAGAATGAATAAGAGGTGAATGGATTTGGATCTAGGAACTGCATTTGTTGTGCGATGAATTAACGTAGATGTTGACTTTATCCGGGGCCCAACTTCCATGACTGGACGAAGTCCGAGGTCTGTCCCCGGACTGCCAACACCTGGGGTGATTCTCGAGGCCAGCCGGTAATTTATTGTAAATTATAAAATTGTGGACTGGTGGACTGCGAGAAGTGATAGGGAATAGGGTAAAAGAGGCGGCCACAGGCCTTCTGCAGCTTGACCTAAGCAGATCTATTGTGCTCTATTTTTTAAACCACTGGCCAGCTTTAGGTAGTTAATCGACCTCCATAGCCTCGCCAGTAGCTCCTTAGTGTAGAGTTAATTAATTTATGTACCTGCTTTCTAACATTTGATTCTCAAGCAGAACCAGAAACTTTCAATATGGCGTTCGATGTAAAGTTGATGGATACGTCCCCCCATCGCCAAAGCTGAAAATTTTTCTGTACAACCACTTTAAAGGTCAGTGCAGAGGGAGTTCGGCACAGAATTTGTCAGCTTACAGGCCTTATAAATCAAAAGAAAATTCAAATAATCGTCAAATAAAAAATATTTCGGATATTACATTAAAATCAATTTTAATAGTGTCAGAAAAATATGCTTACTCCTCGGACGAAGGGATCTGACTCAAAAGCGTTCGCAAACCATTCGAAAGAGGACATAAATTATTTCGTAAATATTTTGCAAACGAGCTTTGAGCAGCAATAATACAAGTGCTAAAACCTAGGATGTTTTTCCTAAAGTTATCGAATCGTATAAACAATTATGCAGAAATGTAATAATACAGAGTATAGTAATCATTTAGTGCATAGCCGACTAGAATAAAATTTTATTTATTTAGAAATCGTGAGATGCGGTCTGGTGTGATGTAGGTTTCGGAAAAACATTTTCTTTATCGTGCCAACTCGGCACTCTCGACACGACACGCAAGAATGGCACAATTACACAGAAGACAAACACTTTGAGCCCTGAAGATGATCTCAATAAAGATCGAAACGTTGGGACGAAAAATAAAATATTTTTACGAAACCTACATCACACCAGACCGCATCTCACGATTTCTAAATAAATATCGATTAACGGTCACTAATCACCACACATAAAATTTTATTAGGTATATATTTTAACTCATGTTAAACGGTTCACAATGGAAATGTCGATCGATTGTTCCAAAACAAGGTCCTTTAGAAGTTATTACAGACAAATTTTCGGTTGACATTATCATACGTTTGGAGACATGGATGAACCCAAATCAGAAAATTAATTTCCTAGGTTTTCAATTTGTGCAATAGGTCAGAAAGGACGGTTATGGAGGAGTAGGTGTGCTTGTTAGGAAAAGTATATCGTTTCTACCTTTTAAGATAAATTGCGATATAGCAAACGTAATTAATTCAGCGATACAGATCCAATCGAACACCTCGAACACCTTACCTTTTCACATCACATCAATTTATAACACCGAAAAAAAAAGTTGGATCTCAGGATTGGGATTCTTTTTTAAAAAGCTTGCCTAGACCTTGCGTTTTCGCGGGAGATTTAACGTACATCACGTGGTATTTGGGTCGGAATGGTCCGATGCCAAAGGTCGCTGCTTAATAGATGCTTTAAAAATTAAATTCTAGTATGCTTAAATGATTGGTCCCTGCACTAATCCGTCGATTAAGGCGCACAAGAAAGTCTGCAGTCGATTTAACCATTTTAGGTTCAGACATTTCTACAAAAGCATCATGGCATATACTGGATGATCCAATGGGTTTTGACCATTCTACTGAAAATTGACGTCGTTGAAGTTCCACAAGTGGTGTCTTCCAACCGCAAGTGGAATCTAAAAAAAGCTGATTGGCTTAGTTTCGAGAAGTTTTCCCGTGGGCTAGCTGAAAAATTAACTTTTGAGCAATTTTCATATGAATCTTTCATATGAATGAAATGTCCTGTGTCTAGTGAAGATAGTGAAAGCAGAAATTTGTAAAAAAGGTGTATAAATTTGCATAGATTCATATTTGTAGGTCATATAGGTAGGTGTTAATTTATAGGTTGGTTTGAAAGGATAAGAATTATTAGATTTAAAGCAAAAATATATTTTTATTCAATTGATTAGTATAAAGCTATGATATATAAATAGTAATAATTCATTAATAACATTGACATGAAATCAGACTTTTTTGATATAATAGCTGTGTTTAGCGGTATCACGAGTATGCATAAATTTTCCTTTGTTTTCCTGTTTGGGTGAGATGTATGTAGCAGGGCATGGGCCGGTGACGCGGGGTACGTATTCGTGTTTATACGAGGAAGCTATGTTATGTTCGTTGCCTAGTGTTATACTCGAGGAATAGTTAGACCCTCTGACCCGGGTTACTTTTTCAGCTATGACGAAATTTCCGTAGTTTTTGGCTTCGCTACCGTAACTTTTGCTTTCAGTCTGTCCATAGAATTTTCCGGCTCCGGTGTTGTGAACGGCACAGTGGGACGAATCCATCCTCCCTCCGGAGGAGGAGCGATCCGTGTGAGTGACTCCCTGCCGGTGGAGAGTGCTCAAACTCTTCCTTTCCTGCGAGACGGGAGCGATGTACTGTCCGTCCAAGTTTTGGATGCTCTTCCTCTGTATGGACGCGGTGGATGAGCTGGAAACGTTGTGCAGCGATTCGGAGGATGTTTGCACCGCTTTTCTGTGCAATACGGAATTGGTCAAGTCGCTCGTAGAACCGGAGATGACATTTTTCCTGTGGTGGCTCTTGGAAGAGTAAGTCTCGGGTAGCGGCGGTTTACCTTCGAGAGCGTTTATGAGTTCCTTGCTCGTCTGATGGTGATGGTGGTGATGCTGGGATCTGTGTTCAGACACGTTCGAAGATTTACTTTCCACGTTATGAGACCAATGCTGCTCTTCTCGTTGCGAACGCTGTGATCTTTGACTGGCAGACCTCATATCGTTGAAATTGGCATCTTCTTTGTGGAACCTCTCGCTATAGGTGCCTCTTTCATTTTGACGGACGTTCTGCTGTGCGACAGTAGAAGACTTGTTGACGACTTGAGTCTGCTGGTTGACGGAGGACGACGACCTAACGTTTTCGTTAACGTCGTTCTGTACGACGGTTCTCTGTTCGGTGACCGTCGCGTTTGCAGCTTCCCGGTTGGCATCGTGTTGGATACTCTTGCCTGCAGTAGTCACCGTCGTTTTCGTAACGTAAACGACAGTTCCGTCCTGAAGTGTCTTCGTTTCCCTCGTTACATTAGTGCTTTCCTTGACGTCTCTGTCCGCATGGCGCTGAACTGCATGCTGAGTACTTTCGTCGACGCGTGTCGACTTTGTGGTTGAATCGTAAGCGGAAGATTTTTTGCTGACATCTGTCTGTCGGTTCGTGACGGTATCAGACACGATTTCATCCTGTCGCTTAACAACCGAGGTATCCGTCTTAACCACTTTCTGCTTACTGGTGTCCGTGGTGTCGTAAATGATCGTTCGAAACGTTCTGTTGTTTGTAGTGGACAGATCCATTTTCCCTTCTCCTACCTTGAGAGAAGACTCGTACCTTTTAACTTGCATTCTTTCTCCTCTGGCGGGAACGAATTGCGATCTCTGGGTAGTCTCTCTGTAGAATTCGCCTTCTCCTACGGTCAAATTGTCTTTGGGTACTCTCACTTGCGCCCTTTCTCCTTTGACATAGGTTGGTTTAGTTTGTGGACGTCTCTCGAAATCTCCTTCTGGTTTCAAATTATCTTCCGGTTTCACTATCTTTTGCCGTTCGGCGGGGCGGAACGGCGACTGACGACGTTTTTCGAAGTCACCTTCGGGGAAGAGGTTGTCTGGGTGCTTGACGATCGGAGCTCTACCTCCTGGGCCGACCGGAGATTTACAGGGTCTTTCGAATTCTCCTTCGGGCCTCAAGTTATCCGGATGCTTGACTATGGGAGCCCTCCCGCCGGGGCCGACGGGCTCTTGTACCGGCCGGTCGAATTCTCCTTCCGGCCTTAGATTGTCCTCGTGTCTAATCGGTTTAGGCCTTTGTGCGGCAATATACGGTTCCGTTTTTCGCTTTTCGAAGTCGCCTTCTGGAAATAGATTATCCGGATGTCTGACGATGGGAGCCCTGCCTCCCGGTCCGACAGGTTCTTGAGCCGGTCTTTCGAATTCGCCTTCTGGCCTAAGATTGTCCTCTGGTCTGAACGGTTTCTGCCTCTCAGCAGGAGAGAACGGATAAGTTTTTCTTTTTTCGAATTCGCCTTCTGGAAACAAATTATCCGGATGTCTGACGATGGGGGCCCTGCCTCCCGGTCCGACGGGTTCTTGAGCCGGTCTTTCGAATTCGCCTTCTGGCCTAAGATTGTCCTCTGGTCTGAACGGTTTCTGCCTCTCAGCAGGAGAGAACGGATAGGTTTTTCTTTTTTCGAATTCGCCTTCTGGAAACAAATTATCCGGATGTCTGACGATGGGGGCCCTGCCTCCCGGTCCAACAGGTTCTTGAATCGGTCTTTCGAATTCTCCTTCTGGTCTTAAATTGTCTTTGGGTTTCACCATTTTGGGTCGCTCGGTCGTCGAATAGACGAAATCATCACTAGTCTTTTTCGTATAAAATTCACCTTCTGTTTTCAAATTGTCTTCTCGGACAATTACTTCTGCTCGTTCACCACGAACGTGATTGTATTCAGTTTTACTGGTCATATCCACGAATTCACCTTCGAGATGAAGGTTATCTTCGTGGCGTTTAATTACAGCTCGTTCGGCTTGTTTTTTGCTGTAGTCGTCTCTTGTCCTGGAAGTTTCAATAACACCTTCCATTTTCAGATTATTTTCATGTTTTTTAATGACCGATCGTTCTGCTGTCTTGACATTATAATCATCCTTTCTGACGTTGTAATATTCTCCGGTTAATTTCAAATTGTCCTCTCTGACAACAACATCAGCTCGTTCACCTCTCACTACTTCGGTTATGACTTCTCTTTTAACAAATTCGCCTTCTGGTTTCAGATTGTCTTTAGGCTTGACTACTGGTGCTCGTTCGCCCTTCTCGACGATGACTATTTCTCTCTGTGCGAATTCGCCTTCTTCAGTTCTTAAGTTGTCTTTGGGCTTGGTGACGGTAGCCCGTTCTCCCTTGGTAACATTATAATCGTCCTTACGGTATATTTCGTAGAGACCTTCTTGTCTCAAATTGTCATGATGCTTGATAATTTCGGATCTCTCAGCGGTTTGGTACTCTTCGATTATTCGTTTAACGAACTCACCTTCCGGTTTCAGGTTATCTTCATGCTTGACGACCGGAGCCCTTTCACCAGGCCTGTATCTTTGAACAGTTCGTCTTTCGAATTCTCCTTCCGGTTTCAAGTTATCTTCAGGCTTCACTTGTTTGGGCCTTTCAGCTGGCCTGTATTTTTCTTGTGTCGGTCTTTCGAAGTCTCCCTCGGGTCTCAGATTATCCTCTGGTTTAACTTGTTTAGGTCTTTCTGCTGGTCGGTATTCTTGTGGTCTACGCTTTTCGAATTCACCTTCAGGACGGAGATTATCATCATGCTTCACAACAGGTGCCCTTTCTCCAGGCCTGTATTTTTCTTGCGTCGGTCGTTCAAATTCGCCTTCCGGTTTGAGGTTATCTTCAGGTCTAACCTGTTTGGGTCTTTCAGCTGGTCTGTACTGTTCATGGGTTGGTCTTTCGAATTCTCCTTCTGGTTTCAAGTTATCCTCAGGTTTAACTTGTTTGGGCCTTTCGGCAGGTCTGAAATCTTGAGGTTTGCGCTTTTCAAATTCACCTTCTGGCCGGAGATTGTCATCATGCCGAACGATAGGTGCCCTTTCACCAGGCCTGTACTTTTCTTGTGTCGGTCTTTCGAAGTCTCCTTCTGGTCTCAGATTATCTTCAGGTCTAACCTGTTTAGGCCGTTCAGCTGGTCGGTATTCCTGAGGTCTGCGTTTCTCAAATTCACCTTCTGGACGAAGATTATCGTCATGTTTGACGATTGGCGCCCTTTCTCCAGGCCTGTACTTTTCTTGAGTTGGCCTTTCAAAGTCTCCTTCTGGTTTGAGGTTATCCTCAGGTCTAACCTGTTTCGGCCTTTCCGCTGGTCTGTATTCTTGTGGTCTGCGCTTCTCAAATTCACCTTCCGGACGAAGATTATCATCATGCTTTACTTGTTTGGGCCTTTCGGCTGGCCTAAACTTTTCTTGCGTTGGTCTTTCAAAGTCACCTTCTGGTCTTAGGTTATCTTCAGGTTTAACCTGTTTGGGCCTTTCAGCTGGCCGGAATTTTTCTTGTGTAGGCCGCTCAAAGTCGCCTTCTGGCTTTAGGTTATCCTCAGGTCTAACCTGTTTCGGCCTTTCTGACGGTCTGTATTCTTGCGGTTTGCGTTTCTCAAATTCACCTTCTGGACGAAGATTGTCATCATGTTTGACAATTGGTGCTCTTTCCCCAGGCCTGTACTTTTCTTGTGTCGGTCTTTCGAAGTCTCCTTCTGGTCTAAGATTATCTTCAGGTCTAACCTGTTTAGGCCGTTCAGCTGGTCGGTATTCCTGAGGTCTGCGTTTCTCAAATTCACCTTCTGGACGAAGGTTATCGTCATGTTTGACGATTGGCGCCCTTTCTCCTGGCCTGTATTTTTCTTGCGTTGGTCTTTCAAAATCACCTTCTGGTCTAAGGTTATCTTCAGGTTTAACCTGTTTGGGCCTTTCAGCTGGTCTGAATTTTTCATGCGAAGGTCGTTCAAAGTCGCCTTCTGGTTTTAGGTTATCCTCAGGTCTAACCTGTTTCGGCCTTTCTGCTGGTCTGTACTCTTGCGGTCTGCGCTTCTCAAATTCACCCTCCGGACGAAGATTATCGTCATGCTTTACTTGTTTTGGTCTTTCAGCTGGTCTGAACTTTTCTTGAGTTGGCCTTTCAAAGTCTCCTTCTGGTTTTAGGTTATCCTCAGGTCTTACCTGCTTCGGCCGTTCACCAGGTCTGTACTTCTGTTGTGTAGGTCTTTCGAATTCTCCCTCTGGTTTCAGATTATCCTCAGGCTTAACCTGTTTGGGCCTTTCTGCTGGTCTGAACTTTTCGTGAGTCGGTCTTTCGAAATCACCTTCCGGTTTTAAGTTATCTTCCGGTTTGACTTGCTTCGGCCTTTCTGCTGGCCTGAATTTTTGTTGTGTCGGTCTTTCGAATTCTCCTTCTGGTTTCAGATTGTCTTCAGGTTTAACCTGCTTCGGCCGTTCACCAGGTCTGTACTTCTGTTGTGTAGGTCTTTCGAATTCTCCCTCAGGCTTCAGATTATCCTCAGGCTTAACCTGTTTGGGCCTTTCTGCTGGTCTGAACTTTTCGTGAGTCGGTCTTTCGAAATCTCCTTCTGGTTTTAGGTTATCCTCAGGTCTTACCTGCTTCGGCCGTTCACCAGGTCTGTACTTCTGTTGTGTAGGTCTTTCGAATTCTCCCTCTGGTTTCAGATTATCCTCAGGCTTAACCTGTTTGGGCCTTTCTGCTGGTCTGAACTTTTCGTGAGTCGGTCTTTCGAAATCTCCTTCTGGTTTTAGGTTATCCTCAGGTCTTACCTGCTTCGGCCGTTCACCAGGTCTGTACTTCTGTTGTGTAGGTCTTTCGAATTCTCCCTCTGGTTTCAGATTATCCTCAGGCTTAACCTGTTTGGGCCTTTCTGCTGGTCTGAACTTTTCGTGAGTCGGTCTTTCGAAATCACCTTCCGGTTTTAAGTTATCTTCCGGTTTGACTTGCTTCGGCCTTTCTGCTGGCCTGAATTTTTGTTGTGTCGGTCTTTCGAATTCTCCTTCTGGTTTCAGATTGTCCTCAGGTTTAACCTGCTTCGGCCGTTCACCAGGTCTGTACTTCTGTTGTGTTGGTCTTTCGAATTCTCCCTCAGGTTTCAGATTATCCTCAGGCTTAACCTGTTTGGGCCTTTCTGCTGGTCTGAATTTTTGTTGTGTCGGTCTTTCGAAATCTCCTTCTGGTTTCAGATTATCTTCAGGTTTGACCTGTATGGGTCTTTCCCCAGGTCTGTACTTCTGTTGCGTTGGTCTTTCGAAGTCACCTTCCGGTTTAAGATTATCTTGTGGTTTAACCTGCTTTGGTCTTTCAGCTGGCTTGAACTTTTCTTGTGTAGGCCTTTCGAAGTCACCTTCTGGTTTTAGGTTATCTTTGTGCTTTACAATTGGTGCTCTCTCTCCTTTTACCGGCGACTTTGACCGTGGCCGTTTTACAAACTCACCCTCCGGTTTCAAATTATCCTGCGGTTTCTGTTGTACCGGCCTTTCTGCAGGCACGTATTTATATGTGTTGTTAGTCGTTTCAAAGTATATTTCGCCGTCTTGTTTGGTCCAGGTCCTACGTCTAGTCGGTTTTTCGCGTTCGACTGTTTTTTCGGCAAAGTCCGTTTTGCTCGAGGTTTCAAATGTCATGTCACCTATTGTCGTCAGATTGTCTCTTCGTTTGGTCACTTCGACTTTGGTGAATGTATTATAATCAATAAAATCTGACTTCGTGCTTGTTGTGCTATCGAATTTTCCTGTTTCCGTTATTATAGAATCTACGAGCTTGCGAGGTTTTTCCCTTTTTACTGGTTCATGTTTAGGATAGTCCACTCGGTTGACTGTCGTCTCCTAAAAAAATAAAATAAAAATAAAAGTAAAAACAAATGTTTCATCTTCTTAACTTATTTTAAATGGAAGATTTTCGGTTTGACATTTTGAATTAAATTTTTTATTAATGGCAAATATACCTCTATCGTCCCTTCACCGACTGTCAGGTTATCCTGACGCCTCTTCACTATCTGAGAACGTTCATTGACATCCAGCTGCTTGAATTCCGATCTTGTGGTAGTTTCGGTGGTCATGTCTCCTTCTAGCTTGGTCCATGTATTTCTCCTGATAAGCCTTGGGCGTTCTGTGGGTTCTCCGGTAAATTCTAATTTACTTGTGGTGACGCCTTGAAAGATAATTCAGGTTATATTGGACATTAACTAAATGTTAATTTTAGAACAATCTATAACTTACTTGTGAATTCACCATTTGTTGTTAAATTATCTTCCGGTTTCTTAGTCGGAGCTCTCTCACCGACCAAAGCAGCTGGTTTTTTAACAGGTCTTTCGAAGTCACCTTCCGGTTTGAGGTTGTCAGGGTGTCTGACTATCGGGGCACGTTCCCCCGGTCGGAACCCTTCGGGTTTCGGCCTTTCGAAATCCCCTTCGGGCTTCAAATTGTCGGGATGTTTCACGATGGGAGCTCTCTCTCCCGGATGGTAACCGTTCGTCTTGGGTCTTTCGAAATCTCCTTCCGGTTTCAAATTGTCTTGCGGTTTGAATGGCTTCGGTCTTTCTCCAGGCCCGGTCTTTTCCTTTGTGGGTCTGTCAAAGTCGCCTTCGAGTTTGATGTTATCGGGATGTTTCACTATCGGCGCTCTATCACCCGGGCGATACCCCTCTGGCTTCGGCCTTTCGAACTGTCCTTCAGGTCTCAGATTGTCCGGGTGCTTTTTGACTGGAGCCCGTTCGCCGGGCCTGTAGCCCTCCGGTTTGGGTCGTTCGAAATCTCCTTCCGGCCGCAAATTATCTTGCGGCTTGATTGGCTTTTGACGTTCCCCAGGTCCTACCTTTTCTTTTGTCGGCCTGTCGAAATCCCCTTCTAGTTTTATGTTATCTGGGTGTTTGACTATCGGCGCTCTATCACCCGGGCGATACCCCTCTGGCTTCGGCCTTTCGAATTCTCCTTCAGGCCTGAGGTTGTCAGGGTGCTTTTTGACGGGGGCCCTCTCGCCCGGCCGATATTCTTCTGGCTTGGGCCGCTCGAAGTCGCCTTCCGGTCTAAGATTGTCAGGGTGCTTTTTGATGGGGGCTCTCTCTCCGGGCCTGTACTCTTCCGGCCGAGGGCGATGGAACTCGCCTTCGGGAGCGAGGTTGTCCTTCGGCTTTTTAATCGGAGCTCGTTCTCCGCGAGTGGCATCGTATTCCCGTTTCCTCTCCGGTTTGTAGTCGCCTTCCAATTGGAGGTTATCATCGACTTTAAATCTAAAATCGATATTACCATTGTAATTTCTATTAAAAAAAATACAACATCAAGAATATTAAATAAACCAAGAAGCAGTATGTTAAACTTGGTAATGTCAAGCTTCAAGATAAGTTATTTATGTTCTTTAAAATGAAATTTTCAATCGTGTCGTACCCTTGAGGTCTCTCGATATCAGAAAGCTTATACGCCGGGAATGCTTCCTTGGTTTGCGTAGTCGGTTTGAAATCATCTTTCGGTTTCAGCGGGCTTTCCTCAATGACTGTGTGCCTGCATTGATGACGTCTGAAACACACAACAACGTATTAGCAATAGCTTTGTTATTGTTACTTTCTGTACCAAAATATACACATTTAACAGCTTATTAGTAGCGATCAATAAAAGATCTGGCGGGAACCAGTCAGACCACGGTGATAAGGATGGGGGAAGAGGAGCCGGCCATTGCTGGAACTCTCAGTGTTTAAGGTTGTGTTAGGAGGTCAGAGGGCCACTGCCTTTTTAGGGTGGACGCTGAAGAGACGGCTTTAGCTAGTAGAAAGGTGTCGAAGGAGAACTTGGAATGGAAGTCGTGCGATCGGATCATATCCGTCAAGAATGGGATGTCTAGTTCTTTGTGGATGGCTTGGTTAATGACATAGAAGGGAGCGATGATGATGGGACGGAGGACTTTTGATTGAAAGGATTGGATTCTTTGGATCTTGGCTGGCTTGGCTGAACTCCACAGCCCGACTCGGTAAGTCAGAATCGGTCTATTTAGTGTCTTGTATATTGTTGGTTTCTCTGTACTCATTGTGCATTTGGGTCCAAGTAGGCGTCTGAGTTGTCCGTATCTTCGGTCCAGTTCTTGTCTTTTTTGTTTTATGTGTACGTTCCGATTACCTTACTGTTTATGTACTCTGGAGAGCAGGTACTTCTTCTAATTGTGAGTCACGTGCCGGCTTTTTTGTTAATTTAGCATGATGCACCACCGAGTGCACCAGTCGGTAATAGGGTCTAGGTGTTATTGGGTTACTTTTATTGTAAGGATAGGGTCAAAATGTGAGGAGAGTATTGATGTGTCGTCCGCGAAGGTTGTGAGGGTGTATAGGTATGTCAACGGTGTATATTGTATAGAGGATTGATCCTGGAATTCTCCCTTAGGGAACGCCGGCATTGATGTACTTGATGTCTGAAAATTCAGAACCATTCCCACCTTAAACCAGTGATTCGAGAGGAACTTCAGGAAGAGATGGTAGGTGTGAGGAAGAATGCTTTTTAACATGAAAAGGTGGCCGGGTTGCTATACTGTGTGAAATCTTTCTGTGACATCTCGAAAAACTGCTGAGCAGTAATGCTTATTTTCTATGGCAGAGGATAATGTGTCGACTACTCGTATGGAGTAAATTTATTTTTTCATGCTATATCTCTGGGATGGAACTGTATTTCATGTACTAGGATTGCCGATTATTACAGTGTGAATTTTGTACATTTTCATTGTATATCGATAATAAAAATGTCCAACTTTTGACTACAAGCAAATTATGTGAAACCTTCGGAGGGTGCAAAATATGACGAACCCAGTAAATGTTGATCTCTGTAGAACCAGTTTGACCCGTCCAGTCTACAAATTTCGGAAAACTGTTCGGAAAAGTCGAGCCGGATCGGAATGTTTGCCCCTGGCCGTCGTCCGGACAACGCGACGAGCGCGGAAGAGACGAAATCGGGTCAGGCCATCACCCCTTCAATAAACGCGCTTTCAACTGTGAACAGTTTACAACCGAAGCCTTTCACTGGCGTGGTCCAATTAATTTTCCGTGTTATCTTTTGTATTCCCCAGGTCTAAAGTTGTTAAATCGAAACCTACGAACGCTTGGGATAAATAGCTGCTGAATAAATTAAACCGGATGTTTCCGGTTCGCAAGTAGACCGGGTTGGTCTGGTGCACCTTGCAATTCGTGATCTGCAAACTGAACTTACGCAATAAATAAACGACTAACTGCCTTTTCAAATGTTTCACTTTCCCTCTTTTTATTTCGAAAAGGGCAACATTTATTTACCTATTTTTATTTTGGTTTTAGCATAATAGTCTACCAGCTCCACCATCACCGTTGGAGAAGTCAGCGCGTTCTTCGCTACTTTTAAATAGGCCTTAACTTCAAAAATGATTTGCGTTACCGTAAGCCGTACGCTAATTTCACGCAGGAAATATTTTCGACCATTTTTGTTTACCTTTCCTCGTAACTTTGGTCAAACGCATTTCGCCACGTTCAATGGTAGGTTTTACCTCGGATAAAAAAAAAGGTATGGGCAGACAAGGGTAGTCGGAGACGATCAAGCTACAATTAAACTCCGGTTTGTCATGTTTGGTCCGCATACTTTTGCTAATGGCCTTATTTCAGACAAGTTTGATTGGATTGAACCTACAGCTTCGTGGCTTCCGCACATTTTGGTTTGTTAAACCTGATTTACAATCTTCAGTGGTGGGCTAGTTCACAGATAACAGCGAAAATGGGCAGATCTGGAAGTTCCGAGATGATCAAGCTACGAGTACATAAGCTCAGTTTTTACGGCCAGCGAGAACGAGCAGATCAATTTTTCTGAAAGTAACAAACAGACTGACCATCAAAATTGGCCAATCAGCGAGATAGGCAAACATGCATAACCGGAGATGACCTGAGTACAAGTTTCCAATCATTTTGGTCTGTCAAACCCGATTCGCCATCTTCAGTGGTTTTGTACTCAGATAAGGCCAGCGAGAATGAGCGGACCAATTTCTTTCAAGTAACAAACAGACCGACCATCAAAATTGGCGAAACAGCGAGGGTAGGCAGACCTGCATAACCGGAGACGTCATGACTACACGTTCATCACATCGTAAACCTCAACAATTACAAATCAACAATAAATTGTTTATAAGCTGTTGTTATCTTGAACAGCTTGTTATCATTATTATATTACAGTTCATCATCAATAAGATCATCATCCTCATGACATTAGAATGTACTAGAAAATGAGGTGGAAAACAGCAGAAGTGTTTCATGTTGATTACGAAGTATTTGAGTTTGTTTTCGTCATGCACACAAAAATTCAATTTATCTCCATCCTCTTTGTCGTCCAAATTCTATTAAATATCTGTAAAGGATGCAATAACCGAAATTTGTCGAACTCGCCAGGAATCGAGGTAAGGAGTTGGATAATCCAACATGATTTTGGATAGTTAAAGCGAATTGATGTTCTTTCCGTTTTGACGTCATCGGCCTCTGGGCATTCGTTTAGCTTTTTATCATGACGGGCACTCCTTCTTCAATTAAACCGGCGGACGGCGATATATTTTCCTTCTTCACTCTCTTTCCGGAAAAAAAAGATTTACTAAACCCCCGACGATAATTGCCGCAAAAGATTTTAAATGCCCAGCTCGTTTATTATGGCCTGTTTTGCATAATGATACGCTTTATCGAAGGATGTTTAGCATTCGAGAATATCTCTGAAGAATCACTTCATCAGAATTAACCCACGTTTTTAATGCAATTGGAACAATGGCGACACGAGTGACATTTGTGGTTTGCCAATTGTCCTGCCGGCTGTGCGATAACGGCTCAAGCGGAGCCATCAGATCGTCGTGTCGTCTGGCCCAACCGAGAGAAAGTGCAACGGGCTTTTCAATTAAATATGACGCAAAGCCGTCGAAAAGCTTCAGACCGAGGAACTCAGACTCGGCGATAATCAATCGACGATTTAGTTCATTACGTTCATAAACAACTCAATTGGCCGGAGCTAATTCAGACCTGATACTCGCGACTCTACTTTAACTAGGGAGTAAGGGGTATGATTTTAATCCTGGAAGGATAAGGTAATAAAATTGTGTAGTTTTGGACAGGTAATATGCCTTTTAATTGCCGTATTTTCCATAAATGGGCCGAGTCCGCCTTTTGGCGTCTTGAGCGTCTCCTTGACTATTAATACGGCCCATTTAACAGGAATAGCACGAAACTGCTATTATCCACTTAAAAAACCGCGGAAAGCGACGTCTGCCAATTCTCTCGTTACCTCTAATGTATTTTAATGGATTCACGGCCGAGCCTAAGTCGCGTTTAATTTTCAACTTATTTGCACGCCAGGAGATTTGAGAAACTCCCAGATGGCCGGAGATGTTCTACATTCGTGTTGTCGATAATGAGCAGGTGTGTGCGTCCACCCAATTCCACCCTGATCCGACAGCAATGAGGATAAACCAGCCCAATTTTGAGCAGGCGACAATAAAATTTAGAAAAGTGAAACTGTGCATTTCTTCAAATCAGTCTCTCATACTAAAAAAAAACCTTTGTTAAAGATTAATCCATTTACGTTTTAGTGGTCAATTGTCCAAGTTACTTCTTTTAATTAATTATTCTTTCTATGTAAGGTCTTGGTCGAGATAAAAAAGTCAGTGTCACGAGCGGGATTCGAACCCACGATCTTCGGCTTGATACGCCGCTACTCTACCAATTGAGCTATCGTGACTTCGATCCACTCGGTCACCAACTTCCCATCTCAACCCAACCTTTCAAATTTTATCTCCTTTTTGCCATTTTTGAAATGTCGTGTATACTTTTTGATTCTCGGCGACAAATGAAGTGGCCACGGGGAGCTGTTTAGTGAAGTTATACTTTTTTTATTTATTAAATATTAATTCATTTACGTTTTAGAGGTCAATTGACCAAGTTACATCTGTCAATTAATTATTCTTTTTATGTAAGGTCTTGGTTGAGATAAAAATTTGTTAAAGAGTTCAATAATTCCACAACAAAGTGGCTTTCATCCATTTAGACCAACAACCACCAATTTAACAATCAGCTATTTTTATCATTTTCTTTTCGAATCCACGACTCTCTTCGGAAATGGTTTCATTCTTATCTAACTGACACAAGCGGAGCTGTAAAATTATTTACTCTCCAAAAAATATTTCGTTTCTTCAGATGTTCCTCAAGGCTCACTACTTGGTCCTTTCTTTTTTAAACTTTTTATAAACGATTCCTCTTGTTTCCCACTCATTTCAATTTGCACTCTTTGCTGAAGATCACAAAATTTTAAAGCCCTTAAAAGGGAAAATAATTAAAATATTGAACAATATTCCGTCCCTTCTGAAGTTCCTCAAGGCTCAATACTTGGTCCGGTTTTTTTTAAACTCTTGTTAAGCTTGTTTATAAAAAGGATTCCTCTTAGTTTCAGCTTTTTTCTTGTATTTAAGGTCACTCGGCCTCACAATCAGGCTGGCCACGGATCAAAAGCTTAGATGGCAGCGACACATTGATGCCGTCGAGGTAAAG